CATTACTCATGGTTGATTTGGCAGGCAGTAAAAAAACTGGACTGAACGGAGAGGTGTCTATGCAGAGGTTTTGAATTCTCAGTAGAAACAACATAATTTAGCACAACCACAGACTAAAGTATGTAAACACCTTTCTAAAACAACTAACCATTGTAACCTTCATTAATGTATCATTATCTAGACTGCATTAGGTTAAGATAGGTGCACTTAATACACTGACAAATAAGTGTATTTGTACTGCTCCCGTTTCCAATGACTTTAGGTCAATACTTTACCTTAGAGAGAGACTTGAGAGCCCGGACTGCATCTCTGCGGTCTTCCAGGAGCGTTGACGAGGCTACTCGGTCACACAACTTGTGGATCTGTCAATAGAAGAATCTTTATTGATTTGTTATGCCTCATATACATCCAAGTGAGAATATCTGTATTTACATGTCTTAATAGGTGGGGCTGTTTGAAGGTTAGCAAATGTAATGTTACCTCCAATATTTGTAAATGACTTGAGGAAAGTCATTGCTTAATATGGCGACTACCTGCAGAAATATTTAACTGGTTCCATTGTTTTAATTCAAGAAGCCCACCTCAAAAGAGAAAAAAAGAAATCGTATTCAGATTCACTCAATTCTCTTCGGAAAAGAGCAAGAAACTACAATGGCTGTGAACATTACACCGGAGAATGGGACAAGATTCACTTGACAACACAATACATTGAGTGCAAATACCACTCAAAAACTAATATTGGGCAATGGGTGTTTGGTTAGACTACACTTTAAAAACAAGTAGTGAAAAAAACAGCTCTGATGGGAAAAAGTCTCTTGAAGAATGTCTTGTACATTTCAAAGGAGAGGACGTTGCCTCTCTCAACAGCTGTAACAGCAATGTCTGACGTGGGTTTGTTACCCTCCTGCGATGCCTGCAACACTCTGGATGCATAACATATGCTGCTGTGTCTTTCCACATGTGTCGTTTCATGCTGGGATCATAGTCTGGGGATACAATACTTTTATGTATTTGATATCACCATGAATTGAATATATATTTTGTTTTGCAGTTGAACAAAAAGCGCCTTGAAGAAGTCACCTTGGACCTTGGATGGTGGTGATGATACATTTTATAGACCAACCTTTTAATTGAGATGACAATCAGCAGTGAGAGCTGTGGACCTGCTTGACAACACACAGCATGGCGAAGGCCTGTTGTTTATGTGGTACTAGTTGCAATTAGTTCAGTTGAGATCATTATCCATGTTGCCAACGTCCTATATTTATATGTCATCATATGTGACACATTAACAAAATATTTCAATGGGCTTTAAGTTTAAACATTGCAGGTCAATTGTTGAAATTGCCCAGCTGCAGTTTGTAGTCAAATGTTTGAACAAAGATGGATTTAACCATTCAAAGTGCATCTGAAACGTCCAACTATCTTCATTCTTCTGCAGTTCAAATGGTGACAATAACTCTCACAATGTCATTAGCGTTAATTATATCAAGAACAAATCGTTCCTGGAAACCTGGGGAAGACCCATTATGCTAAATACTGGACATAAATATATTTAGCTTCTGTATTACCTTATGCCCTTTGTAAATAAACATATAACGTTAGTACACAGGCCAATACTCCTAAAACCTCATAGTCTTTCTTTCATTCATTCGTTACAGTGCAGCTCACGTTATACGTGGAGAAAACACCTGGCGTGTCAGATATGACAGATATGCTACGTTAGCTAATTAGCCTCCTGACTAGCTCGTTGCTCTGGTTTTAGGAGGCCCCGACCTCATATAATTCGTTCTGGAGGTTTTAGCCAGAGAGTAAAGAAATACCCGCGAGGTTCATTTCAACACGTCTCAATTGCTGACGTGTTTGTGGCGTTACAAGTTTGTCAGGCGCAAAGCGGTGGTAGTGTTAGCTAGCCGCAGCTAGCCGCAGTTAGCCAGACTGGTTTCCTACCGTCTCGGCTCCGGACGGCTGCGGCCCGGCTGCCTGCCCACCCATCACTCCTCTCAAGAAGTTCATCCTTACAGACGTCCTGTCGGTGCCGTAATCAAAGAAGCCCCAGACTCCCCCCTCCCCTGGTCCGTGTAATAACTATGTGAATATTAAAAGGAGAAAAACTACACAATGATGATTTTTGTACACTGTGTGGTCGACCCCGGAACAGAAATGTGAGGACACTGCGCATGCGCGCAGACGTGGCGCTACGTGGCTGATCAGAAGACAACTGAGTTCACTTATTTAAAGGGAAAGAAAAAAGTAATCGATTACGATGCGCGTGAAAGATCATGCACCAAAGCAAATGCCCCTTCATACAATTATGATTGTACGAAAGATTATATAAATACAGCAATGGAAGAATGATGCATAATAATAAAAATAAATATAGTAAAAGTTAAGGTTTTTAATCAAGAGGAAAAGTGTAGTCAGTTAGATATGAGTATATATTACATATATTTGTGTTTTTCAATGGCGAGCGGATTGCAGATTTTGTGCCCCACAGCTCTACCAACCTGCCCCAGAACCCCACCCCTCCCTCCCCCAGCCCATCAGGGGTTCACGCCTCTGTATCACCCTCCCTCCCCCCTCACCAGCATTAACCCTCTCTATTCTGGAGAGAGACTCCTTAAAAGAAACCCTCACAAAGATCAGCTGATCAGCACAATGCGGATCTCTGGTGTTCACTGGTCCGGTGTTCACAGACATCTTAAACACCTCCCTGGAGACATACCACTTACCAGCCTGCTTCAAGGCCTCCACCATCATCCCTGTTCCCAAAAAGCCCAGGATCACAGGACTTAATGACTACAGGCCCGTCGCCCTGAACTCTGTAGTCATGAAGTCTTATGAACTGTTAGTTTTATCCCACCTGACGACCCTCACTGACCAGGTCCAGGAGGGCTGGACCCACTACAAAGACAGGTCTGCAGACGATGCTGTCAGAATGGACCTCCACTTCATCCTCCAGCTTCTGGACTCCCCAAGAACCTACGCCAGGATCCGGTTTGTGGACTTCAGCTCTGCTTTCAACACCATCGTCCGGTCTCTGCTGCAGGACAAACTCTCTCAGCTGCACGTGCCTGAAATAGAAGGCACCATTCGTGCCTGACACCTGCAAGTGGATCGCTCACTTCCTGTCTGACAGGAAGCTGCACGTGAAGCTGAATGAAACATGGCTCAGCCTCTCGATCCATCTGCACCGGTTCCATGCCTTTTTCCACCGATCACTCCCTTCACACTCTACATGCACATACACTTGTCACTTTCTGCTCACTGGTGCACTTTTGAACTTTTTATTTAAAATCCTCTTACAGTATGTTGTTCTTGCACCATGTTGTCTGTCTTGTTGTCCATTATCTCATTCTCTGATGTTATGCACCAACCGCCAAGTCAAATTCCCTGTATGTCTGACATATTTTGGTAATAAATGTTTCTGATTCCTGTAGGTATAAATCCATCAATCTTCTTGGCACACTGCTGGGTTGATTAGTAGTAATCTATCAGACAAGAACATCATATTTTTTTATGATTTAACATCAAGCAAACATGACTAGTGTCGTCAAAAGGAGCTACAGCCCCATCCCATCTGGCATATCAGCTCACCAGTTACTCATTGTGCTGTTTAGCAGCCTGTTCCTGTTTTTCCACTCACTGGGCCAAAGTATCAGGCTGTTTGGCTCGGTTTCCCCCACACTTAAAATGAAACCAGATCATTCACATTCACGGAGTAATTCAAGGAATACATTATGCTGATGAAGTGATTTGCATTATATACAGAGTGTGAAACAACACTTGAACAAGACAAATGAATGAACTAAACATACAAGGTGTCACCACTTGCTTAAAAACATTTCTCCGTTTTCTTGCAGCAATGGACCTGATAACATCAGCAGCTGTTTTTTTCTTCTGATAGGAAAGACAGGTAAGACTGGCTTCACCAATCATTCAACATTTTTTTGAAAACCACATTTCAGGAGATGTTTTTACAGGCGACTGTCATGACAGTAGCTACCTCGGATGTCACGGAGAGGGGGTCATTTTTCAAATTGGGAAAATAAATGTTGATGACAAATTGATACTTGAGCATTTCGGGCTTCATACTACTACAAGAACGATTGTTAAAAGTTCAAGCCTTTTACTAAAACATCTAAAAATGATGTAATCGGAGTAAAGCCCAGAGGACAGTTTTATGTATTAGTTAAAAAGTAATTTCAATAAATAAACTCCCAAATTGGAAAAATGATTCATACTGAGTTTTCTAAGGAATCAGGAAACATTTATTATACGTCAGCCATACAAGGAATTTGACTGGGTGGTTCATGAGAGGCCGAGACCTCCTAGTGGGCCCTACAAAACATTCAACGGGAAATCAAAGCGGTCCTGTCTTGACTCAAAGATTTGGTCTTAAATCAAGTGAAACATCATCTTGACAGTGACTATCAGAGATATATATGGACATGCTGGAGGAAGAGACAGATTAATACACCGACATTTCATAAATAAGTTGCAGGAATGAGGCTGTACACGGTCTTCTACATCTAGTTAGTCACCATGTGTCCAACGAGCAGTTTTTTCTACATCCATCCTGTCTAGATTGCAGCCTTCTTTTTTGTCATTGTGTGTCGACATGTTACCACTGCGTGTAGATGGATAGAATAAGGTGCAACGTAGCAAACAAAACGAGGAATCGCTCACGAAAAGCAACGTTGAAAGCGGTGACGCAGTATCACACTTCTGGCTTTGGTGAAAGGAGCCGACACATCCTGTTCTTCAAGAGTTACGTCCGTGGAATCGCCCCTAACTAGAGTAAAAAACATGAAAAATCCAGTTATACCAAAGCTATAAAGTTATACCTAACCAAAGCTTCAGCTGTCAAACCCGCAGCGGGGTTGAATTACAAAACCTGTTCCGAGTTGTTGGTTTTGGCAAACTCGCTGACGTCCACAGCAACAGCTCGTTACTTCAAATATCTTTAAAGAATGAACCTGCAAACATGACAAACAGTGTGGGTGGTGCTGATATCAGTAGTTTATTGTATGTTAAGTCCAACACATTCAAAATGGAGAAAAAAAACCCAAAACGAAACAAAAAAGATTCTCCACCTGCAACATTGTTGTACTAGCAACAAGTAAACACCGTAAAAGTAAGATTTACAGCCAACTGTTTACCACACCTGCTAAAGCCAACAAGGAACCTCTATTTCCATTCAAAAGGGACTGGAATGATTCACAATGAGGATCCACTCAAATTAATTTTCAACCACAGGAAAACACTTTTTTTTCTTCTTTTTGCAGGTCCTTCAAAGGTTTGGTTTGGAAAGGGGGGGGGGGGTACAACCTTGGTGAAATGATCAAAACTAGATGTTTATCCGAAACATTTTGCCACCATTTAGATGTGGAAAAACACAAACTTTTTGACAAAGAAGAGCCCATCATGCTTTCCAGCCTCTGCATTGACCACTGTTGTGTAAAAAAAAAAAAAAATTAGTATAATTGCAGTCAAGTGCTTTAGCTAAGCAATTAACTGACAAATAAACATTCGCGGTAGATGTATAAATCTGAAACGGTCTGTTAAAATCAGGAGGCAAGGATCAAAGAGCTGTAATCCTTCTGTAATATTCGGTCAAAGAATGTTGGTAACAAATGCAATATCTCCATTGAAAACTAATCTCCCATCTGAAAATCTCATCTCAACTACAAAAGAGAGCAGCTGGGCATCACCGTGGAAACTGGATTAAATATGCCATGTTTGTACATCCAATCTGGTTTTAACTGCAAGACGGCAAATATTATTCCACGCAGATAAGATGAGCACTTAATGGTTTTTCTCTGCCAGATAAGGAATTTGTAGAGTCTGTGTTTCAAAATTACAGATTGTCCCAGAAATATTGTAAATAGTGCAAGATCACCAGACAAGGAAGACCTCATTCGTGTATTTGTCCAGAAAAATGCTACATTGATTTCACTTCCCATCAGTGCAAGATAACAAAAAAAGAAAAAGAAAAGAAAGCTCGCGTTTTCCTTTTCAGCTGAACCCAAAAGGTCTTCCCTCCGTACCGAGTGGTAAAAGAAAATGCACCAGAGGCAAAGAGAAACGGAACTATGGCATTCAAATCACACTTGCCTTGAAAGGGAAAAAAACGGAAAAAAACACAAATAAACACAATGAATAATAAGCATATGAAAATACAAATGCATAAATGGCTAGAAAAGTGAGCACAATTATTTGCTAGTCGGTAGACTGGAACAACGGCCAGCCCAGCCACACGGATCTTTACAAAATTGTTACCGAGAAAAGAACAGTCTGACAACTTTTGAGTCCGGGGATTTACTCAGGTGCTACCGCGAGTCTCCAAAACTATGGTCAAAATGAAAGTATCAACAACTCTGAATCACATCGTGAGACAATTGCCTTTTTCAAACCTCAGGTCACTGGAATCATTGTGGTGTACGGCCATGACTGGTAAACAAAGACGCAAGAATATTCCCACATTACCTTTAATGTACCTACTTTTAATGGGTGTGGAGGGGTGGAGGAGGAGGGGGGGGGGGGTTGTTCTTCAGATAAACCTCTCAACCATTTAACAACAGAATAGGAGGCACCTATTGTCTCTACAAAACCCAGAACAGACACGATACGAAACAAATGTACAAAACTCACAGCAGATCATCTTAGGTAGTAAAACAGTACGGAAAAATGAAATATGCACCTGAAAAAAATTACCTAAATATTCAGAATACTGCAATTTTTTTTTCTATCTGATCCCCGGAAAAAATTGTTCAAAATGAGCAGCTCCATAATCTGAGGCAGAGCGCCTCGAACCGCTTTGCTCTAGTAAGACTAGAAAAGGTGAAATAGAAGGCACCATTCATGCTTTTATCAAGTTGAGAGAAATTAAGATACACAGAAAACAAAACATACAGTAAACTATGATTTCTGCCGTGCATTTATTCAGTTACTCCGCACCTAAGAGTGGAAGGGAGGGAAGAAAGAGAGACGGTGTCGTCCATCCCATTTTTGCGGTCTAGCTGGCAGGGAAAAGTCCAGGATTTGAGCTTTCTTTCTTTTATTTATAAATGAGGAAAAATATAATGTAGATTTGCTCGTCATCATGTCCATCCAGCAGTAATTGAAGCTTGTTTTGGGTCAAAAGTGAGAAAAGTACATTGGTCACAGCAGACAGGCTGTGAGCGAGGCCTGCCCCGGAAAGTCGTGTCGCTTTGAGACTAAACAGGTCCCTCCAGCGGCGTTCCAAGCGTGGATGTCAAAGTAATATGACAAAAGTACCCATTAGTGCATATTGATGAGTGCATTATGCAATTTTTAAGCAGTGGTCTCTCAAAAAGGAAAAAAGTAAAAGGCAAGCCTTTCTCCTGGAACTGCGCAAAATTTGCATCCCACTTTTATCCAACAGTAACGGGCAGAAAACTACCATATAAAATGTGCAATAGAGGGATTTCGTGAAGCAGCGCCCCGGTTAAGTCAAGGCATATAATCTCTTTTCCAAATGATGGGCTGTGTTATCGTAGTTAAAAGTCTTATCAGTCCCTCCTAATGTGGCAGATTACTCCTGGTTGGTTCGCCTTTTTTCCACAAATTTACAAATTAAAGTTTGTGAATTCTTGAGATACCCGAAAAGGATGCTCAGCTCACAAATAATAAGCGCATTTTTTTTTGTTTGCTTATTTTGTTTTGTCTATTTCACAAACAAAAAAGGTTGACAGGCTGTGTCACATTCCAAAGCAAAGAGGGAACAAAAAAATAAAAATAAAACATAAACCAATATATACGTTCATACATGAAGATTTCTTTTCGTTAACGAGAACGGTTGAAGATGAAGAACGCGGTACTACTTCCACACTGCAGGTGGTGCACTCCTCAGCGGCGCTGGTTTGTGAAGCGACCCTCTCCCTGGCCACCGGAGCCTCTTCCGGAGCCCATGCCAGGTTTGGGGGCCATGCCGCCTCGAGGTGGTGGTCCCCTGCCGTCCCGCATCATTCCACTTCCCACGGCGGGTCTGGGGCCTCCGGGGCCTCGCTCGTTGCGCCTCATGTCCCGGCGGTCGTCTCCTCCTCCCCGGGTCTCTCGCTCGCGCACCGCCCTCGTCTTCTTCTCCTCCACATTCAGGCGCACCTCGCCTCGGAACATGATCGGCTGCAGGGGGAAAACCGCAGTCAATTAGTGACGAAGCCGGCTCGGGATATTTCCCTAATGCATTTCACCACCCACATCGTTCACTGGTTTGCACACACAAGTATGTCAACCTTTCCCAGATACCGCATTGATCAATCAAATATGTAAAAGCATACATTGCTTGAGGATTACTTTGTAAAACTCTGCTTATTCACATATTCAAATCAACCAGGCTATAATAAATAGGGCAGTTGCTTTTGTTTCAATCAATTTTAGTTACCTTTCAAGCTGGATTCATTTGTGTAGAAAGACACAAAAAGTGTTTGTTTTTAAACTCAATGCTATAGTTTGCATGACATATCAACTACGGACAGGACAATATGACATTACATGTGAATTTAAAACAGACAAGGGCTTCGGGTATTTCCTGTGGGTTTTTACCCCCGACTGTCAAATGTGTGTCACCAAACCACCACCAAAAAGTGGGTAATGAAGTTTCAATACATGCCCCTTCTACCTTCGCCCCCAGGATTCTTTGCACCGGGTCGGAGTCGTCAAAGACCACAAATCCAAAGTTAGGAAGCTTCCCACCAACGCCCTTGGTGTTGATCCGCAGCTCCACAACAGTTCCATATGCTGTAAGAAAGAAGGTGTGTAACTATTCATCCCCACTAAAAAAAAAAACCCTTATTTTTCATGTCGTGGAAAATTCATTAACAAAGAGTTGCTTTTTCTGAGGTAACTTACTCATGAAGAAGTCTTTGAGCTCGCTCTCATCAATGTCATGTGGGAGGTTGCCAACAAAAAGCTGGTGACTGTCTGGGTATCGGACAATCCGCCTGTTGTCCATCTCGCCGGGTTCAACATCTCGGCCACCTGCAGGTCAGAACAACGGCCAGATCAGCTCACACGCGTAATCTGCATTACAATCCTTAAACTAGAATGATATTCTTAACGAGCAAATTGGGAAAATCAAAGATAGGAATATAGATTCATTTAGATGTGACTTAAAGGATCATGTTTACCTTTGTTAACAAAACTCAAGTGTGGTTTCCCTGTTTGTGACTCCAAAGACGCAACACCATCTAATAGTGACAGAGTTATAAAACGTAAGAACAAGTGTAAAATAAACAGACACTACGCCCAATGGAACGAGCGTTGTTATTACCAGGCCTGGGACCCCGCTGAGTAAAGGTCGGTCTGTCGCGTGTGCGCTGGTCTCTGGACCGAAGAGGTGCGGTCTGTGTCTCCGTCTTGCCGTCTATTCTGGCCTGAGTGGGGGAGGAGCATTGCACAAAGAAAAAACACATCAACATCCTGGTCTTCATTTTCTTTTACATAGTGACCCAGAGAATCTGTTAATTCACCCCGCTTTGAGCTAGTTTTGCATTTCGGTCTCAACTCTCTCATGGCACTTCGCTGCAGTCAGTATGGCACACAGTTCTGTCAAAAAGGGGCTCTTTGCACAAATTTCCTCTATTGATGGTGTTGACCATCATCAAATAATCAATGAAAGGTATGATTGAAATAAAAACGTAGTTCCTTATATAGTGAACCCGTTCTAATGTGCTCTTGAGACCTAATGTCATTTGAAAAATTCAATAGTATGTTACCTGTGAGCTTGGAGCTTTAACAACATGGGGTGGCATTCCAGAGGAGGGGACTGTGCCGCTGGGAGGCAGGTTTTTACTGGTCACAGAAGCCCACGAGAAAGTCTGAAGGATGCATTAATCCCAGTTAACAGCAACAATTGCTTGACACCTTACTCGAACATTGGTAGGTGCATCTTTGGGCATGTTACTGCACATCATGAAAACATGGATGATATGGGACTGGACTGTGCATCACAGAATGACATGACATGTATAATAAAGAAACTTCTTCAAGTTTCATAATAAGTTCATAATAAAAAAAGTGTATTGTTTAATTTATACACAGAGGTTCAATCTGGTGCTGCTCCAGCCCGCTGTGACATCAGGTGCTGGTTTAATTTAAATTGCTGCACCAAACTAAATTAGGGACACTCATTAGGCTCTTCAGTTTATATTAGATCCAAGATCCACTGAACTGCCGACTAATATGGCCGCTGATGATCTCATTCAAGGAAACCACTGAGACGTAAACCAGATACATCAGGCTAACCTTGGGAGGCTCCTGGGTGTTTGGTGGGGATTCCACAGGGGCCGGTGATGGAGCTTTCTCCTCAATCTCTTCCTGAACCTTCTCATCTACGTCAGGCTTTATCTCCTCTACTTTGGGCTCTGGTTCAGGCTCTGGCTCAGGCTCCGGAGCTGGCTCCTCCATTGGCTCTTCTACTCCATTACTACGGAGGACAAATCTGCATGAGGTCACTTTACACACATTAAATGAAATGTCAAAAGCCTTTTTGGAAAAAAAAGGTCATAACAGAGTGATATTTATTTGAGATCAGATGAAGTTTGAGCATACGAGACAGGATGAGAATCATAATAAGTGGTGCTGTTGGGGCTTTCTTGAAGTGGCTCAGGGGATGGTTGCCTCTCCTCTTGCTCCTCTTCAACTTCCTCCTCTGATTCTAAATTCGAATAAGAAAAATATTTTGAAAATGACCAACCTAACATTTAAACATGTAAATGTCAACTATCTATTAATGTCGTACCTTCATCAAGCTCAGCTTCAGAGTCTCCAAAAACCTCATCTTCATAACGGAAAATGTCATTGTGGACGTAGAACTTATTCGCCACCGAACCCTATGGAAATTTGCCAGGCAAAAGAGTCCTTTTAAAAAATTAAAGTCAATGACAACTAATCAAATGGACTAAAAAAAAAACTCCAGATACCAGCTCCGTCCACAATTTCCATTTATTAAGCCATAAATCTTAAGAAATGAGTTGATATTATCACTCAACCTGAATGTATGTTAATAGTACTAAAAGGTGAAGGGGTACTCACTTCTGGCGCAAGCACAAATGTTTGCATAAACTTCCTCATGGGCTGACCATTGTTTGAAAGTTCTCCCAGGACTTGCACCACTACTCCATCACTCAGTGTGGCATGGGCATCGACATGCCTGATCTTTGTGTGGCACTCACTGAACTGCAGGGACATGACCTTCTTGTGGATTTCCTAAGAGATGCAAAGACAATTAGATCAACTCAAAAATTAATGAAGAGAAAAGGAGGAGACACATTTTTCGAAATCTGACTTCCACTAATGTCAAGAATTTGAAGTCACAGCCAGAGCGTCTACATTCCCAAAAAGAATTACTCCTCTCAACCTCCAAACCAGTTATTATCTTTTATGTCCAACTCAAACATTTTTTTTTAACTATGTTCAATTTAACCACAGTGAATAATATTGTACCACATACCTATTCCTTCATTAAAATCGTATTATTAGGGCAGAGCACTTACCGCTTGCCCGTACACCGCTTCTGCCAGCTTCCCAGTTGGGTCAAGTCCTCCATGAACATAGGAAGAATTCCTCCCATAAAACCTAATGGCACAACAATAGGAAGGTCAAATCGCCTGAACAAAACCTAAACGTTTAGTTAATTCCACATCACCTATAGGTAGTTACCTGTGTAGGAAATCTGGTGCCTTGTTTAAGAGTGTGTAATACTGCCTCACAAACTCCCGCCCTACAAGCAGGGGACTCGGCTTCTCCATCACCATTTCTTTGGTAGACAATATTAAGTGCTGTAACAGAAGATAGACATGGAATTCAATGTAGTAAAGACAAATTGTGGTATTATAGTTTTTTTCAGGAGACAATTTGACTGCATAATATAAAGGAGGTTTCTAAAACTGAAGGTAAATATTGTATTACTTGGTGTGACTACAATTAAAAGTGCATTAAAAAAACAATCATATAGTTAAAAGCACAAATTTCTGAAACAGTTTTATCAAAAAAAAGTTCAACATTTCAACTTGCATAACAGTTCGATTTGTTGCAAAGACCATGTTATATAATTTCACCAGGCATATGAAACAGCAACCGTGTGTAGGATACGGTTTGGAAAATGAGCTCAGTCAGTAAGATTACTACCCTAAACGTTTAGGCAATATTCGGGAAGAATACTTTATTTTAGTTTTTATGAACGTTTGTTATACCTTTAGGTAAACAACAGTTGCGTTTGAGTAGATAGTAGGAACGTTGCAGGAAGAACAAAAGGTCAATCGCATCTCCTTTTACAGAAACAACGTCTCACTTTGTTGTCCTAATAGTTTTAGTTTTTATTACACCAAATTTCATCGTATTGCAGAATTTAGACAGTTGAATATTAAGCTAGCTGGCTAACACACTAGCGAACACACAACTGCGCCATCGCGTTCATCCAATGAGACAAAGAAGGAAACCGGCTGTAAATAAAAAAGGGAAGCGATTGACGCAGGTTCTCAAAGTTTGGCAGCACAGAGCCATGTGTACTGTAATTAAATTCCACTTTAAAACACTAAGTTAACGTTATGTCACACATAACATACGAGTTACACATATGTATGTATCCCTTTGTAGACAAGTGGCCTACTGCATGAGTTAGTCAGGCCTTTCATGTCGAATGCTAACAACATTTAGCCATTTCTCGCATGCAGTTATATTATCCAAATTATATGACGGAATCATAATTTGTATTGCAAGTAGTTCCCCGTCTTAGGAATGACGCGCCTGTATTGTCAACTAGGTCAACCTTTTCTGGACTAGGAAAACAACGGAGGAAATACAGTCTGAACTAACGTTACTGGCCTCCCTGCTGTCATCTTAAATGGCTAACGTTAGCCGGCAAACAGAAAACCCACGCAAAGCTAGCGACATGCTAGTTGAAAAGCTAACATTAGCTTAAGCTAACTTGTGGCGTCGTCGTTTTTCCTTCAGCCAGCTCACATTTTGCAATATTGCAAGATAAATATATTTAAACACATAGTTACTGTCGACAAACACAGACAGGCGGAACTTGACAAGGCATAACTGCTGTACTAACACACAAATACAACTTGCACGCTGATAGCAAGCGGTAAAAAAGAAATCACCAAGCCGACACAACGTGAAGCTTTGCGATAGCCGTGTAACTACACCGATAAAGTGGCGATGAGCCTCAACAACCGACTCCTAATTTCCAATCATTTGTATCATAGTCGATATAACTCGTATCTATTATAAAGTTGCAACAAACTTTAAAATAAATTAACGTTACCCCCCAACTTTAGCCAGCTACATTGACTGTCAAAACCATTTGCAATGAAACAAATTGAGTGCTAGGCTAGCTCAAAGAAAACAAAGGAAGGCATATTTGACCAATTTACCGGCCATTGTCGATCTTTAAGTAAATATAATAGCTAACGTGGGCTTTTTGTACAGTAGGGGGTGGCTAACTGGATTGCAATGGTATGCTCCTACTACGTTACCTGTCTATCGAGTCGGTCGTGGTTTTGCTAACGTTAGCTAGACAATGCAGCTAGCTAACATTTGCTCGTACGGTTAACCCTAGCTTGCCAACCGTCTCATAGCCTAGCATAGATGAGGCTTACTTACCGTATGAAAGACCCTATCTATGTAGACAGAATTGTTTGTGATGAATATCTCCGAGTAACCGGCTGTAACCTGTTCAGAAATATCCCAGGGGGGGTGGGGTACTAGTGATATTTCCCTCGCTTCACTAACTAACACTTTATGATCTCTGCAGTCCCAGAGATTGCAGATTTAAAGTGATAGGGTCTATTTATTGTTATACCCCTGCGATCTGGGGCTGGGAACCCCCGTCACAAAGATTCAGCCAATGGACTGTTTACACTAAGCAACTTATATTATGACGACAGAAGACTAACCCCGCCTCCAAAATGTTATACTAATGCTGTCCGAAATTTTTACTTGACTGTAACAGTATTGAACGTTACACTCGCTACGCTTTTTGTTTTTCTCCTTCATATTTCTGATTTCAAGGCCTTTCTCCGCCTGCTTTTACGTAGTCTGCACTTTGTTAACTGCGAGGTATTGTTTTGATCAACTAGCCGCGTTGTTGTTGTTGTTGTTGTTGTTGAAAGAATATATAAGAATATAAAAAAAGATATAACAATGTGCTTACGAATCAACAACAACATGGAGAGAGTGAAAGAGAAGCACACACAACCCACAGATACTACACAAGAAAAAGGGAAGTTAGAGGTTGTGGTATTATACACAAATATGTGGTTTGTAATGTGATGACACCAGGAGATAAGGATGCAAAAGGAACGCTCACTTTACAGTTATGGGTCGACTATAGATACAATTGTTGTTGTACTTGTTTAGTATCAAAGAAGAATGTTTTAAATACAATTAAAATATTCCAATACATGGAACAATGGGAATATTCCACATATTTCAAATAGCTTATCACTATTGCGAGTGAGTTTTACAAGTCTAAGTGTTGAGCGCCACCAAGTGGTCAAAATAACTTTGTGTTTTACTCCTTTGCTTGTGTCCCAGGCTAGATTAGAACGGAGTAAATCGGCCATCATAATGGAGACAAAGTTAAAGCGAAGTATTCCCACCACATCAACAACACTTAAAGTTATGCCTGTTTTCTGTGCGCTGGTGTGAAGGGAAATGAAAAATGTTATGATCTAATGACTAAATGTACCTCAGAAAGCGCACCTGTTTTTTTCTTCTATGAACCATAAACATTTTAAATGTGAAAATAATTCATAGCATAGTCTCGTGTGTTCCCCTTGTTCTTGTTTCAAGTGACGGTATCATTTGTCAGTGAACAGCTCCTAAACCTGCAAGTACTGTTGTCATGGAAACCGCGGACCAAAACATACAGAGGTTGTGTAATACTGACGTCTATTTTCATCTTCATCCTGTATTTTAAATTAGAGCCAGACTTAATGGTCAAGATAAAATGTCCAGGAGGCTTAAAATACTTTAAAAAAATGACTTATTAATTAGAAGAATTACTTATGCGAGCTGACTTAGGATCATTGGGAATGTTTTTTAAAAAGCACAAAAAAGAAATACGTCAATTCAAACCGTTATTCTAAATGAATTTAACATAAACGAACTCAAAACACATGTCAAAAAAAGAGAAAGGTTTTCCGCGGAGGTGTTTTCCATTACTGCGACGCCATGACTTCTAATCGGAGTCCCAGACAAATGAGAAAAGGAGCTTTTTTCGGAGATGCAGTTGGAGAACAAGATGGCTGTCCGGGGACGAGACGAGGATCTTTCTTCTTCCACACATGAAATGGAATTTTAATGCGACCACCGGCGACATGTAAACAGTTAATTAAGCAGTAACGTGAATAGCTTATTAGGTAACGACTTTAAAGGCAAAACTTTGTGACGGAGGACATCGGTTTGTTTTAGACGAATCGAAGACTGCAAAGTTTTCTTAACGGATTTGCTGAGAGTGAAATTAACTTACTAACGCTGACGTTTTAGTAGCATGATTTAAATGCACCGAGTGTGACTTCCACACACCGCGTAACCTCTTTCTCTTGATTCGTTATTTCTCCAAATCTCCTAAACTGTCTGCCGGTGTGTTTTTCTGCGTTTGCGGTTAAAGCTTCGCGAATGCCCGAAGAAATGTTTCAGCCGCTGTAAACATTTATGAAGTTTAGTTTATTTTTTTTCACCATAACCTTTAACGGGTTTTTTCTCCGCCGACATAAACCCGCGTTAGTTACACCAAAAGAGAAAAGAAGCTAACGGGACCATGAGTTCATCCCGAGTCAGACCGCAGCAGCCGCCGCGGAGCCAAACGGGCAGGTTGCCCCGCAGCCTCGACCCGGCCGACGGCATCGAGATGGAGAACATCCAGCATCGAGACCTGGGACTCGGGGGAGTGATCGGCACCCCGTCCCCTCCGTCGAGACAGGCCTGGAGCCGGGATAACCCGGGGTTTGAGCCCGAGGAGGAGATCATGGAAGCCGACTGGCCTCCGGCGAGTCCCGGGAGGAGGTCGGTGTCCACGGCCTCCAGCGGCAGCGGCGGTGGCGGCAGCCCGGGCAGTTTCATCGGGGCGGGCAGCAGCACCCAGATCCCCCGGGGAGGACTGTACCCGACCCCGAGCGGGGATGCGCGGCAGCAGGACCGGCTGGACCACCGCAGCTGTATGAAGCAGATGCTCCAAAGGATCAGAAGTTAGTCACTTTTACTACATTTCTTCATGAATCACAACACGTTTTCTGTGGTCTAACATGTTTATAGTGAATTTGTTGTGTAGCACGGACTCATCTAGCTGAGTATGTGGCAGAAAATAATTGTAATATTTCTTTCTTTGCAGTTTTGTGGGGCACAGAGCTGATGGAGGACAGCGACAGCAGTCGAGAGAGGTACCTCAGGAACGTGCTGAGGGAGATGATTACATACATAACATTCCTCATCACTATTTGTATATGTAAGTAACCACCAAAAAAAAAGCCTTTCAAATGACGTGACATTCTATGAATAGGATGGTGCGTCCTGCTCCTGACTCAATTAAGGTTTCTGTCTCAAAAACAAAGTAGGCAATTGACCATTATGCCATTCTCTACCAATTACATAATGTCCTGTTAGTAAAGGAATTAACAATATTAAATACTTACTTAAAAAATGTATACTACAACATAAACCTTAGGACATGTGTCGGATACATAGTAGAAGGTCATATTGATGATCAGGTCCCAAAGATGTGGGACATATCTAGAAAGTAAAATATAATGTAGTGTCCTAAAAGTTATTCCAGAAACAAAGTGACAGTTGTCCCAAGTGACTTGGAGTTATTTTCCAAGCTCACAGTGTAAGTATCTTAATGGTTTTGACAGCTGGAAATTGGAACTCGGACACTCGTCAGGGGGCTTGGATTTCAACAACATCATAAAATTTGATGACTGCATGTTGGGATGGTAAAAACATTCATGGAAATCCTAAATTTAAAATGCGTGGGATGAGAAAAGTTGTGGTAACATTTTCGACTCTTTTTTTTCCGCTATGGTTTAGGGCGGATCAGGAAATGATATTCTGGCAGACTCACATTCTGCTGAGCGTAGCTTGACTTTTGAACATAGTTTCCAGAGCTGCTCACTGAGGGATTACTGAATGCCTCAGAGAATAGCAATGCACAAAACTAAATAAAGTTTAACGTTAATTGTTTTCCTTTTCATTTCTCTAATTCTTTTCACTGTCAAGCCAGATGCAAAGCGCACATTGTTAAAGCATTCACTTTCTTTTAATTCTTGTCTTTGTCATTCTGCAATGTCCTTTGGGCTCGCAATGTCGTCGTGCTAATAGAAACTTCCCTCTCAGTAATGTTATATTGTGATTTGCTCTGCAGTGACCTACGGGATGGTGAGTGCCAATATGTACTACTATACCAAAGTCATGTCTGAGCTTTTTTTGGACACACCGCTGTCCGCCGGGGACCCCTCCACTTTTAGAAGCCTTTCCACCATGGAGGACTTCTGGAAGGTAAAATGCAAATTTCATCACCGTTTGCTAAAACGCAAATGTTTTCTATTTTGTTGCATCTTGACAAAAGACGCCTTCGCACATCTCCGTCTGATGCGAGTATTTTGTAGTAGCAGAAACACATTTGCTTTCGTGAGCACACTGAGTTGTAGTTGAGCAGAAATGAATTCCTGAGTAGTGAAACTCAGGGGAAATTGTGCTCCACATTGGAAAAGGGTGCAGCATCTATAACCCTCAAACACATTGGTAAAGTCGGACTGCAGCCAGATTATAGGAAAAACTTTGAGATAAACAATCACCGATGCAGCTTTAGGGCATCTCTCGCTTCGTAATGCCTCAGTCCGACCTCTTCTGTGCATTGATTCTGATTGTCCTACAACTTATAGTTCACAGAAGGACCTTTTCTCAACGGCATGTACTGGGAGGTTTGGTACAACAACAAGAGCCTGCCGGAGAATCAGAGTCTCATCTACTATGAGAACCTCCTCCTCGGGGTGCCACGGCTCCGGCAGCTGAAGGTCCGAAACGAGTCCTGCTCCGTCCACGAAGATCTGAGAGACGAGGTTCTGGACTGCTACAACATGTACACCCCGACCAATGAGGAGAGGGCCTCGTTTGGCCCCAAGATTGGAACCGCGTAAGTTCATGCATTTCATTCGATATCATTTAATTACTTAGTTTATCAAAAAGTAGGTTAGATCTGCATCAAATGCATTGCACTAACAAATGTCTACATGTTAAATCTTTTAGGTGGGTGTACACAGCAGAGAGTGACATGGACGGCGGCGGTTATGTGGGCCAGATTTCTAAATATGGAGGTGGAGGCTACTACCAAGACCTGTCTCGTACTAAAGAGGAGTCGGCAGCCCAACTGCAGTTCCTCAAAGACCAGCTGTGGCTGGACAGAGGCACCAGAGCGGTGTTTCTCGACTTCTCCGTCTACAATGGGAACATCAACCTCTTCTGCATTGCCAGGTAAGACCCTTCATTCACGCAGCTTTTTACACATTTATCTCTAGGTGTTTTGATTTGATCTAAACACTCTAAATATGGGAGTATTTTGATTGACGTGGCGTAGAATACAAAGAAGATACGGTACAATTATGGCAATTTACGGAGTTGTTGTCTGACATTTCAAATGCCAAAGATATTAGATTTAAGAGGAAACAGAAATGTAATAAAACATTTGTTAATGTCTGGTATTACTTTTTGAAAACTGACTTAAATAATGAATTATCAAAACAGTTATTCATTAGCCATTACAGTCTGAACAGCGAAAGAAGGCTTCGCCCACGATGAATCTTAATTTACATACCTGTGCTTTTTTTCGTCAGGTTGTTGGTGGAGTTCCCTGCTACTGGCGGGGTGGTGACCTCCTGGCAGTTCCAAACAGTGCGTCTGATACGATACGTGTCCAGCTGGGACTACTTTGTGGGTCTGTGTGAGGTGGCGTTCTGCCTATTCATCGTCTACTACATGGTGGAGGAAGTGCTGGAGGTCCGCATCCACCGCTTGCATTACTTCAAGAGCCTGTGGAACTGTCTGGACGTTCTCATTGTCGTGGTGTGTATCGTAGGTATTATAATCGTTGGACAACCTTTTTAACCGAAATGACTTGAGTTTGTTGTTTTCCCCGTCTGCTCCTTCCTCAGTTGAGTGTCGTTGCCATCATTATGAACATAACCAGAACAGCCATGGTTAGCAGCCGTCTTAAAGGCCTGTTGGAGAACCACACTGCTCACCCGACTTTTGAGCCTTTGGCCAACCTGCAGATCCAGTTCAACAACATGGCTGCAGTCATCGTCTTTTTTTCCTGGGTCAAGGTGCAAATCTTCTCACTTTGGTTCATAATCAGTGCTGAACAACCTGGAGTGGAAGAACACGAGTACTGTTTCTACCGATTGACACTTTTCTCACATTTCTCGCAGCTTTTTAAGTTCATCAACTTCAATAAGACCATGAGCCAGCTGTCCGGCACCATGTCTCGCTGTGCCAAGGACCTGGTGGGTTTTGCCATCATGTTCTTCATCATCTTCCTGGCCTACGCTCAACTGGCCTACCTGGTGTTTGGAACCCAAGTCAACGATTTCAGCACTTTCCAAGCCAGCATGTATGTTATTCAAAGTCAACTTCACACAAGTACAAACATCTGAAGCAACTGTTGTTGTCCTGTTTGTCAAAACATGTTGTTTCTGGTCCGCGTAGATTTACCCAGTTCCGAATCATTCTGGGAGACTTTGAGTTCTCAGAAATAATGGAAGCAAATCCAGTGCTCGGACCCATTTACTATACAACATTTGCCTTCTTCATTTTCTTTATTCTCATGGTGAGTATTGTGAAGCCTGCTGTGTTGAAGTTTGTTCATCTTGTTCACATGACCCCCCTCCTCACTGACACACGTGTTCTTATCCTTTCTGTAAAGAACATGTTCCTTGCCATCATCAACGACACATACTCCGAGGTGAAGGCCGACATGTCCCAGCAGAGGTCTGAAATGGAAATGACGGATCTCCTTAAGAAGGTATTGAACTACACATACATTCTTTATTAGAAAGGATATCAGCTAAGCGGGTTTCTTCCCGCAAGTGGTTTCGTTTGTTGTTTGCTAGTTTTTGTTTTACTTTCAGCTTTGACTGATTTGTTTAGGAAGTCCGAATGTAAGTCTAAGGATTCTCCTCTCTCAGGGCTGTAACAAAGCTTTGATGAAGTTAAGACTGAAGAAGACAGCAGTCGACGACATCTCCGACAGCTTGCGTCAGGCCGGGGGCAAACTAAACTTTAATGAACTCCGCCAGGATCTTAAAGGGTGAATAAATACTTCAGAAAACACTAAACGCTGTTCACTATTAGGATATCATCTCAAAGCGACGTGTCCTGAGAGCGTTTCCATCGTTTTTTTTTCCCTCAGAAAGGGACACACAGACGCGGAGATTCAGGCCATCTTTGCCAAGTATGATCACGACGGCGACCAGGAGCTGACAGAGAACGACCACCAGCAGATGAGAGACGACCTGGAGAAAGAGAGAGTGAGTGACGATGCCGACTGCAACACACAACAACCCACGTGTGGGTCACGCTCAGCCAAAACAGCGCTGCAGATGTTCAGCGTGTGACTCTGCTCGCTTGGCAGGAGGATTTGGATCTGGAACGCAATTCGCTGACGAGACCCAGCAGCGGGCGGAGCTTCACTCGTACACAAGACGACTCGGAGGAAGACGACGACGAGGACAGCGGCCACAGCTCTCGGCGCCGCGGCAGTAGCTCAGGGGGTGTCTCCTATGAAGAGTTTCAAGTGTATGCGATTTTATTATTATGCCATAGCTTGAATGCAGGTTAATGCTGAACTATATGTGATGAATATGGATGCTATCAGTTTTAAAACATCGAGTTTAAACTTTCCATAGTTAAACGATGTAATGATCCGATTTTTATTCTTCTACACGGCCTCCATTCCACTCATTTCTTTAAGGCCCCCTCTTCGTCTTGACATCCCGGTTCTTCATTTTATAAGATGAACGTAGTGGTACATAATATATAGTATACTAGGGAACCCACGTCTCTCTGTGTTTCTCAGGCTGGTGAGACGGGTGGACAGAATGGAGCACTCAATCGGCAGCATAGTGTCCAAAATAGATGCTGTGATCGTGAAGTTGGAAACCATGGAGAGAGCCGTACTGAAAAGAAGGGACGTGCTGGGCAGACTGCTGGACGGAGTTATGGAGGTGAGTTGCTGTGGAGGTAAAGTCGGGGGGTGAATTTTATGTTTGAAAACACAAGGTGGTGACAAATAGGACTCCAAACACAGTAACTTGGTTGCTCCCCATCCGCTGCTGTCTGTCTGTCTGTCTGTTAATGGGCGACTTGATTGCAATATCAACTGCAACGGTGAGGTCACTGTTATGTTTCTTTTGCCATCAAGTGTCCCAAAAAACTGTGATAGAAGTTTGACGAACTGGGTTCCAGCCGCCTGGATGACATTCTGCCATGACTGCATTGCAAGACAGTTTCTGTAATCGAGAAAAGGGAAAACCTGATTTCCTCAACTAGATTTTTCCTGGTGAAATCAGATGTCTTCTTAAATGTTACATCATTAATACAATTAACCTACAAAAGCCATGTTCCATTAAGTTGGTTGTCGGCAGGAAATGTAAATACCGTCCGGCTGCATGAGCTGTATCTGCCGTTCTTCATGAATCAGCTGCCTACACCGCACATGCAGATCCGCTAACAACTGGGCACATTGTCAGATATGTTACGTGACCTGGTTTCTCATGTGCATGAAAACGAGCGCTACAAATCTGGTATCGTCTTCCAGGACGAGCGCCTGGGACGGGACGCGGACGCTCACAGTGAGCTGCTGGAGAGGCTGGTGAGGGAGGAACTGGAACGCTGCGAGTCCGACGACACGGTCTCACAGGTCAGCCACCCACAGCCCGCAACTCCCGTCGGCCCCCGGCCCCGTCCGTCCTCCTCCCTGTCCACCGACGGCATGAGCACAAACGGGAGCAGCCACGTGTGATGATTCCACTCCAGCAAAAAGAGAAAAAAAAAAGCTCTCCACTGGTAATGTACCAGCAGCCGGATGAGTAACCGAGATAATATTTTCATGAGGTATTACAAAAAGGAGGTGACAAAATCAAACGCACTTTACCTCCAATACTTTAATGCACTGAAAGTGAGTGGGGTTCTTCTGTGAGGCATCTAAACGTACTCACTAAAGCTACTATCAAGTATTACCTTAAGAGGAGGATGAAAGGAAAACAAGGTTGAAGAATAACAAAGTATTTACAGTACAGTGTTACGTCACAGTATATAACACACCAGCCACACTTGTATTCTGAATACGCAGCGTATGGTTTTATTATTCCATGGGAAATATGCTCACCTGCTTTTGATTACTGTATCCATCTTAGTATTTACACAAATACCAAAAATGCATTTCTGTTAATTGTGCTGATTCCTTTTTTTCATAATTTTAATACACAGTAGGTACAAGTGTGACACATTCTGCCATGTTTACTTATCCTCTGTACACCAGTTAAGCTTCCAATTAAATAGCTTATCATTTTATGATACATATTGTAACTTAAAACAAACTTCGATTTGGAGTGCATCTAGTGTTCATGGGAAACCCATGCATTTATTATTTTCTCTCTGCCTTACATTTTTTACAATCTATTTCTTTTTGTAATCTGTTATGCCAAATAAAGTGTTTTGAAAAAATACGTTTGTGTTATTTGTTGCACTTTCTCTGGCTTTTAATTTTGAGTAACAAGAAAGCAACAATAATCCACCATAAATCACTCCTCAACCATTACCCACATGTGATAAAACACTATCTTGTTTAAAGAAATTAACAGTTTTTAGAACTGTGTTTTTATAATAAGGATTAGTTTATGGTAGTGACAAATCTGTATTGGTCTTATATAATATTTAGAATACTTCTGCATTTTCTATAAATTAGTTGTAGATAGATTAAAAAAAATATAAAAATGTAATTTACGCAAACAGCACGTAAATTAAAATATCACTGTAAATGTACACCCGAAAAATCCATTCAGAAATGTGACCTGTTGTACTAATACTCCCACACTCGCAGTTAATTGTAATCAACTGATTTAAATCTAACCAATACACAACCAAATCAATGCCAAATTATATAGTTATTCTTAGGAAATCACCAATCTGTAAAATAAGTTTGTTTTGTAATCAAACGACAAACGATCATATACATTTAACAAAGTGACAGATTAACATTTAAAAAACCTACACTTAAAAGTTCAAAAAAATCTTGATATAAATGGAAGGCTTTTTTATTTTATATATATATATTTTAATCAAACAAAGCTCACATCTGATATTCCTAGATTCTGCCAGCATTCCCCTCAATCAGATCGTATTTACCTGCTCTTGCTTCCTACCTACTCAAAGATAAATAAAAACCCCCAAAAAATCAGGATAAACAGTTTAATTGTTGATAGACAAAGCTACAAACTGTACAGAATGGTATTGCAGTGATGATACGGTGATCACACATACGATAAAATCAGTCTCCAAACAGAAAGCCCTTTGGAGTGGAGTCAGGACATTATCCAGCCCGAAAAGCTGCTTTTTGATCATCAATGTGCGTAAACATCCCTCGTCATGGCCAATGTGACCGCTGTCACACGAGAGAGTGCTCCTCACAGTTTTAAGACAGTCACAATATATATAAGCGCAAACCATGGACACACTCGAGGAAGTAGAAGATCAATACTCCCATATTTAGAGTTTTTTCAGCGGTCTCATCTAACTCTGTGCTAATAACTCGATAATGGCGTACTATTATTTTGGGAGGGGAAGTACCTGGTGAGCAGCTATTGTCCTGGTTCAATGAAGACAAAAAAAAAAGATGCATAATGACGCGTTTAAGTAAATTTCTTGATGTAGCGGAGTTTCAGATAGGCAATGATGAGTAATATGAGCATCATAATGGTCAGAGCCACATGGTTTCCCCACAGTCCCCAGGTGGTGTGCTCTATTCCCAAGTAGTCCAGATACTGCTCCCCCGTACACCTGAAAGAACAACCCCATCACGTCACTTACGCATTAAATATCCATAACTAAGCAGATTTAACTAGTGTTAGTCAACAGGAATGTTTCTTAAGACTTTCAACATTTTTCAACAAGTCCCAGTTTGTCACAGGTGGTATAAACCAGTAAGCTACAACCAGCACGCTGCTCTACTCACGTCGGGCCGACTGTGCTCACACTGCGGTTCGTCCCAGCAGGGGACATGTTGGTGTTTTGGATCAGAGCCTCGTCACAAAACGTCAAACCCACAAACTCACTGATCTGCAAGGCCTGAACACAGACAACATAATCAATAAAAGCCAAGACAGTAGATTCTTGATTGAGACGGCTTGCTTATTTCTGATGATCAATGGAGAAACGTGGTCATTCAATTATTAATTATCATTCATATTAATCCATTCATGCATTATTATCAATGTCTGTATGTATAATGGGTGTTAGATTTGATATTGTTGTCTGTGTGCTGAATTTATTTCCTAACAACTCCTCTTTATTAATAGAATTCATTTCACATGTGAAACATCAAAATGAATATACACATATATATTGTGTGTCAATGCCTCCCATTATTTGTGACTTACTGCGAAGCCGTAGCGAGGAATGCTAAAGTACCGCAGCCAGGCCAGCCAGGCCTTCATGCTGGGTAAGTTCACCAGGAGACCCGAGAAGATCTAAAAACACGACACAAACTGAAGCCTCTTCCTCGGCGGCAGCAACAACGACAGCAACAACTGTGCTTGAAATCCACTTGTGCGCACGTGAGCGTCTCACCATCATAAAAACAAAGGTGATAGTCATGTAGATGTTGGCGAGCGCCACGATGCTCTGGTCAGCCGAAATGGCCATGGTCAACGCTGTGGCTGTGTAAGCCACCAGGGTTACGGTCAGCGTGAAGATGGCGAAGGAAGCAGCTGTGGATTTGAGCCCTGGGTGGACGGACGGACGGACGCACAGATATCTTTTATGCGTATTTTTGACCAGCCGGCTGCGAATGATCAAAAACTGCCGGTTTTAAAAAGCATTTTTGGCAATTAGCTGGGCTAAAAACCAAGCGATACCCGATCTACTGGAGGCAGCTTTTTAGCTTTCTTTTGGTGAAAACCCGAACATCCTTATTAAAAAATGGTGTCATTTTGAACAAGCTTAATTTCATGCCTATCAAATAAAGGCATGATGAGACATTAATAAGTAACAAGAAATACAAAATACAGACATGTGGTTGTGTGCATTTAAATTCAGCATTCAATCCAGTGCCAAGTATCCACACATGAACTAGTTAACTCATCGGACAGTCTTACCAATCATGAAGTAGACAATGCTGCTGAAGATAACAGAGGTGATGGTGCGCAGAGCGATGTCCGCCAAGATCTTAGAGAGGAAGTAGACGGACACTCGGTAGTAGCCACTGATGTACTCGTGCCTGTCACAGGAAAATCAAATTCTTCACCCTGTCCACTTCTTCCCAATTACTTTTTAATTATCCACACAGGTTTCATAAGGACGTCAGTGTCCTGCACGACTTCCTGACAGAAGACAGATTTGTTACTGGCTGGGATTATCCTTGTTTCATGTTACGTAAAATGCCAATCTTGTCCAAAAAAGTGAATGGTCGCACATCTTCCTGATGGAAGGAGGATCTTAAAGTGCGCAATTTGATTTCATGAATGGATAGCAGACATTTTCTAACCCCAACCGCAGAAAAATACTATCGGAATAATAAATATCTAATACCGTATCTAAAGTCTGCTGTGCATTTAACGCTGGAACACACCGAGTGACCCCCCCCGACCTCTATTACATACACAAACAGCTTCCTCTCCATGATGAAGAGCTCCGCTGCAGACACGGTGCTGAAACACTGGTTGATTGTGATGAAGAAGAGGACCCCCATCCTGGTGGAACGGAGAAGCAAAACCTCATCATTGAGTCTCTCTGTGGCATTATTGCAACCTTTTCACGTCATGTTCCACAAATACTATACGTACTGGTTCCAGGTGTCTGAAGAGAGAAAGGGCACACACATAATATAGAGTATATATTTAAAAGACAGTGACAAAGGGAACAGGATAAGAGGATTGAAGAGTTGAAAACAATGAAAATAGCTTGACATGATGGGTATTTATTGAAGTAATATAAAATTGCTGGAAAATCAAAAAGAAAATCAAAAAGGGTTGACAAGCGTTTTGGAGAAATTCAAAATTCTGTTCATAGTCTTAAATAAGTAAGTACAATACAATTTTCTACTGAGTTTAACATGCCATGTAAACATGTTCTGCTTTTCTTATTACAATAGTTGACTCCAGAGGGATTATGGTACTAAATGCAATGTGTCCCTACGTACAGACAGGGACTTAAAAGGCAACTAAATCCACTTTGACCTGCACCCAGTGAAAAGGGGGGAGGGCCGGATAACTGGAGACATTTAAGCCGGGCACGCTGGTTTCTACTACGCTGCCTACGCATTGACCATGTATATAATGACATTAAGTCCTTATATTTCACTGAACCATAAAAAAGAGCGAGACCGTTGAAATGTCTAATGTGCCTCGCTGAGTACCAGGTTGTGCCCAATAAAACTTGTTAAGCGGATTAGACGTGTAGGAACTGCTCTACAATTCACACCCAAAAGCAAGTGACTCACTTAAAAAATAGAAAAATGCACTTTAATGCATATATTATATAGGTACTGTTTTCATAGAAATAATTAAATAAGCATATCTTTGTGTATATTATAACAGATATAGAGATCATAATAGTATTGGATCCATAATAAATAATAATGTTAATAATAAGAAATGTATTTGTTTATAACCAGCCAATAGATATAATAAGAAAGAAATATATTCATAAATGAGATAGTAAATAGGCTTTTGAAGCCACTAAGAAATCCGCCCAGTTGCAATAAAAAAAAGTTCTTTGTCAATGGGGAGGAATTATGATACCTTGTGATTCATTTTGGGAACGTTTCTCTAATGTTTCTTTCCTTAACCTTTAACAGTCTTGGTCAACGCATTGTTCTTGCTAACTGACAGTTGAGTTGGTGATGTTTGAGCACAGTGGTATTCGTCATTGTTGACTGTTTTGTATACTGGGCACTATTTCAGCAGGTTTCTCACCTGTTCTGCATCCCACTCTGATCCTCTTTGACCCCGAAGAAAATAGCTCCAACAACGAGGGCGAGGAAAATGTTGACCCCCAGCTGCACGGACAAAAACAAGAGATTTAATAGGAGCATCGACAACCATTTAGAAAGTCTCCTTTTAAATTAGCAACCATGGTCAAAAACCAAACTATTTTTATAAGAACAAATGTATTTTCCGACCTTCAGTGAGGTCACCGTACGACACATGATAATGAAACAAAAAGATTGTCCTTTTATTTCTTTGATTCTCTTGAAGGTTGTCATAATAATTCTGTTAAGCTTCTTCTGCACAGTGCAAGTAGAAGAGGTGCCAGAAACACCGTGTCAGTAAATGTAATTTATCATTAAACGAAAAAAATATTTGGAGATTTAAACTATTGAGTTGAACAAAAGTTTATTTTAACACCTTTCTTTGCAATCGATGAAGTCAGTCACTCGGTTCTAATTGCGTGCTGTCGCGAATTATATTTGAATCTAAATAAGATTGAAAAAAACCCCCCGGATGATCCTGGGCATCTCGAGGGAGAAAAGTGAAACCAACACAGGTTTTAATCCCAACAATTTGCCGAGTGTGATGGGACTAAGTGGTTCCCAGGGTGAGGGGATAAGCTAATAAGGTTGAGCCTTTTTCACCTCATTCCCCGCGGCCCCTCATGTGAAAGTGGGGCAGCGGAGCGACGGATCATGAAGGCATCATGTGATGAGTCGCCGACCGGAGCCGAGGCGCTTTGTCTAGATATGATATCAGTTCAGATCCTGGCCCAAGGGGGCCAGAGTTTGGGTCGCAACAGTCGCCAAAGCCGATTACGGCGCCCACGCCACCTCGAGCCACTCTTGAAGGATTATTTTGACTTATTTAGAGCCAATTAACTGTTAATAATTCTTAAAGTGAGGAGACTTCTGACGGCATTTTGCCGCCGTCGGGTGACTAATGAGAGGATTAAGTCTCGACCCCTCCTAAGTGATGTCTTTGCATCCTGTTCAAGATGATAACAGCACTGACATTGATTATTTTTCTGCTATTTTCACTCTATGAGACCGTTTAAACCTTGAACTGTTACTTACTTATGTGACTCACTTGTAGAATCTACTTCAGATCAATAAATACATAAAAATTAAGTGCTTGTTTTATGGAGCGGGAATTAGAAAAGTTATAATGGGGATATTGTTGTTCAAACACAAAAGTTACTGCTGCCCCCAAAACATATAGGTAGAATGGAACAAATGAATCCTTCCCTTCGTACATTTTGTTGAATTCGCTTATTTTCTTTTGCTATCAAAAGGTCAAAAGTCAAAACTCCTGGAAAGAGTTGGGCCAAAAGTTGGAAACTGCAAGCTGGAACTAATTCACAAGAATTTGGCAAGTTGAAGAAGTAAATAATAGTTCATCGCGTATTTGCTCTGTTACTTATTTGCCATTCTTTATTTCATGTGCAATATGTCCAGCGACCGTGGAGGTACCTTACCTCTGACCAGTGTCGCGTTCCAGCTGAGTAACAGAGACGCATACCTGGGCCACAGACGTCTGTGGGGTCAGCATGAGGTTCTGGAAGGTTCTCTTGAGAACCCAGCGTAGCTGGTGGCAGAAGGAGCTGTTGTAGGTGATGGCGTGAGCCGGCGAGTACGAGAAGCACTTCCTCTCCTGGACGATGCGCTCCAGCTCGGCTCTCGTGTCGCTGGAGTAGCTGCTGTTCCTGTACTCCTCCACCAGGCTCTCCTGGATGCTCTGCCTGGAACTGATGAGCTCCTCAAAGTCCAAATCTGGACATGCACAGCGGGGGAGAAATTACAGATGTAGGAACAGGGAATACTTTTCTATGAAAAAAGGACCCGGAATTACATTGAGGTTTGTTGAGGCTGAGGTCCGTTACTGTGGTTACTAAGCCCGTCACACCGGTCCTCATGCAGAATACGTCTGTTCTCTGTGATTCTATTAATGTATAATTATTCTTCTAACTTTCTGATGTATTCAGTTTGAGCTTATTTCTAGATTGTATTGTTGCTCTTTCAATTTTGAATATATATGTGTTTGTATTCATTGCGTTTCTTTTGTATCTGGCTTAAAAGCCTTTTAAGTTAATTTGTTGAAACAAACAAACCTAATAATAATACACATCACATTTCATAAAATGGTACAAAAATGGTACAAAACCACCCTGACAGAATTTTTCTTTTAATCGCCGTTACCTTCAGAGCCACGGGCTTTGGTCGTGGCGGTGGAGTCTCCATTTATAACATCCAGAAAGAAGTCGGCCGGGTTGTTGTGGGGCTCACAGAGGTAACCTGCAGCACAGATCACGGGATTACCACCCAATACCAACGCGGGTCCGGTGTTCCGTTGATGTTAGATGGCACCTGGTGGCGTTGATGGTTTCCACATACTCACCAATGTCGGTGAAGTAGTCCAAAGCGTTTGGCGCCGGTCCGTGGTAAACCATCTTACCACCGACCAGCAGAGTCAGAGTGTCAAACAGTCGGTAGATGGAGTATCGGGGTTGGTGGATGGACATGATTATGGTTCTCCCGTCGCTGGCCATTCTGCAAAGACACACAGTCAAAATATGTATTGAATTTAATAAAATGAAGATTCCTTTTCATTTGAAAAAACACCACACACTACAAAGTCATTAAACTTATGTTAAAGAAAATTATGAAATAAATTTAAATATTAATCAATTCATTCATTATAATTGAAAACGGTAGAAGTCAAAGACAAGTGACACACATGGACTGTAGTTTTTCATTTTAGTTAATTTAATTGGATATAGCGAAGTATTTTTGTTTTTTTCAAGATTTATTTTGAATGTAGGTGATGTAGATTCTGATGTACGGGGTGATTAATATCATAATGTTATATTAAGACGTTGATATTGATTATTATAAGTTTGATTCAAACATTTTAAAGGTAACTTTTGCTCAAACATCAACCAAAACATTTCATTATGATATTTAATTAGATACGGATTTAGTTTGGGGGAACAGACAAAGCTGTGAACTCCGCAGTAAAGTCAGAGGAATGGCAGAGCAGCTTCTTTGTCACCTCTTCAGCAGCAGCAGGACAGAGTTAGCGGTGCTGGCGTCCAGTCCGGTGGTCGGCTCATCCAGAAAGAGAACCGAGGGATCAATGATCAGCTCCATGCCGATGTTCGTCCTCTTCCTCTCTCCTCCCGAGATCCCCCTCGTCATCTGTGTGCCCACCTGAGGGGAAACACGCGCAGAGGTCGGCCGTAACCCTCCGCCGCCGCGGTCTGAACGTCGCGGGAGACGAGTGACAGTGTGCACGGCCGACTCCACGTACCTTGGAGTCGGCCACTTTGGCGAGGCCCAGTTCTTCAATGAGATGGTTGACTCGGGCCTCCTTCTCGCTCTGGTGCACGGAGCTGGAGAGGCGCAGTGCCGCGGAAAAACGAAGATTCTCCCTCACTGTCAGCGTGCCCATGACCACGTCCTCCTGTCAGAGGAGACAAGAGCCTCGGGGGTCAAAGTGTCAAAGGGAAGATCAGCTGTTTTGTGGTCTTTCCTCATTTGAATTGATGACATAACAGTGTTTAAAGCGGCTGTAATCATTTTTGTGTCTTTGGGCTCATTGATGTGCTTTTGTAGCCCCTTGGGGGAAGTTGTTTCAGTGAAAAAGCTTGAATATGGGCTAAAAGTTCATGCAGATTTAAGTAATTGAAATGATTGATATGAACCTGAACCACGTAGCCAGAGAGGCACTTGAAGTTGGGAGGCTGTGGTGCTTTGTCAATGAGTACTTCTCCCAGGAGACCTGAAGGATCCTTTCTTGCAGCCAGAATGTCCAAGAATCTTTTTTCAAATAAAAACAACCAAAAAGAAACAATAAATACAGGAACACCGACAGACAAAGCGGACCGTTTTCAATCATTTTGATACTCACGAAGACTTTCCGCTTCCAGTAGGTCCGAGAATAGCGTTGAGGCCCGGTCTCATAATCCCACTGCAAGACGACGACACACACTCGCCGTAACCAACTCAACACGGATTAATTTATTGAAAAGGCAAAGATCAAGGGCGTACTTAAATGCTTTGCATTCATAATCCAAGATTTTCCCTTTTCACTCATGTGAGGACTGAACAAAAGAAAGTGATTCTTGAACATGTGATGAAACGCATTAATCACTTTAATTACTGCACTTTTCTTTAAACAAACGTACCTCCCTCATTAATATAAAATAATATCCATGAAAAGATTAAGGAGTGGTTAAAAATCAAAAACGTCATGGAAGCTGTACGTAAAGAAAAATTCCTTACACAAAAGAGAGACGAGAAAGAGTCCGTATATAAAATGGGATGAAAAGACTCGTGGATCACGTGCCGGTGTTTAATTCGTTCCCCTGGCAGACTGCTCTTTAGTGCACCAGAGAGATTATATGCAAGAAACCATGCTTAATATCATTTAATTAACCCTGAGGCGGGAAAAGGCCTAGAAACTTGTGTGAAATGATTCTTTCTTTCATGGGAAATGTCAGTTTGATTTAATATCACCAGAAAGAAACCACTTAAAGAGTCTTTTCACTATTGTTCCACTTTGAATTGGGACAAAATGAGCCATATTGACCTGCAGTTACTTTGACACGGTCTCCTAAATTCAGAATGTCTGCTATCAATAATATTTTTTGTCTTATTTACTAAGAAAATGCTCAGAATTACTCAGCTGCAAATGATCAGAGAAAGCAACAAGTAGGACATCGGAGTTGTAGTCTGTGAATGACGAGGGAAAACATAAAAGGGAAAGATGCCAGCGATAAAAAGTACAAAACAAAAGGAAATAAGTTAAACAATGTACAATTTTTATACAACTGACTTGAGGTCGAACAGTATTCCCCTGTGGCCGCTTTTCCTTTTGCACAAGAAGCCGCTCCTCTGCGGAACCTTGTACTGGATGCTGTGGAAGCTCACGGTGGAGCCGCGCTGCTGCTGCTGCTTCTGGTCCGCGGCCGCCACGACCTTTGACCCGGCCGCCCCGTTGGTGCCGACGTCGTCTGTCATCGCGATGTTGACGTGACAGCCTCTCTCCATCATCTTATGCAGCGAGCGTGTTGCCTACCGGAGCGACGCAAAACAGCGCAGACACAGGAATGCATGTCGGGGTTTCACACGGCACAAATCGCACATACGTGCGTGCGTGCGTGTGCAGTTAAATTGAGCATGCATCTGAGAGAAAGCAATAACACGACGGAAGCAGTGACGTTGTCGTGCAATTGTTTTAAGGATGCAGTGAAGTGACACCCACGAGGGGAGAAGTCTTGTCTCACTTAGTCAAAAACCAAATCCAAATGGCATCATTAAAACTATTCATTGATTAATTGTCCTTCATCTTTTTTTTACTGGACTAAAAAAAGAGACCTGTCAATAAATAGAGACCTGATTGCCCCAACGAGATGTAATGATGTTTAGCAACTATTAAAAAAAAAGTAAAAGGTGGTTAAATTTTTACCAGAAATAAAAATACATTAAGTGCATGTGCATAGATCTCATATAGCTTCAAAAAGGGCAACACCACAGAACTATAATGAATTAAAAACCACACAGGTTCCTCTTCTTTTTCTTGTTTGTTTTTAGTGTTAAGAGTTAACGGAGTTACACGATGTAACTTATGTAGAATGTGCAATACTCAGAAGAACACGGCGGCTCCACTATACGTTGAGGATCTGAAGCATCAAAAGGGCTTTGAACAACGGCAGGGTCTAATCTATTACTAGAAAATGGAAAATTATTTTTTAGATCAACTAATTGTTTGCTTATGAATTCCATTACTAAAATCAAATGATAAAAATGTATGTCTTTCAAAAACTCAAATGAAGTCAGTTTAATAGATTATCAAACAGATAAAAGCAGGAACATCCTATTTGAGAAGCTGAAAACAGCCATTTCTACTTGACAAAAGTAATAGTCGATTATTTTTCAATTACATTTGTTGCGAATCAACTTTACAAGATGAATTATTTGAATGAATAAGTATTCCCTCAAACAACCGTATTCTCACAGAATCAACATTTGGAACAACCGTATTCTCACAGAATCAACATTTGGAACAACAATCGTCTGGAATCCTGATGTTGTTCCAAAGAAGTGAAAAGGCCTGGTTGCAGTGACTCACCGAGCTGTGAGAAGTCTGCGTGGAGATTCTGCTGCAGCCTTCAGGAGCTGCTGCTGCTGCACACCGACAGGGCAGAGAGATTGTGCAGGTTCCCAAACGTCAGCTGATGACAGCGGGGAAGGTTCCTCACCGTGCAGCCACACACTCAGACGAGGTCCCACCAAGCCGCACAGATCTTTAACCCTCGGTTTACCGGAAGCCACGATACAGCCAACTGGAGACTTTGCAAATGTATGAACAACATCGAGGTGCACGTAGTAAGATCTGGTGTTTTTAGCTACATTCAAAAACCTTTCATTCATTCATTTTTTACACCAGCAGGCTGCAACCTGAATAAAATGTGTACAGGAGGGGTTTGAATTAATGGGAGTATTTTCACAGTGTAGATAAGCTACTGAAGTACAGGATTTGAATACTAGTGAGCAGTTACCTTCAGGCTCCATTCATCAGCGGACATTTGTGCTTTTAAAAGTGAATAAAATGGACAAGAAGTTAAATGTGTTGATCATTTTAATGTCAAGTTTTTAATTGAATGGACACAAGCCGGTTCAGACCAGGAATACAGTGCTAACACATTTAGGAGTCACATTTAGGTCCCAGATACAGATCGAGTTGAAACTATTGCATTTAAAAGACATCAAAATAAAATACAGTATACCGTAACTGAAAAGCACACGGTGATAGATGACTTTGAACGATACAGACATTTCTAAGGAGAACGCGTTAATAGGAAGTCCTTATTATATTTCAATGTTTCATCCAATAGAGTAGAGAGAAGAAAAAAAAAACTGTATTTACAAAACATCTATGAATGGTGTTTGAGGAAAAAACTGATAGCTGCACAACATCTCACGGATAGAACAATGATGATAAATATGAAACGCTGCAGTTCTCGAGCTTTAAAACAACCACAACACAAACAACAGAAACAGTAGTGTCGATCGGAGGCTTTAAGTCTGCTAACGTATCCGCAAATACAGCTAACGGACTCGGCACGATTGAGATTTCTTAATAAACAAACATCGAATCGTCGAATTTAGTGTTGCATTAAGTGTGCTTTGATCTTTTCCGAGTGACACATTAAAAGCTTGATTACTGGTTGTAAGTTGCATTAAAAATAATGCAGCTGTACACAAAGTAAAGTCCTGTGTCTGAACGTTTCTGATATGAGACTTCCTTCAGGGGAGCTTGTTACGCAACAAGAACTATCAGTTTTTCCAGATGTACATAAATATAACTATTTACAAAACATACATGTGTACATTTCTTTGATCTGGACGCACAAGACCATTTCCAATCAGTATAGATATTAACACTTATACAAGCTCATACAACAAAAGGCAGGAATATCTTCTAAACAGCCAATCGAATGCTGTTCATGTAAAACAGCTTTGAGCAGCTTCATTCACAATAATTCACCAGATCATTCTGGGTTGTGTTTTCCCAAACCACCAAGAATGTGCAATTACACATTAATGTTGCCTGTGGGGGGTCAGTAAGTGAGAGTACCTGGAAAACAATACGTGCAGTGTTCAAATGGAAGTCCTTAGACGTGGCAGTACGGATAGAAAGAAATACTTAAGATATGTTGACCCAAACGACTCCAAGTCCTTAAAACCTTTGACCCCCCCGACTCTACCCGGGATGACTCCAGTTAAAACAAGCTCTACATTCATTTTAGATTTGAATATCAATATTATAAATGAGGTTTTGAAAGCTAAGAAATATTTGGAACAGCCTTACCTATGTTCCATTCAAACATCTCACAGCACCTATACGGTCATTGGCTTGCTAGTAGATAAAATAATTTATAAAATGAGGATTTTCCCCCATTTATTGCACATCATAAATCCTCCACCTGTTACCACATGGAGGATGAATATGCTCTAAATAACACGTCGTAAACCCTTCGGTTTTACGGTTTGGGCCAATCACGCTCTTCTTAATGTTTCCACTGGGGCACCGTTTTCCGATTGTATTGCACAGATGAATTGGGTCACAGACAGCAAACTTTTACCTCCGACGTACGCGCGTCTACGCCCAGCGACCGCTGGACACGACGCTTCTGCTGAAGGAGAAACTGGTGTCCGAGCTCTTGTGCTTTCCCCAAGCACCAAAGGGCACCACCACAATCGTGCTGTTGTCCTCTGAGCCGTACTGAAGAGACTAAAAAGAGAAAATAAAACAACGTGAGGAAAATCTGATCACAGCAGGCCCGGTTCTAGTTTGGCTCCTGGCGATTCAAGTCAAGCTGCTCGGCCTTTAATGCAGATCGGCATTTCTCATTTTAGTGACAAGTCCTTGGTGCAGCCCAAGTGCGACACCTGGTGGTGGATAATAGACAACCTCTGCATGCACTGTATCCACTGTGTATTTATACGTTGTGTGGTTCCACTAGAAGCAAAGTATGGACATCTTACCTGGTCAGCTATTCTCTGAGCTGCCTCCTTGGGGTCGTGGCACTGGTTGATGACGTTGCAGATCTCCTGACTGTTCATGATGAAGTTAATGCCGTCCGTGGTCAGCGCCAGAAACGAGTCGTGGGCGTGGTGCAGCTGAGGAAAGGCCATATTTAAACTACTGTCCTCTCGAGCACTACTAAATGGTTACTTTCTTTGTAAAGGAGATTAAAAAACAAATAAATCTCAGGAGCTAACCGCAGTGAGAACAACAAATAAATTCAAATTTGAAACTAATTTTGTCACTTTTCCATCCATCAAATGCTGGCACACAACTCCGCGTTTGGAAAAACCTACCGATACCCTCTTGGTTTCAGGCTCAGCGATGACCCCCGTGCTCTTCAGGTCAAAGTCTCCGATGCTGCGCGTCATCGCCAACCTGCCGTTGACGTTCGGCTGTCCGAGACTGTTCCAGGTGATAAAACCCCCGCTCCGCTTTACCCTTCAAGCACAAAGAATGGCTTCCGTTGACAGATAAAGTGGACTTAGAATAACCACATCCTTCTCATCAGCAATGACAACACAAAATAAACTATTCCAAATCCCACTGAAACTTCACAAATGTTATTGGGGGCTGGCTTTTCAGTTCGTTGCATTACCCCCCGGGCTCGCCCTCTTTGTACCTCTCTTTCTCGTCCTTCCTCTCGGGAGTGTGGTCATCAGTGAGTTTCAGGGCCTTGCCTTTGCGGCAAAGCATGGCGCGGCTGTCGCCGACGCTGGCCACCACCAGCTCGATGCCGTCCCTCAGCAGCGCCACGGTGGAGGTGGTTCCTGTGTTCGTCCGCGGGTCTAACGAGAGATTAAAAAGAAATCATCAGAGGTGGAACGTGCAAAACAAAAAAGGTTTGCACAAAAAGTCCCTGTTTGCAACAACCACAAAATGTAGAATCCACACAATTAAACGGTAACTGAAGGGTGGGAGTCATATTGTGGATTTACAGCAAACTAGAGATTACAGCAGTAAACAGTAGAGAAGGATGCCAAACATGCAGGTTGAACGGTCTCATCACAGTGTTGAGGTCAAGCACTAAAGTTTATAGCAGTTAGGTTTAAGGCTAAAAATAAAAATAATCAGCGTTGACTGACAGAACACTGAATGGATACGATTCATTTCGGTTCTTTACACACTTGCATGCATTTATCTAGAGTTTCAAATGTCAGTGATAAGCGAAGTGAAATAAAATGACATGGTAATGGTAATTAGAACCTATTAATGCATTTCAGCAGCAAGGGGTCCCTTTAACATTGAACATTAGTCATTCTAGACGACTTGTACTTATACTGTGTATGAATAGTATTTAACTACAAATAAACAATAAACTTTAGTTTCTTAAAGGATGACTGATTTTATAAAACAAAAAAAGCATCATACGTCATTACTTGGTTTTATCCCCCAGCATTTATAGACAAAAGTCAGCATTAGGCCTTTTCCAACTCCAGAAACAGCAAACGACTTTAAGACGTGTGTTTTTTTGAGCCTAAGCTGCATTTTAAACATGCTGTGTCTCGTCAAGGACCACATACAACTTATGGACAAACTGAAGCGCCATCTCACATGAAGCTTTGCATACACTTGGTGAGAGAAATAAGGGAAGAGAGAGGGAGAGAGAGCGGAGTTAGAGAAAGATAGGGAACCTTCCAGTAGTCCAGGATTTAGGACCCGCTGGACTCTCCATCAATATCTAGCCTCTCGTCATCCACATGGGTGCCAAGGGCCTCCAGCTCTTAGCTGGTTCAGCAGCTGCCGTAGATAACATGCACACACACACAGGCATATTGGGACATTTCACACAGCGTGGCCGTTGTATGGCCACAATAAAAGGTATACGATCTTTTATATTAGCAGAGAACCTTAAATGGGACATAATTCGGTACTGAGAAAAGGTCTTAACTTAATTTGAAACGTTTTTATATGGCACGGGCAAACATGTAGACCGTGTGACTTATTCAGAGAAATGTTTTGCATTCACATTTAAGTGATGCCTAAATAACCCCTTAAACTGGGTCACTTTAAAATGGCCGTGCAAAATATACATTGCACGTTGGCAAAATATCAACAGAGAAGTGACAAATTAAAAGCAAAAACAACATGAAGTGCCTTTGTTAATTCATTCATCTATATATACACACATTCAATAATATTTTTCTTTTAATTTGTTTACTTCCTTGTCTGTGTAAATGTGGTGTGAAGCAGTCAAGCGCTGCTCTGAGTGCGTTTGCTCTACTACTGCGTTATTGTAGTTTTTTAATAACTTTGAGTTGAGTGGCAGACCTCTAACCAAAGTGCTTGGGTCATGACGGTTGTAAAATCCAAAGAAAGTCAGATTTTGAAGAGAGGAAAAAAAAATAGCTTCATTACACGAATACATGTTTGTGTATATATAAAAACAGATATATAAAAGAATATCTATTTGTATGTAAAATGAAAGCCTAACAACTTACCCTTTGGACAGAAGTGCAGGTGCCTTGCAAAAGCTTTGTCTATTTCAAGGAAAGCTTTCGTTAAAACTACTTCCAGATTGGACTCCTCCGCAACAAGATCCCTAAAACGACAACAAGTACTACATTGTTACTACATCTAAATACCAGCAACAAAAGGTAGTGGGTTTCTCTTCACACACACATGGTGTTAATCAGTAAATGTGCTTCCTGTGGTACAGATATCGTATAACGGAATATTCAATGAACTCCTTACTTGATGAATTTCTCCATGTATTTTTCACAAAAGTCAGCTGCTCCCGGCCCGCCGTGCCCATCAAACACAGCAAAGTAAAGGATGCTGTCAGTCATCTGGGAAACCTGGAAGCGGTCTTCGTTGTCTTTGCGTTGGCCAATAAGCGAGGAACAGCCCACCCTGGATAAGCTGACTTTGGGAATGGGCTTCCCGTAGCGAATGCTGGAAGGCAGCAGAATGGGCTCATCGATGCGATTGTCCCAGATGCCAAATGAATCCCAGGTAGTCGGTTGGCCACTGCTATCTGCGTCAAAGCGGGTGTTGCTGTGTCGTTTTCCTGAAGGGCTGTAGAGTTGTCGCTGGAAGATTGTGAACGGAGGTCGGCTGACCTGTTGGAATGGGAGTGGGACTATGGCCATGTGTAAAAGACCATTACGTCCCACATGGGAACCACTGCACCTTGCGAGGCGCCCGAGACAGGCTGCTGACATCACCCTTACAGCTCAAACAGGAGAAGCACTGGATGGAGAACAGTCAACGGTTAATTACCCATCAACCGATCATCCCTAAAACCATAGTATTATAAAATAAACTCAGAAGAATTCATATATTTACACAGACATTGCTGATGGATACAACATATTGAATACAAAGGGGAAGTAATCCTGAATATCCAATGAATGTTAGCAGTTGTATTTCATCAAGTAACGTTAAGATCAACTTTAACGTTATGAGGAATGATGCAACTCTTCAGTCGCGAAGCTTTCCTGTGCTAACGAGAACAATATTTAACAATAACAATACCACGATAATAGAATGAAGAAAAGCGCCGTGAGTGTTCGGGCTTCAGTGCGAAAAAGTACATCATAATAAATAACATATGGTTATTGGACAAACGTTACGAGCTTTTTGTTTTGACGGCCTTAGCATTAGCCGTTTTAGCTAACTAGCTACCATAGCGATGGCTATATTTAGCCGACTCGCTAGTTAGCTAGCATTAGCAAGGAGTTCACACTCTGACCAACATTAAAGAGACAAACCCCTTGACCGTTCAGTGGTGTGTTGAGTAAAACTCGTACCTTTGATATTTTAGTTTCCGAAGCAGGTTTTAATCCTGTGCTGGTTTTCTGAAAAACGTCGCTAATGACCTAAAACCGTCGTCCTCGTCTCGCCCTCCTCTCTGTTATCAAACACAGCCTCAAATGGTATCGCGCCAATCAGCAGCACGGAGGCTTCTACGCCCACTACCACGCCCACTATTACGCGCATTAGCCGTATGGTGACGCCCTAAATCACGCGTGCAGAGCCGATGATTGGTCAACGAAACTATTATAGACATCTGGAGGCACCATTCATGTTATCGGGGACTTCGGCAACCTGTGGCGAAACAGACCACCATTGGATTTGTGTTACATAAGTAATTTGAGGCCTGTATGTCTATAGCTCAATGCACCTTTCTCGCTTCAGTGTGATGTAACCCAGTGATTCCACAGACCTCTTCATGTTGGACTAGAGTGCTTCTTTTATTCTAGTAAAAAAGTGTACTCCTATAGTCACACACATCTATGGACGCTAGTTCAAGTACAGCTGAACATTCAGAGCAACACTTTTCAGGTCATATCAAACTGTATTTTTTTTTATCTTAAAAATAATTAAATTGTTAATTAAAATTCGACTTTTTCATTCATTCATTTAATTTATTGATGTATCGACTCATTGATTTTTTTCATTTTTAAGCAACAAATCGACTCCGTTTTACATAATACATCCTTATATAAAAACCGCATTTTAAAAGTCCATCACGAAAGTTCCATTCCGATGCTTCTATGCGCTGCTTAAAGTGGTAAATCGTGATTGCGTTTGACAAGACTCTCACTAAAATGGCTCTGTTGTATCATCGACGAAACACGAGCACTTCCTGATTGGCGCACCAATCGCCTGCCTCCCAGACTTAAAGGTCCAGTGACGTAACAGCTGTGGTACCCCGTACTTCCTCGTTTGTTTTATGAGGAGAGCGGAATCTTGACGCCCCAAATCAGGATGCATCTATCCAGGTAAACACCTTATTTGATTTTTGATCATCTTGCGGTGTTATGACGACACTGTTTTACTGACAATATAGACATCGTGTGACGAGTGGATTTCTTTGGATTTAGCTATCACACTGACAGCCAGCGTCTCCGTAGCTTGCTAAGGTTAAATAGCGAACTATGTACTATTAAGGCCGACGTGGATCATTAACGTCTCATTTGGTTACGTTTATTTTCTGTTCGATGCGATGGTGTCAGTTCGGTGCTTTGGGATATTTCGCTACGCCTGCACACCGCGATCTTAATGTATTCATCACGCAGGCCACTCCTCTTTACTATCCGCCCATCAGCAAGCTAACGCAACCTTTAACGCACGTCAGTACTGATCCTGGACCTGTGCACCACCTAAGATACCGATCACACTGAGGCACAGCTAACCTTGGCTAGTGAGATTTTCCTTTAGCTAGTTTGTATTGCATTGTTTTAAAATGAGTTAATATTGACTTTAATAGTAGGTTCAGTCAACTAAAAATGTAATCCAATAATACATTAGCTCTCTTTCCCTCATGGAGATTATAATGTTTTTTTGTTGAAGCAGTAGAGAAGCTTTGGCTGCATATTGTTGTATGGCATTGACTTTTAAACAGGGACACAAAAGTGATGAAATGTGGGTCTGATATCTGTAGGGTTGTTGTCAATTTTCCTTGGAATTTATTAACTTGCATGAATTTGATAAGGGGACAGATCCCTGAGTTCCTTGTCCTGCTGCTCTCCCCGGTTAATGTCTTTTCCATCTCCTAATTTATGGCCTGTTTGTATTCCCTTATTGCGTCCTTTCCCATTTGTTTATTACCCGTGGCTAAGCCGGTCAGTAACATGCAATACATACATGCATGCATGCATGCATGTATTGCATGCGTAGTGACAGTAAGGCAAGTCTGCATGGAGCTGCTTAAGCAGGGATTACACTGAGTTTATTTAAACGCACTGCCCCCTCTTCTATCATACAGCTTACATCTCTCAAACACAGCCGGACCTCCAAAACCATGGTTTACTCTTCACACATGGAGCACGGGAACTGGCATTCTTTCCTAATTAATAAAGATGAAATTAATACCGTATTTCTTTTTCCCAGGGTTGGACTTTATATGAAGAGGAGAAAGCGGGGCTGCTCTAAAGCCTGAGTATTTTGTGATCATCCTCCATCTGGCCGTCCCTCTCACCGCCCCTTCGGATTGGTGCTCGTCCCCTCTTCCTTCGTCAACATGCTTTGTTGGGGGAATGCAAAAGATGGACAGCTGGGTATCGGTATTGACAGGACCGCCATGTTTGAGCCCAGAAACTGTCACGTGTTCAGTGGCAGGGGCCTGAAAGAAGTAGCTTGTGGAGGGCAACACTCAACGTTCCTGCTGCATGATGGCAGCGTGTACACATGTGGCTCTAACAGCTGTGGACAGCTGGGCCACAGCAAACCAGGGACTTCCCCAGGTGAGCTTTGCCCCGTGAACAGCATATTCCATGAACTTTGGATTTATCGTTACATAGTCTAGACTGTTGCACCACGCTCCTCGGTTGGGAGATGTTCATTTAAAAACATATTCAAACCAAAACGCAGAATTACATAACTGGTGGGACTAGAGTTGTGATAGTTACCCGCTTGTTTGAGAACAACTAAGTCTCTGAGCTAGACTGTCAGGCCGACACAATCCTGTAAAACTAACGAAAGTTTCTAAAAATTAAAAGTAAAGAAAGTAAAGTCTCTTGCAGGACTCTTCAAGTTTCTCTTGTTTTCAAACTAATGGACTTTATCTATTTGTACTATGCATTGAATCTAAACACAAGTGTCGCAAGTGCCTCCATTTCTCAGAGGGTTTGTTACCATTTCTTAGAGAAGTGAGAGGCCTGAGGCTTGTGGTGATCGCAGACAGCGGTGGGACCGTGTTGCCGTCATTTGGGAGGAAGTTAGTGGTGCTTTGTCTCTGCATCAGGGTGAAGCTTTAACGACTACGAATAAATGAATCATTGGAACTTCAGCAAGTGTATATACTGCATATAGACCTATAAACATAGTATTTCATGGAGAAAAGTCCACTGTCTTAAATGAATCTTTAAGGTAACGTGTAATCTTTAGCTTTCTAAGGGTTAGTTTAGAGAAGCAAAATTGTGGACACTTCTATGGAGGGAGGGAGGTTGGGAGGTTGGGGGGTTGGGGGGGGAGGGGGTCATCAAATTGCTGACGCTTGTCCTCCTTCTCTCAACAGAGCTTGTAGACGCTCTGGATGCTCAGATTATAACAATGGTGTCGAGTGGTCGGTCCCATTCAGTGGCTGTGAACGAGCAGGGTCAAGTGTTTGCGTGGGGAGCCGGGGAAGAGGGCCAGCTCGGCCTGGGGATCGCAGAGGCCACCGTTCGAATCCCGAGGTGAGTGCGCAGATGGAGAGGAAGCGTGACATTAAGATGACTTTGAAGGGGATTGGAGGTTTTAAACGCGTAAAGCGCTGGTTTCAATCCGTAGCGACCCAAACATCTGAAACGGCAATCTGATCATCTGATCAACTGATCATAATGTAAAAATCACTACTTGTTCATTTACAGACCATTAGCGACTCGTCCGATTAGCTCCTGGACATGCGACCCTGGTAGCATTTGATTGGCTAACGGATGTTTTTATTTCCCCTCAGGTTGGTCAAAAGGCTGTGTGAGCAGCGGATCTCTCAAGTAATGTGTGGGAATCAGCACTGCATTGCGCTCTCTCGAGGTACGTAGCGATGTCGCAGATTCTCGACGAGTCTTTTTGCAGTGATCGCTGTAGGTGAAGAGCAACCCATTTCTGCTCCTCTGTTCTTTTTTTTCCTCCCGCTCAGACGGCCAGCTGTTCACGTGGGGCCAGAACACCAGCGGCCAGCTGGGCCTGGGGAAAGGCGAGCCCAGCAAGCTGTTCCCTCAGCCCCTCAAGTCTCTGTCGGGTATTCCTCTGGCACAGATAACCGCCGGCGGGGACCACAGCTTCGCCCTCTCCCTGTCCGGCGCTGTATTTGGTTGGGGCAAGAACAGAGCCGGACAACTTGGTCTCAATGATGAACAAGGTAATAATGAGCTGGATAGAAAGGCAGTGGGAGTCCCAGATGGCGATGCTCGATTGCAGAAGAAGTGGTGCCGAATCGCGTAGAACCGCGTGACCTTTACGTGCGTTTTGTGTTTCCTTTTCTCAGATCGAGCGGTCCCGTGTCATATCAAGTTTTTGAGATCTCAAAAAGTTTGTTATATCAGCTGTGGAAATGAACATACAGCAGCCCTCACAAAGGTACGGGTACAGATAAAAAAAACAACAACAACAACAACCCTTCAATGTGGAATAATCTTTCACATGAGTTATCAGTTCGAGTATACCTGCTTTATAGGAACTACTACCAACTACATCTAAATCTTATTCGCCCCAGACTGTCTAACTCTAACTAATCTTAACTCACCACCTCGACGCACAATCCCGGAGAAAACAATATTTTACTTTTGAATAACTGCATCACTATGCCGAGAATCTCTTGAGTTCTGTGTCGTGTCTCCGGCAGGATGGCGGCTTGTTTACGTTTGGAGAGGGCTCGTGGGGTCAGCTGGGTCACGGCTCCACAAACAATGAACTTCTACCCAGGCGAGTGCTGGAGCTCATGGGCACGGAGGTGTCCCAGATCACCTGTGGCAGGTACCGTCTCTGCCATTAGAAATCTTTTTGGCGAAGCCCAAACTGTGTCACAATGGTGGTCATTTTCTTTTTTTACCCGCATCCATAATCTTGACCCCCACCCACCCCAACCCCAAGGCGCCACACGTTGGCCTTTGTTCCTTCCTCTGAAGTGGTGTATGCGTTCGGTTGCAACAGCCACGGCCAGCTGGGCACTGGACTGCTGGGAGATGCCAGGAGCCCGTGTGCAGTGAAGACCAGATTCCTGACTGGAACAGGTAGGCTGTGAACTACAAAATGACGAATAATGAAACTTGAAACATGAAAAATACACTGTTGTTTTGTAATGTTAATGTGTTTGTTGATGATATAATCTAGTGGATCTGTGTAAACTATTTTAGAAAGATTCAATGTGCAAATTTACTTGGAAACGCTCTTGTATAATTAAAAAAATAAATAAAACTACTCTCAGAAATTATTTGATTAACTGTAATACAATGTTGGCCAGTGAATCATTTTCTGTTTTTTTTTATTTTTTTTTATTTTTTTAGAATCAAAACGATGTACAGTGACCAAAATAATCTGTGGAGGAGACCATAGCTTCTTATTGTACTCTAATGACCAGGTATGTGATTTAATCAAGATTTTAGTTACCTTCCTTCCTATTTCCTGAATGTTCAATGTTATTTAATGATTTTAATTCAAAACCTAATTTTTAAACAGAATTTGTGCAAACATTTTTAATGCACATATACTACATTAACTTAAGTAACAAAACACAATGAAATGTGTCATGCAAAGGGAAAATAAAGTGTCTTAAGTTTGCTTTCCAGTCGATGTGTTTCCTCTTCCCTTCAGCACTCCCAAACCGTATCTAATCATGAATACAGCACAAACCGTTTCAAAATATGTTGCTCAATAATCATAATCGTAATAATAATACTAATACACTAAGATTTCTATTATATCAGTTTTGCTTCACCACATGGTGGCAATAATGTGCACTATAAGCAGTTCTTTATCAACAAGCCTTTGGCAATTGTATGCTTTGAATATCCAGCAAATTTACACACTTTGGACTAAATTTGTGGCCGATTTGTTTTATCTTCGGGAGGGAAAGAGGCACAATTGACAAAGCCCAACATCAAACAATCTGCCAAATGTTTGTACTGTTATCTGGTTTCTGTTTCTCTTCCTCTCTGCAGAGTTCCGTCCCCACAGAAGACTTCAGAGTCATTGGTGTCACTAAATCCGTCTCCCCAATCAACTGTGAAAGAATCGATTCATGGAGGTTAAAGCTGATGTATAACACAGATTCCACTGTCACAAAGTAAGTGAAGTAATCAAAGATAGTACTTTACATGTATTCGAAAGAACATTATTCTACAAGCATAATACAAATTGTATTATGCTTGCAGAATAAAAGGATAATACATTCTCTTGTAGAAAGTTTGTATTTGTGACGGTTTTATTGTGATGATTTATGTTGAATCAATTATATTATGAATGGTCTGGTTGGTCCGACCTCTCTCACAGTCAGACTGTTTTATGTTTGTGTGCTCAGTGACATTATAATTCAACTCTCCTCTACGGCTTGTTGGAACGCCAGCTTTTTGGACCAAAGGTGCGTAAAAGCCGTGTTTAGAAAAGTAATGAATTTCTCTATTATTATTATTATTATTTATTTTTTTTATAAATAAAAAATACATTTGTCTGTACATCAAAAATGAATAAATAACTGCAACATGCATTCCAGCAAGGGCAGCATAATAAATTAAGTTTGTTCTTGTTTGAAGCGTAGCCACTTCCATTTTATTTGTTATGTTTGAGCTCCAGAATTGCTCCGTGTTTGTTTTGTTTTTTTAGCTCACAAAATGAAGTAGGTCAGGGCTCATACTCTGTGTACTATCTGCATCTGTTTTGTCTTTGGCATACAGTCTCCACATGATCGTATCTGATGTATTTGTGTTATGACAAAATAAATCCTGTAGTCTATTAAAATGAAGGCTCACACAGTTAATAGTCCCTGTCCTTCCTGCTGGAGGGGTTCTGTTGGCTTTGTGCATCGCTCTCCTATCCTCGGCTCCCAGAGGCCGACCAGGAGATCTACTTAGGGATCGACTTAAATGCTCTTTTAGGCCGTGTGTTCAATCCAAAGTAGCGGGAACCTTTTAGCAGTCCCTGAATCTGAGGTCAGACCTATGTTTGTCCCGTTAGGTCATCTTCTCTGACACATCATGAATAGCTGACACATAATCCTACGTTTGTTTGCTTTCTCAGTGATGACACACACTTCAAAACCAACCCGAAGATCCCAGGCATCGATCTCAACTCTGTCAGAAAGCTGTTCGACACGCTCAGCAAACCGGCCTTCTCTGGACTCTTGGAACAGGTATTGTATTCAAGAATGTCATTTCTGCTCCTCTGAGCCACAACTTCTTCAAATGATTGAAGTTTGTTATTGAGCAAATACTCCAACTAGCTCCATCGTCTGGGTTCTGTCCCCAAAACGCAGCAGTTAAAGGAGGAAATCTGGGATGTTTGCACAGTACTGGCTTGTGGAAACGAGAACGTATATTCTGAAGTGCATATTGGGCGTGTTTTGAAAGTACATCAAGTTCCCTTCATTCTCATGCGGCAAACTGCAGGATTGAGTCCTGACCTCTAACGTTGGCTCAGTAATGATCCAACTACAAGCCTCGTCCTAAATTCAGTGGTGGATCATTTTCATTCCAGCTTTCAGATTCTTCTTTAATGATACTAAGCTTTCAACCCACCATAACATGGTACATTACAAATGCATTCCCCGCCAAGTGCAAACGTTGTCCCTCGGTTCTGTGAATAATTAAAAGTACACAATCAGGTTGAACGGGTCCTTTCTTGTTCTGTGTCTGACTCTCCATTTAGGCCACCAAGAGTTTTGAGAGTCTGTTGATCCCTCAGCTGCCGCGCTCCCCCCCGGACGTCGAAGCCATGAGGATCTACCTCATCTTGTCCGAGTACCCGGGCCTGTTTGACTCCAAGAACTACATCCGCCTCACCATCCCCCTGGCGATGGCCATCCTCCGGCTTGACGCTAACCCCAGCAAAGTATTGGGTATCCTAGAACTTTTTCCCCTTATTTAATTTTTCTTCACACAGAGCCAAGTGATTTAAAGGCGTCTTTGTTCGCTGGGGACACAAAAACCACACTTCTCATCTACGTCAGCTTCCTCGTCCACGCCACCTATGCTCCCCTCCACTGATACCTGCAAATACAGATTACAGGCCGTACCATGTTCAGCCACTAACGATGTTTGTGCACGAATATGCTTCAACGCAGACGGAGATGTTCAAGAACACCGTCCGGCTCGTTTGTTCTTCGAGGGATTTGCTCTGTGATCTAATTCAACCCATTTTTGCCGCCCCCCCCCCCCCCCCCCCCCTCCTGCAGATAACTGGTGGTGTTTTGTTGACGACCACTTGTTCACCAGGATGGTCGACATGTACAAGAGCATCGTGGTGTTTATGCTAACTGGAGGCAGGACGCTGCTCGTGCCGGTTTTCTACGAGAACTATTTCGTCGCCACTCTGAGGCTGCTGGAGAAACTCCACAAGGTATCCGCGCTGCTCCTGCAAACCGTCAAAAACCAGCTCCGCCTGAGGGGGGGGGTTCACCGCTTGTTGGTGGTTGAGATAAACCCTCGATGTTCCATGTCACCAGGTAAACTTAAAGGCCCACCACGTGGAGTACAACCGCTTTTATATCCCCGACATCACCAGCCTGGTGGACATCCAGGAAGACTACCTCAAATGGTTTCTGAGCAAAGCTGACATTGTGAGTATGATGAGGTGTCACTTCCTTGTTTGCTTGGCATCTGCTCGAGCTGGACAAACACGCGCAGACTCTGTACTCGTGTCGTCCTCAGCGTTTGCAGAGACTGTGAGGAATTTCATCTTTCCTCCCGCTGTTAATCAGTTTTTTTTCCCGTCCAATAAGTGTCTTTTTTTTCCAAGTCAAATGACTTTGCATTCTCTCATTTGTTTGTTTCCCAGAAACAATCATCGTCCCCTTCACAGGTACCCGATTTAAAGATTGAATATGAACATGTTAAATGACATATAATATACCTTTTTTTTGTTCTTTAATGTATATGAGACTAAGTATATTTCCTCAATTGCCTCGCAGGGAGACTTTCCCTCAGTGAACCTATGTGCCTACCCGTTCATACTGAACGCACAAGCCAAGACAACCATGTTGCAAACCGACGCTGAACTGCAAATGCAGGTACTACGACCAGACGTTGCTTCATTCGCTCGTTGTCACTAAACGTCAATCATCCTGTTGCCTTTTCACACCTCAACCTGTGACACCCCCCCGGTACCCAGATGGCAGTAAGCGGTGCGAACCTCCACAACGTCTTCATGCTGCTCACGCTGGAACCCCATCTCGCCAGGAACCCTTACTTGGTTTTGCACGTGCGCAGGAACCACTTAGTGAGCGACACACTCCGGGAGCTCACCATGTACTCTGACGTGGACCTGAAGAAACCACTCAAGGTGAGATCTGCGTCTAAGCTTCTGAAGGCCACTGCGGTTCTGTGATTCTGATGATGCTCTCCTGCCAGGTGATCTTTGACGGAGAGGAGGCCGTTGATGCAGGTGGAGTGACGAAGGAGTTCTTCCTGCTGCTGTTGAAGGAGCTGATGGATCCTGTGTATGGGATGTTCACCCATTACAAAGACTCCAACCTGCTGTGGTTCTCAGACAAAGTACGTTTACACCGTATTCACATGTTCGTGTGAAAGAAAAACACATCCAACCTCCATCTAGAAGTGAAATGAACTTGAAAAAGAGCAGTGCAGTCAAAACTAGTGAAGCAGAGATGATGATCTTTTTTATCATCCAGCAGAAGTGTTTTTTTTTTCATTTAAGAAGCGGTTACCAAAAGCGGTGTTTTTTAACGTTGCTGCTACTCTGGTAACAGTAGTATAATAAATATCCTGTTCCGTCCACAGTTGATTATTAAATCAACATGATCGTTGTAATTGATTCCAAAACAATCTGTCAACATAAGGCTGCAGCAAACAGGGATGTTTGTGTTCTGCTGGGGTTTTTTTTGTACATTCTTTGAAATACTGAGCTAAGTTTGTCTGTTCAATTCCTCCTTCACACAGAGAGGAAGTGACCATTCATTAGTTCACCCGAGCAAATTTAGAGATGATGCGATGGATCAAAAGCAAAAGAGTTTTGTTGGGATGTTTCCCTTTTTACATGTGTCTGGTTGGAAGCTTTTAATCATTATTTTATTTTAAAATATGTGACCAGTTCTCTTATAATGGATCTCCAGAATGTGACCTGCAGCTGTACTTTCCAGGAAGAGCTTCTGCTCCTGTTGATAGTGACGATGTGTCAGTGGGGACATTCAGGTTGACAAAACACTCACTTCTATGAGGGGACATGTCCTCGAACTTTAACAACCACTACTTGAGTCAAATAAGAGATGCATGAATAAATCCAAATCACCACTTCCACTTTTCCATTTCCATTTTGTTGGTCTCGGACATTTAAACTGCTTTTTTATAACCTCACTTGTACTATTTTAACCTAAATAGAAGATGCTTTCAATTAGACTTTATGGAACGGAGAAATTGAGAACAGTAAAATATATACAGACAAACGCTTAACTTGAGCATTTTAAATGGAATAAGTTACTTGTTGCATCATCATCATCATCATCATCATCATCATCATCATCATCATCATCAAGTTGTGATTGGTTGCGCTTTTGTGACTCACTTCCATCTGTGTGTCTCCAGTGTTTTGTCGAGCAGAACTGGTTTCACCTGATCGGGATCATCTGCGGTCTGGCCATCTACAACTCCACTGTGGTGGACCTCCACTTCCCCCTGGTCCTCTACAAGAAGCTGCTCAACGTGTCGCCGACCCTGGAGGACTTCAAGGAGCTGTCCCCCACCGAGGCCAGGTGACTGGCGTCTGAGCTTTAGGCGCGAGGGGGAAGCGCTGAAGGACGTTTTTGGTTTTCTCAGACAAGCGTTCTTGATTGTGCCCACATGCTGAGTCCGCATGAGGCATTTGTTTAATTGTTTACACAGTTCTATAACCTGTGTCTTATCTCACTGAGGAAAAAGATTGTTTGGATAATTGTTTCCGTGTGATTTCAATAATTTGTCTCTTTAGTAAAATACATAATACTGACAAATGATCTGCAGTTGGGCTCAAATGGTGAGGCAATGATATTTGATCCTTTTCTAATGATTGTCATTTATTTTGCCAGCTACACTCTTTCCATGTTTCCTGTGTTTTGGGGGTAAACATCCAGCATGTTGTTTGAAGGAAAAACACAACACTCCCCCGCAGTCACTTCCTGTGTGTTTATTAGCTAATTTGTCCCGACTCTGTTTTTATTTTATTCATTTAAAAGACTGTTGTCAGCTGTAGGACAGGCACAGCTGATCCCAGGTTTTCCTTTTTGAGACAGATTTAAACCTACAATAATAAACTGTTGAATATTTAAGAAAAGGAAATCATTGCAGCTATAAACAAAGTCCTCAGCTTTGCATGACGACGATGGAGTAGCTATTTTTCATATGAAATGTACCAATGAGTTTCATGTTGAACGTTTTTAATGATGGTGATTCTGACTTTTTTACATCACACTAATGAGATTAGTAGATTGTGTCTTTTCTCCACTCGCACAACTGTGTGCGGTGATGGTGTTCTTTCTTCAAGACACTAACTTTTCTTGTTAATCCTTCTGCAGGAGTCTACAGCAACTTCTAGACTATGACGGATGTGATGTGGAGGAGATGTTTCTTCTCAATTTTGCTGTAAGCCCAACTTTTCACCTGTTTTCACCTTGATGACTTTAACGGACAAAATGACCGATTCTTAATACTTGCTGAAGATGCAAATCTTTTAAAAGGCAAATCGATTCATGTAATTTAGGATACATCCATTCTACAAAAAGCTGTTTAGTATGGCCCACTGATCCAGTTTGATTATTTATATATATATATATATATAATCATCAGATGTATATGCATTCAAATCTTAGACTATTTGTTGTGTCAGATCACCAGGGAGAACTACGGGATGACGGAAGTCAAGGAACTCATTCCCGGAGGAGAAGGCATCAGTGTGGACAAAAACAACAGGTCACGCAGCTTAATGTCTTATGTTTAAGGCTACGATGTCATCCGCTCTTCTTCCCTTTTTAATTAATCTTATTTTATGTGCATTTGAATACTCTACGCTCTGTTCTGTCTAGAAGACCAGCAGATGAAACTGAGGTTTTAAAATATGTAGTTTTTTTTTCAGCACTGAGATTGTCATGTCGCTCACATCGCTGGCCGCTCGTGTCCCATTGTTCCAACTGAAGGTCATGTTCACATAGAAAATAAATTGCTTAACAGATGGCGATATTGGCAGTGACCCAAGTTGTTCCCCTCAACACTCAGATATGACACTGTAATAACAGAAAAAATGGGGAAATCGTCGCTGTCGTGTAAAACATGTAAATCACAGTCATTATAGGAGACCTCTGGATTTAGACACGCTGCTGCAGCCCCCAAAAACAGACATCCTTTTGGATCCGGTAGCAAATTGACTCCAGAGAAAAGCCGGGAGTTGTGACCGCAGCGGTCAACTTTTTCTCTTTCTTTTTTGTTACTGCTCCTCCACTTGGTATCAAATATTTCCCTCAAACACAAGTCAACAAAAAACGTGTGGACGACCCACAGCTTTGCATAGTAACATCTGAAATTGTAATCACATTAACTGTAACACCCGCTTGTGCAAGGACACAATGGAGGAGGAAGCGAGTGTTTACAGTCACACCTTGGAGTCTCGATACATTATTTCCATATAAACTTAGTCGTGAGGATGCAGCTGCAGCGCAGAACAAATGAAAGGCTCCACATGTTTACTTGACCCGTGTGTTTGTGTCTCAGGAAGGAGTTCGTGGAGGCTTACCTGCGCTACGTGTTCTCCGACTCCGTAAGCGAGCAGTACTCGGCCTTCTCCTCGGGCTTCCTGAAGGTGTGCGGGGGCGAGATCCTGCCGCTGTTCCAGCCGTCTGAGCTGATGGCCATGGTGGTCGGCAACAACAACTACAATTGGGAGGAGATGGAGAAGGTCAGCGCGTGGTTCAACAACGGGGAAGTGTAACATTTGTAGTCACAAGTCCGGCGAGTTTCTTCTCTGCAGCTGGATTTTAAACCGTTTCGTGTCCCGGTCGCATCTCAAGCTCGTAGTTGCATTGAAACGACTGTAAGATGATTGAAACTTGTAGATGTGACGATTAGCAGGAAATTTGACTTGTACATCATCAAAATATGACTTTCACAATTCTCCTTTCCACTAACACAGTGCTAAGCAGTAACCCCATGGATGCTAACTTTCACACACTTCCACCTGTTATATTTCTTCAGCAGCTGCAGGTTTTGAGGACATTTTATTCACGGCTTTGTTGGGCTGGATGTTGAAACGTGAAACAATTCAAACAAATGGTATTTGGTTTCACAAATTCTTACATCTAACTATCTGGTCCATGTTCACATTACAACATAATGGTGCGAGAGCCTCAGAGATATTGTCATGTAAGAAAAATCAAGATTATAAGAAGTTATGCCTTCGTTTAAGTGATGATGGAACATGGAAACCTTTTCTCTCTGCAGAATGCTGTCTACAAAGGGGAATACACAGCCACTCATCCAACAGTCCGATTGTTCTGGGAGGTTTTCCACGAGTTCCCTCTGGAAAAGAAGAAGCAGTTCTTATGTAAGTATTTAATTGCTCAACGTGCATGACAGCTTAATGCTCACACTCTTGCACTCAAACCTCTTCATAAATACCCTAACGTGTGTGCATGTTTGTTCATGCATGACTTCACACTCGGCTTTGACTAAAGCCTGAACATCTGGATAATGATGTCAAGGCCAAATTGCCTAACATTATTCTATATTCTAAATGCAGCCGTGTCCCGTTCAGGCAGTAGTTTCACCACTTTTCAACTCGTTCCCTCTGTGTCTCTTCACGCCTCAAGTGTTCCTGACGGGCAGCGACCGCATCCCCATCCACGGCATGGAGAGCCTGCGTATCGTCATCCAGTCCACCACGGCGGAGGAGCACTACCTGCCGGTGGCCCACACCTGCTACAACCTACTGGACATGCCCCGCTACCAGACCAAAGAGATCCTGCGCCGCCGCCTCACTCGGGCCGTGGAGCAGTACGAGGGCTTCAGCCTGGTCTGAGCAGTAGAGGAGACATGCAACAGTTTTTAATGCACTTTAACAGCAATAAGACACCCCCCCCCCCCCCCCCCCATGACAAGAGACGAGAAGGTCAGTCTCTTTATATATATGCCCTCACAGGATTGTTGAACATAATAAATCTGAAAGGTCTATCTGTGTACATGCAGAGTATTATTGTTTTTATTGCTTTTGGAGAGTTTCTCAACCTTCGCACACCATTTGGAAATTTTAATGCTGTAAAATATGGAGTCAGATAAGTCTCTCTTAATAAATGCTCACATTTTGTGTTTTATATAACAATTTCCATCAAATATAAAGTGTATCAATAGTTGATAGTTCCGGGTATACTACTTTTGTTTGTTAAACTTGACGCCCCTGTATTAGCTCCAGGTGATGTATTGACTCAAACTACATGTTTCTCAGTATGCCAGACTCATTCAGTTGGACACAAATATCACCTGCCAAACAAACTTAAAAGTGTTGAATCGCTAAATGTATTTATTAACAAGTCTGTGTGCATCCATTGTCAATGAGTCTCACCAGACTACATATTAAAGTTAATGATTAAGTTCATATGAACCCCCTGTAATCCCACAACCTTTGTGACCAAACGGTGATGGCGACATGTTGAGAAGCTCGTCTTTGGGTGTTTTGTCTTTTTTAAATTTTTTTCCCCAAAGCTGTGTATTTTATATTTAGCTCCTTAAATTCTATTTTCTACCTTTTAAAAAATGTTATTTCTTTGAGACAATGATCTTGCTTTTTGTTACATTTAATTTAATAGAGTGGTTATTTTTGGACAAATTATAATTTAAGTATATATGTGTGTAAATAGTACTTTGAATATAATCGTTACCTGATCTTGTTAATGGGAGAGTATTCGGCAAGCAGAAGGGCGGCGGCTGAGACGTTGTACATCTAATTTGCAATCCCTCCTTTGGTTTGAGCTGTGCATCTTGGAGCAGCCGACTTGATCTTAACCTGCATTCAACAGCGTTGCCTTCTACAACAAAACCTACATGAAAAGCTGACTTTATTGAAGTTATTTTTTTAGTGGTTGTCTCGTGTGCATGCTCTTGAATGAAAGCAAAAACCCGAATGTCATTTTAAGAAATGTGATATTTTGGGAAATACGCTTATGAGCTTTCTGGGTTGGAGAATATTGACACCATTTTACAGCAGTCGGGTTGTTCTTAGCCTACTTCTGTACAACTGTAACACCAGCCCCCGTAAAGCGCACTTTTCCCCCCTTTTACATAGAAAACTCAAATAGTTGACAAAAGTCAAGTGTTTTTACACTTGGTTTTGTTGGAAACAATGAGCTTTAGTGGACCTGGATGGCCGCTGGACAAAGCCAATTGTAACCGCTCTTTATACAAGGCTAAGCTAACGGGGCTAAGCTAATGTTTACTCCGAACCTGAAAGCGAATATTGCGTATGTTCCAAAATTTCCCTTGAAATGCAGTACATTCTTAACCATTCAAATATAGAAATTGTGATAAGTTTGTTGCAGATGATTCACTTGTGATATTTTTGCAGGATGACACAATATATGCAAGTGTGGGCAAATAACCTAATAAAGACTTAAACTGTTTATCACATTGCTTGTTCCAAAATGTGCCCTCATGCCGTGTTTATCTCCCACAGTCAAACCTGTTATTCCAAACGGATGTTCAATCCGGTTGCAGTGGCGGGAATTTCCTGAAATGGTTGAGCATTTACGTATATTTTTAATATATATTTAATAGTATGGTCTGATATCTATTCTGCAATAAAGAGAAACGGCCCAGTAAAGCTCTTATTCTTAAGAGTCCAGTGTCTTCGGTCTATGCTGCATGTATATACATGTTAAGATAGGATTTGTTTATAGCTAATTTATCCTGCAGTTTAGGCCTTTTTAATCCTTTAATGTGCTACAGACATTCATATTTTACTGAAATTTACACAAAGCTCCTTTGTGCCAGCCAACTATTTTAAATTAAACACTACAGAGCTTGTCTTTGATTGCATTGTTGGACAAAAGTATATTCAACATTATCTTTAGTTGTTAATTATATTTACTCACCGTTTTCTCATTTGTAATATCTTAATCAGCTTCTTCAATAAATTTACAAATAATGAGCTTTTATAAAATAATTTAAACAAACTTCTTCAATTAGACAAGGTCCTACTCTTCTCTGTGTTATATCATTTTAAACTAACGTGTGGTGCCATTGTGTGGCATTTTATAAAACAAACTAAAAGACCGATCTATAAAGAACATAGTTGACATAGATCAATTAAAGTTATCTATTTGTCCAGCCAAAAATAGTTAAATACGGCAAACATTCTTTGTTTCACCTCAAACTGAGGTGAAAACAGATACACGGAGGAAGGCCACACAGCTGAGAACTCTTAAAAATATGATTTCATTCATATTATATACAAAATACAAATACAATTTATGTACTAAAATGTACACACTTAAAATTCATTAAGCCTTGCCAGTGTTTACATTCAGTAAAAACAAAATTCACACTGATAAAATCATCCATTTCGGAGAAAGAAAGGGAAAATGTACTCGCTCACAGAAAGTAAACATACAAAAGTGATCAATATTTACAAAAGAAGCAAACAATCGCTAAGGAGGATGAGAAGAAAAAAAACAAAAAAAAATCTGCTTTCCTCCAGTCGCCTCACAAACGTTTGTCTACGTCTATGAATGTGAGCAAAGACACAACAGATTTCAAGAAGAAATAGCTTATTTGATAGGAAGTAAATGGGGGGGAGGAGGGGGGTGTCAATGCAGAAGATATACAGTTAAAAGTACCAGTGATCACAAAAATAATTTGTCAGTAAAAATAGTTGTTTTATTGAGATTGAGCTATTTTGGTTAGTAGTTTGTATTCGGAGTCTTTGGGTTGTATTATCGATAGAAACCACTTGAACAATAACTTCAAGAGAAGAAGCAAGGGTTTGTTTTGGATATTATATGACGGTCAAAACAGGAAAAGAGAAAGCTATTCATTAACTGAATACGCTGATTAAAGTTATACAAATGGTAAAGTCTCCCTTACAAAAATACACAGATGTCAAAAATCCTTCTTTCCAAACAGCAATACATTTCATATCTAGTATTTTACTTACAACGATTTTCTTTAAGACTTCTACAGCAAAGCGTCAGAAAAATAACATTTGTTTTACAATAAAAACATTTCAAAAATATAGAAATAAATTATTAGCAATAAAACTAATTCATTATGTTTGAGTGCGTCTCATGGAACGTCCTCTTGGGAAGGAGAGGTGTTTGTTGAAAGGAAAATGCTGAGGTGACTGTGACGCCGTCAAGAGTCGGCGACTCCCCACCGAAAAACCCAGCGGGTCAACGGTTTCCCCTCGGCCAGAAACACCAGCGGACACAGATGTCCTCTGTGATGAAAATCAGCCATTTTTCTCAAACCTGGTGGGATACATTTGTCCCTCTGAAGTCATTTAATGGTCTCTTTTTGTTGTTGCTGTCGTCGTCTCAGGTTAATTTCGTAGACTCTCTTTTGCTGATGAGAACTTCCAGCAGCCGCAGTTTGGCTTTTACGTGCTTGTATTCGTTGTACTCCACTGCCAAGGGGGAGCGGTCCTCCTTCTGCACATTTCTGCGGGAACCAGATGACAAGCATTCAGAAAAGAGGGGGGGGGGGGGAGGTTCACCGGGACAAATCAAATTAATTATGTCCTCTCCTCTTGTGTTAATGCAATCTTTTACCTTCCATTTTGTCTAAAGAATTGTTCCTCAAACTCTTTCAGGTTCTTGCGAAGTCTCTTCTTCTCCTCTCGGGTCTCTTGAAGTTGCTCCACAAGTTCCTCCCTGAAAGAAAAACATTACAAATACTTTAATATGTCAGACAAAAGAATATTTCAATGAGGGCATCTCAAGAAGTGGTGGGAGAAGATCGGTCGTCTTTCGCTCTTACGCGGTGGCGGCGTGCAGGTTGGACAGCCTCATGTCCGTCATGTGCTTAGAGGGCGATAGTTCGTCCACGGGTGAAATAAACCCGTCCGCTTCCTCCTCCGCGTGGTCCAGGAAGCCCAGCACGCTGGCGTCCGGCGGGGCCGTCACGCTGAACTGCGTCTTTGAGTCTCCGTCGTCCTCCGAGCCGTCCTCCTCCTCCTGCAGAAAGCAAAACAAAAAAGGGGTCAACGGGCGGCCGCAGGACGTAGAGGCCGGGTCGTGCTCTGGCAATAAAAAAACCAGGAAAAAGATGCCGTTGGCCGGCTCAAACACCCGGGTGCATGAGGGTCGTGCAGTGTTAGTCGATAGTGCTTAGAAACGATCGCGGTACAGCAGCAAAAATGCGCTTTCCAGGGTGCTCGTTGTGATTCATGTCGATACCCGTTAGTGTGCGTGTGTGTTGATGGAGTTAATGGAGGCAGTCAACCAGAAGACAAAGTCCTGAAACAACTGCAGCTAAATACACAGAGCAACACGATTTGGCTTTTCATTGGGTTTTTTCTCTCTGAAAAACACACCTGCGCTTTATTGCACTATGGGTCTCATTTTCTTTTAGCTTTTACTGTTATTTGCTATTCAAAGTCATTATTGAGATCACAGGACTGAACGATCTAAACAGGTATCTGTGATGCATGTAAACAGGTGCTGCTCACGCGTCTCTCCCCCATCAGACTTATTTTAAACTATCGCGCACAACTAGATCCCAGCAGTTACCTTTCTTACTACAACATTATTATCATCGTCACAAGTAAGAAATAAGACCCCAGGTTGTAATAAACCAGCATAACCTTTTGACACCCAACAGTTACTTCTAAAAAAACAAATCACGGAGCAGTTCAAATGTCACATCCAGGCAGCTACTGATTCAACGTCTCTACGGGAGCTGGCGACAGGAAACGGGGGGGGCGCCCAATCAACAGGCAGCAATCAGGCTCATTAGAGGGGTACTTAAATGACGGGGAGGCGGGGAAAATCGGAGCTGGCGACTGATTGCTCAAGCAGCAGCAGCAGCAGCAGCAGCTCGTCACCTTGATGTCATCGAAGAAGAGTGCGGTTTCGCCCTCGATAATTGGCTGAAGGAGGGGCCCTCTGCGCTTGCTGGACGGAGAGCCCTGTGGTGACGGTTAAGAAGGAGGCGTTAACCGCGCTGGCGTTCACAGCAAGGCCTCGTCCTTCGGGCGTTTACCAAGCTTTATTTCCAACGGGAGGCCCGAATGACAATCATTCGAATTGGACGTCCCAAGACTCAAGGTTAGTTAACTTATTTATGGGGTCTCTCTGTGTGAACAGCTCAATGACTGCTTATTTATTACTTACTGAATAAAAATTAAATCTAAATATTTTTTTTAAATAGTAAACTCAAGGACTATTTTTAAATTTATTTTAGGAAGAAAAAGAGTAGCTTGAGGAGTTAAAAGCCGGAACAATTTTCTGGCATAATAAAAGTGCTGCGACATAACTCTGTCAATGGTCTCAATTTGCATGATGGGGATTAAATGGTAGCACATTATATAACGGATATTTACTCATAATAATATCTTACATAATAGAAATGGTTATTAAATGGTTGAGTATACAAACAACACTTTTATAAAACTAGTACTGCAACATAGTAGCATTATCAACAATAAAAAAGTAGTTTTTTTATGTGCATGTAGGAGGAAACAAGTCCTCATATCAAAGTAAAGTTGAACATTTCTACAGCGTCCGCCCCGCTTCTGCGATCAGCTTTTCGTGATGTCATTTCCTGTGTACCCAATCTGTCACCTATGACCCGCTTCGGGACAGAGGGAGTCACTGAGCTGCCAAAGCTGGACTTTAGAAAAGGTGGAGAGCGCATTTGTCGCGCGGCTGCCACCGGGTGCCACGGCGGGGCCCTAAAGCCACCGTGAGCCGGGATTAAGGGCCCGCAGACGCTTTGACAACGCAGTGATCTTTGCCGCCCGCTTGTCAAAAGAGCCGCAGGACAAACGGGGGCGGCTGCATAGAAAGAAGTTTGGAGAAAAAAGAAAAAAAAGACGTGGAGGTTTTAAGATGCGGTCCTTACAATGACGGGGATGGTGGAGGCTCTGCACAGGATCTGCTTCACCAGACGATACCGGTCGTACAGCGGCTTCATGATTTGCCTCTCGCTCTTGGTGACCTGAAGTAGCAAAAGAAGAGGGGACAAGTTGTTGCTCCGACTGCTCAGCCACGGACATTGACGTAACCCTAAATGACAGCTGTCCCAGACGGCTAACAACTCCTCAGCCCCGTTCTCCAGGGTCGGTGACCACGAACCACCGAGGAACACAGAAAGGTCAGCCGCACTTCCTGGTACGCAACAACGCCAGCAGGGACGGCACAATTACTTCGATTGATTCAGGTTCTGACATCAAACGATGTCAGGCGATGAGTGATGTCAGCGCCTTCACAGGTCTATATATGGTTCTGTATTGCAACAGCACACGTTGTGACAATTTGATATATATAAAAAAAAAGGCACCAAAAGAATCACACCCATCCTTTCCTTCATTAGCTAATCACGACGAACACGCCGCTCCGGCTTCAGACATTATTCACCCTTGACTTGCAATCTGGGTCACAACGAAGTGGTAAACAAGATTTTTTTTTCCTCTTTGGGCCAACATGGCCGACAGGACCGTTTATTGCGTTTGTTCATTTGACGGGAGGACTTACTGGTCGACCGTGTATGCTCTCGTAGTAGAGAAGAGCCTTCTGCAGCGCGACCTTCTCCGCTCCGATCTGCTCCCGTGTCATGTCCTGTCAGCATGAAGTAGAACATCGGATCATTTCAGAAATGAAAGTTCCCGCTGGGTCTCCCTGCTTTTGTTGTCCTTGTGACGAGCGTGTCACTGTCTTACCTTGATGTCTTCTGGACGGTTAACGTCCTCTCTCTTCTCCTGCAGCTTCTTCAGGATCGTCTCCAGGCTGCTTTCCACCGGAGGCTTCGGCGCTTTCTCCTGCGGGGGTTTCTTCTCCAGCTGCGAGCCGAAGCTTTTGGGCAGCGTGTTGCTGCGCTGGCGGGTCAGAGGCGGCAGGTCTTCCTCCGACTTCATCAGCTTGCTTTCTGAAGAGGGTGAGGGGACAGACGGACGACACTGAGTCTTGATTTTAGTTCCCGCACTACAGCCGAGCCCTCTTTGTTTCAAGGTCTCACCTTTTAGCTCTTTGCGAAGCTTAGCCAGCTCATTAACCCATCTCAGCACCTCTGGGTTTTCAGCTTTATCACAGTGGGAGGGCTGGATAGGAAGAAGGAAGAGCAGGAGAACTGATGAGGACAGATTCTCTTTCACAATGAAGCCGCAGCTATAGTCATTGCTCACGTGACGTAACTACATCGATCATAAATCGAGGGCTCAGTCTGGGATTAACAGCATTTTTATGAAGCAAATGGCCTTTAAAATAAACAAACAGTCGCAGACCTTTAATCTTGATTTAAATATCTGTTTCATAGAGTCACAGGTGTCTCCTCAGATGGTCAACGACCTTGTTAACGGGTTGTAAAAAATGAAAGACTGGTACCTACCCTGTATTTACGCTCCTCTTCAAACCTCTCCTCAAACCGGTGGATCTTCTTCCTCAGCACGTGGATCCTCTTTGTGAGCTGAGCGGACGTCAGCTCCTCTCGGTCGTCGTCGCAGGAGCCGAGGGACGAGCTCCTCCTGCGACTGCGGGGGACGCGATCACGTGGTTAGTGACGGCTCCTCCCAACTCTCCTCTACGCAAACACCCGTGCGCGCGCGCACACACACACACACACACACACGTGTTAAGTTGTTTACCTGACAAACGAGTGTGCGTTTGGAGGCGAGGGAGGCACTTCGGTGTCGTCCAGGTACTGCTGGCACTGTCCGTAGCCGTAGAAACGTGGCGACAGCATCGGGTCGCTGTCCTCCTCCACCAGCTGGCGGATCAGACGCCCCCCGGCGTGAGGGGACAGGCGGGCCTCCTCGCGGTCCATGCTCTCCCTCTGCATTTGCGGGCACGCTGGGACCGGCTCTGAGAAAAAAGAAAAAAAAAACACACACTTTGTTGAAAATGCGCCACTTTGGATGCTCTGCTGTGTCAAGTCAGGGTTCAAAAAGCAACAAACTTCACACGGTGGCAACAAACGACAGGTTAGTCGGAGGAATTCGGAAACGGTGGTGCATGCTGGCACGAAAAACAAACACAAAGCAGATTTACCATATTATGGCCAAAAGCTCTGCAGCTACTGAATGAAACACCTCCTTTAACGTTTAAAAGGACCCACTTCAGAACTAAAACCCTAAAGAATTATGTACTTGCTGTTTTTTAAATGCCCAACTAATAAAAAAGGATTCTGATTGTTGAAATAGGAATCCATTATTGATTAAAATGCAGATCAATAAGCATTTGCTTTACAAAATGTCAAAACATACCTAGAAATTTCCATTTTAAGACTAATTAACATACACGATGGCTTCAGATTTTCTCTGCAACTCCAACAATATGTTAATTTCCCTAAAGATTAGAACTTATTATCTTCCAATACAGTTACAGGTCATTTCTTTCCCTGCTAAAAAATCTTTTTGGATCCTAATTGGCGGTGTGAAAGTGGCTGGACACAAGGAAGCTTAAAAACCTTCCTGTGGGGCTCGACCGTCACAGATGTTGTTTTGTAACTGCGGGTCAGAGCGCCCTCCCTCCTTCCCTCCACCCCTCCCTCCATCCATCCTTCCCTCCCTCCCTCCCTCCCTCCCTCCCGGTTTATGCCCTGGTCAGTCTTCACTCTGGCAATAATCATGCCTGGTGAAAATAGCCATGCAGATACCCCTGACAATCCCCGGGCTATTAATAATGCCTGGCACTCTGTGGGATAATGTCAGCAGGCAACCCCCGTTGGGAGGGACACTGATGAGTTTGTGTTTTAGTTTCCACTCTGCACGGCGAGAGATGAAGCTATTCAGCGTCTGTCAAAGTACGTGTGCATGGTGGACAGACTAAACTGGGAAATATCAGAGCTCCCTCTTGTAATAAGAAAGGGGGGGAAAAAACTGTAGAAACTGTATCAAAACATTAAAGTCAGCAGGAACAATGAAGGGGATTTCATGGAAACGGCCAGACCTGTAACATCAGGCGTCAGGGGACTCTAGGAATATACAGAGGAGTTGTTGCACAGCGAGGCGCGACGGAGGGAGAGAAAACAAGCTGCCGGGGGAAACATTCAAAGTGTCAGAAAACACGTGAGAAAATACGCATGCAGTCTAAAACTGCAAACAATGTATTTTTCTCAGCTTGGGTGGGTTCGGCTGCGGGAGAAGAAATTCAGCTCAGATTCCACATCTTGTGCCAGGGGTCCTCGTGTAGGTTTAGCTACGTGCAGTTTATTAAGTAGCCGCCCTGCGGCCTGTTTGCGCTCGCTCACAGCAGCAGGTGAGGCCCTAAATCACACTGCAGGTCTTCATTTGGAGGTGCAGAGGCTTCATGGCATTTCAAATGAATCCTTTAAATCAAACCGCTTACTGGTGGTTCAGGATTAACTAGACTAATGAAACAAAAACAAAACAAAAAAAACATGCCAGTTTGCCATTTCACAAAAAAGAAAAAAGGTTGCTGTGTGAGTGAGACGCGTGCGACAAATGTTCCAGATCGGTCGAGCGCGTTGCCATGCCACGGAAAAGGTCAACTCGGACAGCTTTCTCTTTCTTGCACTCTGGTGAAGGTGATGTAACGCAACACTTACCATCACAACAACTTGGATGAAAAATGGTTTTGAAATCAAGAAAGGGGGCGTTAAAGAACGGAGAATCTGGGAAGAATGAAAAAGAAGAAAATAGGCAACATGTGAAGAACCAGATGAGGAAATCTAGGCAAAGAAAGGAAGAACAAATACAGGAAATCCAAAAAACAACAAGTTTCTTCCTAAACCTTAATTAGCGAGACGTACGAGCGACTGTCTCTCGTCTCTTCCTGTTGGAATGCCTTTTAATGTCCTTCCACCATCGCCGGCAGGAGGACAAGGACAGAGCGGCGGTAAATATCAGGTCACCAATGACAGGCGCTGGCACAAAGTGTACTGGGACAAGGGCCTCCCACCATTGCCTAATGGACTCATCCCCCCCCCCGGCAAGACCACTTGCACTGGATTACACTCCTCTCTAGTAAGAACAAATCCCTTAAAGTACCATTATACACCTCGAAACAACCGATAATTCATGCTGGCTCGTTTTGCAAGAACATAAATCCCCCTTTGGTTCTCCTTCGTGAAGACTAGCACATAAAAAGAAATCCTCACTAGCTCACTTGTGGTTTTTGTTACAGCACTCATGCTTCAATGGACCTGATCCGTTTGCTCACGCACCTAAAAGGAGAAACTGTGGTTATGAACAGCCTGTCACAAGCAATCATGCACGCTCACTGTGGCGTCCCCACTGCCACAAACTCAGTTAAGCATTCAGGACACAATGTCCAGGAAAGGAGACTCAAGAACAGGCAAAAAAAGACGAGATTCCGAAACCCCAAACAGAAAATGTTCAACTGCAAAATGTCTGCAGAAAAACACGGCCGTCTAGATGCGACATTACTGAATAGGCTGCACGACGCTAAGCCCTCCTTCAAACTAAACGCATTTTGGATTACAAGCGAGCACAATACGAGACAGCGTGCACAGACTCCGGGAGCTTAACCAACCAACGCCACACCTTTAGGAAACAAGACTGAACAGTTGGCTCAGGCACAATAAATCAATTGCTAGACATGCTCGTGATGCAAATGCTTTCCAGCAGCAGCAGCAACAACAACGTCTCACAGACCTCCGTTGTTTTTTAACGTATCACTTTTGACCACTAGAGAGCTCCACAAATCATGCAACCTCGAGCCATGAGGCCGTATAAGATGAGGGATTTGTAGCATGGAATATATTGCTGTGATTGCAACATTCAGACAGGAAACCGTGGAGGTGGTTAGTGGGAGTCAAAACATGCGCTGACGTGCCCTTCTAACTGGAAGAAATGGACCTGTCGGCTGTCATTGCAGTGAACAGTTCAACAAAATGCTCGGCTCTCGCTGCTCAGCCCACAGGTTCCTCCACCCTCCTCCGTCCGTCCGCTGTGTTGCAACCTCCCAGTAAAACAATCACAGTCTGAGTGCACGTGCAATTGTGCACAGTTTCCTCTCTGCACAGAAGGCCAACAGCAGTGCATTAATACACACGATAGGAACGTACTAAATAGAGGTCTGGCTGCAGAACATTGCCTTAGTGCAATGCTTGTGACTATAATTATTAGATGCATTTAAAGTTTGCAAAGCTGCCATTAAATACAAAATCACCATCACCATTGGCAAGGGACGAAGTGAACATTCAAGATCTCACATGAAACTGATCAACTCTCGGAATGCAAGCAAAGTTTCTGCTCAATTATCTCGATTCCACCTCCCATTTAATGATTAATTTCTGACTGTGAATAACAGCAGCGGAGCCTTGACACATTTCAATGCAGGAAATTCCAGTAGACATCCTGATAAAAAACAACAACAAACAACCGTTTTCTCTTTAAACGAACACAAGTGGCTCTAAACTTCACATTCAAGGTTCCCATGTGGTCTAATTCAACAGCAACAAAACAACAAACAGTCTGCAGCACTTCCTTATCTCCCCCAGCTGGGATAACACGCTCCTGTGGGTCGCTAAGCCAGATATACACACACGAGTGTGTGGAGGATATCTGAACATTAAAGCGAGCAGGATATGCAAAAGGAGGAGGAGGAGGAGGAGGAGGAGGAGGAGGAGGAGAGGGGCCAGGAGGTGTGCAGCTGCTGCCCAGACCCCAATGTGCAGAGCTGCGTCCGAGCATGTTTGTGTGAAGAACACACAAAAAATGTGTGTGTGTGTGTGTGTGTGTGTGTGTGTGTGTGTTCGGCAGAGAAGCATCACATGCTAAGAGAACAACTCGAGCAGGCGGATCGGGGAGCTTTACCTCCCCAGTTGTTTTCCTCGGTGAGCGCCGTCAGGTCCAGGCGAGGCACCTCCTCGCGCTCCTGGTCCGAGCCTCGCGCCTCTCCGCCGCCGCCGACCCTCCCCGCGTCGCACGCGACGGGCGACTCCTGGATCTTCATCCTGAGCGTCTGCACGACCATGAGAGGACGGAAGTAAAGGAGATGAGCGCTCACGACGACGATGGCCAGCACGCGGACACACACACACTCTTTAAGTTGGGGGCCGCACCAACCACTCCCACGGCCCGGCCCAGCCCGGGGGGGGGAGGAGGGAGGAGAGAGGAGGGGGAGGGAGAAGGCGCTGCTCCCTCGCTACCGATTGGCCGCCTACGTGGTCAAAACATCCGCCCATCTGCCTCTGAGCGCGCGCGAGCGCAGCGAGGGTTTGGCTCCGCCCCGTCCTCCTTCCATTGGCCTCCCTGACCACGCCCCCTGCCTATCCCCCCTTCCCCCGCTCTCTATCTCTCTCTACAGTAGCCCTCCTTTCTAGAGCTTTCTCCCCGCCCTGACATGTGTTTGTCTTCCCCGCCCTGACGCTGCTCCGGACTTGTTTTTTTCACAGCAGCAGACGGGAGGGGAGAGAGGGAGGGGAGAGAGGGAGGAGAAGAAACGGATTGTGAGGCAGCACACGTAGCCTGACAGGGTGTTTTTTTCTCTCCGTCTCTCTCTCTGTGCAGACAAACAAACTGCATGTAGGCTCCTCCGTCCTTCTCTCCCTGCTCCCCCATCACACTTTCTCTAACTCAAATATAAGTTTAAAAAAAGTAAAAAAAAAAAAAAAAAAGAAGAGACCCTGGACCAAATTCTGGGGGCATTTTTATCTATTTGATCAAACCCACTCAGCAGGTCATGAATTGAGAATGTGTCCACGGGCCTTCGGGGTCCCGTTTCCTCGGCCTGGGCGCGGCGGCACGAGGCTATTCTTAGAGAAGGCTGACCAGACCTCATGAATGCCACAGACAGCTCACTGGGAGGTGTGCACTGAGAATCTGCTCACAACAGCACTTGTTTTTTGTTGTTGTTTTTGTAGGCACCTCCATGTGAGATTAAGGAATCAACGCCGTAATGAGTCTCAGGGTAACGGGAGCATTCGCTTTGATGTGATGAGCTCTTACCGTCATTGTCCCTCCGTGGGGAAGCACACACACACACACACACCAGCTAACTCCATCCCATAATCACAGCGGCTCTGCAGTTTTCAAGATCAATAAAGCTCTTTGTGTGTCAACGTTTTTGTTTTGTTCCCAATTAGCCCCTTGTTTTGAATGCATCGATGGATCACAGTTTTACGTGTGCTGATTCACAGATATTTTAAAGATAATATGATATGTTGTGAAAAACCAAAAAGTACAATTTGTCATTTTTTAAAACTCAAACCAGCATCTACATTTAAAAAAGTCCTAATTTTGCAGGACCAATTCTGAGATAGGAGCTGTTGGGCCTACCTACATAATTCATTTTGCATTATAATATCAAACCTGGGGGTGAAATCAAACTTCAGCTTGGTAAGAGACTTGCATTTATTAAGAGTTGATCCAGCTAGTCAATCTCTGAATCACTGCCATCAGGCATCAGTCTAGAGAGAATAAACCGCCTCCAAGGACCCACACAAACAAAGTGAAGGATTTGGCCTGACATAAGCTTCCTGTCAGATAGCTTTGTTTTCTTTTTGCTCTCTCCACACGCTTGAGTGTGTATTCTGGCAACAATCAAAAAGAAAAAAGTGACCCATCCAGAGAAAGACCAAATCAGCTGCAAAACGATATGCACCGATTGTTAACTGGTTAAACAGTAAATAACTGACTTCTTAATTTCTCAAATTAACTGCAGATGTACACTGCGGGTACGTAATTGCAAACACTTCTTTAACATTTCTGCACACGTAATCCGTCTGCTGATTAATAAAACGAACTGCAGCTCAGGGGAGGACAAAGATGGCCTGGTGGTAACGCCCACGTGTGCGTGATAACCCCCGGACTTTAGTGACCAGCCGAGAGGCCGGCGCCCCGTCAGAGCGCATCCGTGCCGGCTCCAGATGGTCGCTGGGTGGCAAAGTGTGTGTGTGTGTGTGTGTGTGGGGTGCTGGTGGTGGCAGAGCTGCAGCCTGAACTGCTACCAACATCCATCTGGGCGGCTCAGAAAGGTCATATTCGCATTGGCTGCGCGATAACGTTCGGCGGTGCTGGTCCAGATTAGAGGCGGAGACGAGCAGATTTTATTCCGCTGTTTGATTCCACTTTAGCTTCATTTCATTTCCTTTTTGAATCCACTGCTTTGGTTCGCGTGTACATCCTACTTCTCCATATTGTAGTGTATCATATGAATGTTTTTGGTTTTATTTAAACGCTGATACCATACCCGTGTTTCAGGTAAACAACACCTGCACTAGACTTAATTTGAAGAAGCCAAATGTTGAATGTCCAAACGTTGCAAACGAATTATTTGAATTGGGAAGTTGTAAAATTCGGAGAAAACTTTTAGTACGCGAGTAATACATTTACATTTAACAATACATTTTTTAAACTTGGTGCTACTGACCAATTAAAAAAAGTACCATAAAGTTATTGAGATTGAATATTCAGCCATCTCCTTTCTTTCACATCAGTTTCTTTCAAATCTGAGCCTCTGTTTGCAAACTATACAACTTGAAACAAATGGAGGCTCATAGGACCTGATAGGACTAGAACTTGAACTTACCTGTTGACGAAAAGGAATCGCGCGTTTTCTGGAAATTTTATTCCTGAAAGATCCATCAGAAAAGATCACTTTAGCAGAATAACACAGTTGATACGATCACATACTGTATGTATATCTTTGTTGCCTAATAAATAAACACCACAGAATGACCAACAGGTCCCTTAAGATGGTGGCAGCCGGTAGCTTATCAATGCGACACAAACATTCAGGTGGTGACAGTAATGACAAAAAAACTTAAATGACATACTAAATTTCAAATCAAGTTAATGTTTTAAAGAGCTTACTCTCTGTCGGATCTCTCCATGTGGTTTGCTTCGGGTCTCTCACAAACACATTCCTTTAAAATGGAAGAAGACAGAACTCAAATCAGAATTAAACATACTGATGTATTTTATGATCACTAGAGACGAGAGATGTTGACGAGTTTTACTGCAAACATGAACTTCAAAGTTAAAGGAGACCTCTAAATGTAAAGCCATTAAACGTATGGAAACCTCATTGCAGTCCATCTGGAAATTGAGACCTTTCAGTCTGGAGCACATCAAGCCAAATACACACAGGCCTGAGAGTAGTGTGGAACGATGCAACTTAATCATTAATCGCATATTAACTATTAAATACAGAACTGTGCACAACACAAACTTCAATTGACTCATCAAAGACGTTCCAATGAATCAATCTGGTGTGTTTTCCAGTACGCTGCGTCGCTGTACGATAAATAGCGGCAGAAATAACACGCGAGACAATTTCACAGCTACTAAATGCTCTCAGTGGCTCATGACATGAAAAAGCTCACATGCGGTGTTCACACCGACAGACCCTCGCTGACATCAAACCTCAGCACCAATCGGGATTCCGTTCCACGGACCGTGACTGTGCCAAAGCATCCAGAGCCGCCTGCGCTGTTACATGAAGCGCCGGCACGAGGAGCCAGCGGAGTGTAAGCAAGAGGTCTGAACTTTAAATTAGCACGTATGAATTATGAGCCGAGTGTGAATAATAATTTGTCCTGCTTTCATGCTGCTGCGGTGTAAGAAGAGTCTGCAGGCGCTGGATCGCGTTACGAAAGCGACGTGGTTCGCACCGTCTCCCCCCTCGAGCTTTCACACCCTCCTCGTACGGACTCAACCGTCGGTGGTGATTCATTGCATCGCGGTCGGCAGACCAGAGGTAGCTGACCGAGTATTTTATCATCTCATCATCGCTTAACCCGGATGGTACCAGTGTGACAATTGGTATCATTGGTTAATTTAATAACTGATCATTTTTGATGATTTTGATCTATAAAATGTCAGAAAAAAATGATGCCGGTTTTGTCGGACCAATAATCCACTTATGATCAATCACTTATATGTTTAACTTAAACTTATTTAACTTAAAATGAGATAATAAAATGTTCAGATTTGAGAAGCAAAGAATATTTAATGTGTTTTTCTCATACACTGACTTTCAATTACCAAAGTTGTTGCTAAATAATCTTTTCTGAATTGACTAATTGGTTAATGGAAGTTTTTTAATATCCAAGATTTGGTACCAAAACTAAAAATAATAAACCCGTATTTGGAATTTACACTTTTCTTAAAATAGGTTAATGTTATAATGAAAGTAATACAATAACTTTGCCTCCAACTTTCCAACCAAAGTAAAATAAATATGGCAACAAATCAAATAAACTGTCCATAAACTAGATCCTAGTACATATAAGACATTTCACGCAAATAGGAGCTGTTATTTCGTAGAGTTTATATAATATATCCAATTTCCCTTCAACATGATACAAATACTGAGCACTCAACAGTGTGTTGTGAGTCAAGTACCGACATGACAACTGTCTACTGTTGTCCTCAAAAGGATAAAAGCTTCCGCTAATTGCACGCTGGTAAGTGACCCTTTCGCTTGCACGGCTTCTGGAAGAACTGGTTTGCAATTAGAGCGGCGCGCTGCACATTGCGAGCCGCTGTTCAATGAGAATGCCGCGGAACCATTAGGCAGCTGCATCTCGCTTCCTGTCGTCTTCCAACTCGCTGCCGTCTGCATTTAAGGCCTCTCGTTCAACTGCAACTGGCAATTATTTGCAGTGAGTCAGAAATAAAGGACGACGAGCTGATTGGCATCGCAGGTGCTTTACCCACAAACATCCCAAAGACGGGATGAGACGAGGCGAGAGTACTCACCGTGTGAGTGCCACTCTGGCCTCCCCGCGAGTCCACGCTGCTGCCCGTGTCCTCCCCTGCTCCGCTCCCACTGCTCCCACTGCTCCCACTGCTCAGGGGGATGTTCTCCTTGTTGGTGTCGGCTCGGTCGGACGCGGTCCTGCTGCTCAGGCAGAGAACAGCAGAGTGAGGAAATTAGCGCTGCCGCTTTGGTTCGTCTTTATCGGCCTCACGTTGGGCGAGATGCTTCAAGAAACGTGAAGCCAGGGTCATCCTGATAACTCTGGTAGCGCGTGCTGTTTAGCCTTCGGCGCTAATTCTATTTACTGTCCACGGTCTTGGCATTTTTGGCCGTCTTTGGACTCGTGCGCGCCTCTAATCGGCGTCTCGCCCCGGTGTAGCTCCATCAACACGGATTACTTTCTTTCTGCGGTTGTTATGAGCGCGCGGTGTCTCAGCGGACGAGCTTACCGGAAAGAATGAAAACCGTACGAGGGTTTACCGTCATCAAAAACACCAACTGGAAGTGGTGGCACAGTAGTGATGAGTAACTTACTCTGCTTTACCGAAATAGTATTATCAATTTAGTCCATTCCTGTTAAACACGTTCGTTTATCATGATTCTGTATCTTGAAATAAGAAATAATTTTCTGCACAAGAATGAGAAAATCATTTTTGGTTTACATCGCGTTATTCTTCCAGTATTAGCAGACTTATTCCTCATTATTCTAATAAAATAAGACTTCCAGGAAACGATTACAGACAAAGATGGTGAGATTGGTGGCGGTTTGTCTTTGGTTGCAACACTGAACGCGAGCTGATACCCTCGACCACGCCGAGGTGACGACAGCGGACTCATCTCACCGGTTCCTTCCCTTGAGTCTCAGCCCCTCCTCCTGTTGCTCCCTGTGGTGCCGACGTCTCTGTCGGGCAGATGGCCTCGGAGGTGCTGGACGTGGGGTTGACTCGCAGTCCTCTGAGCTTTGATCCCCTGAAGGGTTTCCATCGAAGAGGTGCTGCACCACCGCCGAACGGATCGTCCTGTCCAGGAAACTGAAGGTCCAAGAAAAAAAGAAGAGAAAAAGAATAAGTGGAGTGTACAGCAGGTATGGAATGAAAGTGCAGGAAGTGGTGATAATAGTAGTCAAGTAAATAAAGTCAACTTACTTTCCTACATCTGGTCTGAAGTGGGCAGGAGAGAGGAGGGTACTGAAATAAAAACAAGAGGGGAAAAGAGTGAGCGCTACGGGAACAGGTGGTCAAAACCCCAGCCTCTGGTTCTGGCCCCCAGGTGATGGAGGCATCTAGTGCGCATGAGTGAGTTAACGGTGTCCTCTGAATGCTAAGTGGCCGGCATCTCTTAACGGTAGATCACATGGTCCAAACTGATCTGATCTCTGGTTTTCTCCATATCGTTTTATTATCTGAGGTAATGAGCAATGGTTCTTCTATGTGAGTGTATCTATACCGAACTACATATGTATAGCTACATATGAAAGGTGCAAGGCGACATCAAGCTACGTCCTTTATCTCTTCTATCACAGTCGAGGTGTTTTCCTACCAGAACTCTTATCAGAAGAGCCAAAGTACGACTTTCATCCATTTATGGAGGTAATTTGTCCCACTGGTTTGTTATAGATTCCGTCCATATCCGAAGCCCAATGAGAAGAAAACACTGGACCGTAAATCTGAGCGCCACGTCATTTGGAGTACAGCTACATCAACATGTGTGGGGTGACCTGAACCGTCCATAAACAGTGGTGTTGACAGTAATAGCACAGCTACGGTGCACTGATACAGGTAGAGATAATAACGGAGTGATGGTACACTGAAGGTGACTGTGGGCCTGTGTAAAATGTGCCCAGTATCAAAGCTGTAAACCAGGAAAAGCAGTCACATGCCCCCCATCCGCCCCCCCACCCAACTGCGTGATAACCTGACGATCCTTTTGATGAGCTTAACAAATGAAAAACATAACCGTGGGCCTGTAAATGTTTTAAACAGTTTTTAATATGTGCTTATGGCCAGTTGTGTTCATTCTGTTGCAACAGGCCGAGCGGTGGAAGGCTCACAGGTGCTCCTGAGGCAGCAGACTGAACCGCTCGATTATCTCCGAGCGTGGGGGGGTGGAGGGGGAAACAGCCCACCACCTAAGAATAGACCTGACACTGAACGCAACAGGTTAAAGCAACAGAAAACACTTCAATGGCTCACTACTGTGGACTTAACCTTTCACCGGGATGCCTGCAAATGTCAAAGGCACGAATCCATTAACTGCAGAGGACGCATTGAGCCCTGAAATATGGCAGTAGCTTCTGAAGAAAAATCTAAAAACGTATAGAAAACTGACGCGGGGGTTTCATTATTCAACTGGAGTGCGTGCCGGTGAAGGATTATGAGACCCCCAGAAATGTTGCGATTTTAACACTGACGCTGTTAGTTTCATGCAATGGTGCTGGATTAAAACAAAAGAGATGTCTCCTTTTGACTGCTAATCCCAAAAATTAACCCTTTGTGTGGACCGTGCTTCTGAGATTTACTTCAATGCTCCACATGATTACACTATTTATTGGATTCTAATAAAACCCTTACAAATATTTTGGGAAAAACATCTCCAAAGCCTCTGAAGCATTGAATCCTCCATACTGTGCACCCAGCAGCGTCAATTCAACCAGCCCAGTATGACGCCACTAACCGGCAAAAAATTATAAAACATATGTTGACTCGTGGCTGAGGTTGAGCTCCCATGTGGCCGCCTGAGAGTCTTTGTGTGCGTGCAAGAAAGCACACATCAGTAAGAAGAAAGTCTGTGTGGTGGGGATGTGTCATACTAGCATACTAGCTAGCCATTGATAAATGTGAGCGAGAGACACAGACGGGTAAAGGGAGGTGGAAACTAACACAAACATTAACTGTAGTGACACAGACCGCTGCTGCAACAAATTACCTAGTTGGCAATTGATCTGCACAACTAGGTTTTCCTAGTTGACCTTTTAGTTTACGGTATAAAATAACCCAGGAAAACTGCTTATTTTGTCCGACAAGCAGTTCAATTCTTACACATACATTATGTGTACAATAACACAAAACAGCCATTAAGACGAAATATGTGCCATACTATCCTGCCAATGGGGTCTGTCAATAATAATCAATGTCAATTATTGGATTTCGATGTTCAATGTGCCCAGAGGATGAAGCCAATAGACTTCGATAGATTGCCTCAATTTTGCTTGAGTGAGAGCGATTATGTAATGCAGACAAAGAGATTAAATATCGCAGGCAGAAGTTAAACAGGTTATTGTTATGTATTTACTACACATACTGTTTATAGCTGACTTCATAGCTGACCACATGCCTGGGACTTGGATTAGTGCACTAATTAGGGCCTTTGACCTTCCATTCTGGGAGAAAAGGATTTGTGTTTCATTACAACATAACCAAGAGAAATATTCCAAGAAAGATGTATTGCCTTTTGGTTACACCCGAGCTGCAGTAGTTGACCATCAAGCAAAAGCTACAAAAGTATTATTATCTTTATTAAAGATAGTAAAGTACATCTAGTTAATTGATTTAATTAGAATATGTAAAGTTTGGCTGTCCATTTTATATAAAATAATAATCATAAGGTGTATTTAAAATGGTATTGTATTATTTATTTTCTCAGCTTATTATTATTATGCATTATTCCAGTTATTATGACCACTTAAAAAGCTTGCTCCCTCATACAGCCGCTCTGGTCTGAAGTCTTATCAGCTCTGAGGTCATATCAGCAAACAACACTCCAGTGAAAATGTGTCAACTGCACGTGATTAAATAAGGAACCAGCAGCTGCTGGGGTTAAGGCTTCAGATCAACTTCAACAAAAAGCGAAGGCTAGTAGGGTCATTGATGATTAACATGTGATTACTACTCATGTGCGGCTAGTCTGTATGGAACATTATCACGTGCAAAAACAAAAAACAAGGGTCTGCAGGATGTTGAACACATATGTTGTCCTCTCACGCAGTTGTAACTTTGGCACGGATGGAAAATGTCAGGAAAAGAAAATATGATTAATTATTGTTGTATTCAATAATTCAATATTATTAATTCAATTAAAATATAATAAATTTGTTGTTGATATTCTCCAAAATGAAAGCTGAAACTAAAATGAATGAACTGATATTATTATATTACAAAACATTTTTTGGCATTCTTTCACAAGCAAATTGTTGTACATTGATTTCCCTCTAACTGGCGCTTCTATTGTTTCCCATCATAATTTACAAAAACAACACACTCCCATCTAACTTTGTCAGCTAGGTAAGACGTCCTACCTCATATAAAAAGGAGATATTGGCCCGTCTTCTTCGTCAGAGCTGTAATACGAATACGATACGATGTGTGTATAAAGTAAAATTAATTAAAAGCATTGCCCCCCCACCCCTGCCACACCCGTCGTGTCCGTGGGGCTGAAAAGAGGAGCAGAAGACTTTTGTCTGCAGAATAATAGCCATGTGGTGCAATGGTGCAGTCCCTTTGTGGAGCTTGTCTCTGGTCATTGTTATGAACCAAACGAGAAATGGTTGCATATTGGCTGGTTGTTGCCAGCGGCACACGATGAAATAATGCAACAATAAGAGGAACTCTCAGTGTTGGCACTGAATGAAGAGGTTGCCTAACATTTTCATATCCTGGCTCTTACAGGCTGGAAACGTCACAATCACCTCGCCGTGTTTGTCTCAGCAGAGCTAAATTCTTGTTATTCTCTTTTCCGAAGTCAAAGCAGGAAGGAAAACACTGCAGCCCGACCTGAACTGTGACCTTGTAACACATAAGCAACACGCTTTTTCTTTTTTTTTAACTGCATTTGTTACGATCCATTAATTTACAGTTGAATTCATGTCAGTGTTTGGCAACGATGACTACATTTGTGACATTATACAAAGCGCATTTTAAAACTGCAAACCAACCAGGTATGCGTGTTCAAGCTAATTAGACTTGAATCTCCACAGATAATGAGGATTGTTGTGTGTTGAACTAGTATTTATCATCAGTGAATGACAGAAAATTGTCAGTATCTGTATTAATAGTACTATTTTAGTTCTATACTAATCGAAAAAGCCAAGACAGCTGTTCCCCCGTCTCACTGGGATAACAGAATTGTAAATGCCACAGTAACAAAAAATAGCTTTGTTTGTGTCCTCGCTGCAATCAGAGTTGGTTGCACATTGTACTGTAAACATTTCAGCAGAAGCTAAAAAGGAGCAGTCACGCAATATTGCTGGTAAAGCAATAAAAGCAGCAAGAATATTTGGTTTCACTAGTTTTTTTGTTTTTTTTAAAAGAGCCCCAACTCACAATTTAAAATATGAGGTAACCTTGTCTACTGTGCCGGTACGCGGCGGTTGGCGAACGCATTGAGTCTCAGTTGTTCTAAAAACAGAAGAAAGAGTTGTTATTGGCTCATTACGTGACTGCCTGGCTCTCTTGGTACGTGACGTGCCGTCATGTGGCGTACTGTCGAGGGGCAGGCGGGCGGGCTGAGGGTGGAGGGTGGAGGGCGACTTCGAGCCAGGCGCGCAGCACCTCAACGACTTCAAAACAGGGGATTTAAGTTTCAAGCCAAACAGGAATCAAAATGTGCCAAAGTTCGCGGAACGTTTTAAAAGTCTTCTCAAATGACAAAAATGCGCAGGAAATGTACATGTGTTCCTCCAGGCGTTGCTGAAGGCACCTCCACATTATTTTAGAGACTCAGAGGTGAATGTTTTTTGTTTTTTTTCCTCCCCACACCCACGTTCTTAACTGGTGTTACACAGTCTGGCAAGCGTATTAAAGTAATATGTGCCGTCACTGCCGCCGTGCATTGCAAAAGCGGAAATCCCCCTTATCCCCTCGGTATGGTAGTGGGTAACTAAAGGCTTTGTCGGGGCGATCGGGAAAAGGCCCGATCCCTCCGGGGTAAATCGGAAAACCACCAATGACATGTCGGTCCTTCTGGACAATTAAAAAAAAAAAAAAAACCCGGTGCAGACAAAAGTCGTCCAGCTTAGCGGATGGTGGTTACTTGAGTAATCCTCCAGCGAGGGTCCCTCCACATGGCCTTGCCTTAACTTTCCCGACAACAACATCTGCTGATTGAGTCTAATTAAAGTTCTTATTTGATATGATATGTGAACGATATTTTGCTGCCATCACTTTCCTTTGAGGTGATGCTGCCAATAACAGTTGTGATTGTTTACTCGATAATCCCTTTTTACTTTGCAATGTTGAAGAAACACCAAAATGTGGAAAACGGTTTAGTACATTTCTTAAGAGCCGATGAGGATTCAGGAGCTGCACAGCCTCTGGTTCCTCAGCTCCTCTGTTCAGTCTCTGGTCCATTCAGGACCCCCAAGCTATCCGATTTTAGACGGGGGCTGGACATTCTTAGAATACCAAAGAGCACAAACTGTGTGGTGGTCAAGACCTAAAGAATTTGTTGGATAAGCCTGGCTAAGCTATGGTGGGTATATGCTTATTGTATCAGAGAGCCACTATGCTTCAGGATCAACCGAGCATGCAGGCGAATGTAAAAATGTACTGATGGAATACGATCGTGCATATTCTCTCTTGTGTCTCAATATCACAAGCATCAACTTTGCTGTACTTTATTTATGTTAAAATCAAAATGGCACATAAAAAAAACACATTGTTTCCACATGTGTTTTTTTCCACATACTTGTATCTAACAATAATCCTAATACCAACTACTTAATCTTCTGTGAAACTATGTAGTAATAATAATAAAAAAAATGGTATTTTTACATTTTAAAATCTATAAAAAAAGTATTTTCAGTGTCTTTTGCTTGAAGTTAGTTAGTGCTGTCGGTCTACTGATGGAATAATAGATCTTTTCACCAGCAGTGTTATTGCACGACTGAGTTTGGAACACCTGTGGTCATGCGCGGTTGGCTTTGAGTTATTAAATCCAGAAATCCCGTGACCTTGTTGACTGAGACTGATTATAGACCTAAAACCTTGGTTGCGATTAGGGTTCAATGTCATGTTGGAGATTTAGAAAGAGGGTACGGACACCAAAAAACAGTTAAATCCAGCCAGTAAATATGTGCCGTCCGGGTTTTTCCCGCTGATGGATGAGACTTACTGAGGAGGCGGCCAACAATGCTGTCGTACCCACGGGGAACCTGCACTCACACCACACTGCAACGTTCCTCACTCCCACCTTTTTTCAACGGGCTTCTAAGAAACACCATTGGTTACATCACATGATTCAGTGAGCCGTGGCAACTCCACACAAAAGCCAGTATGCGTCCACCGCGAGGTACTACGCCCCGCCGAGCGCAGGATAAGTTCACATGACGCCGCTATGTCGGCTCATGTGACCTGCGCGGCGAACGAGGCTGGTGTCATATCTCAGGTGCAGGTGAGAGCATTGTGCCACACACACACACAGACATCCACTGCATTCATGTCTTTGACAGCAAGGCTCACATGTTGCACGTGTTAAGGACTCCTGGTTTGATACAGCGGTAAAAACGTGGATACAAAAAGATCTGATAGCGGAGGTACTATTATTATTAATCCCACCGAACGCTGATTTGACTGCTGAATGCCCGAGCGAGCGCAGTTACTGGAAAGAATGGTGCAAGTGGGAAATTGAATACACGTGCCATTAGAAATACTTCCAATTGCCTCTTTACCACCAACAAGGTGTGAACACAACTCCTGCACTCTTTGTGTCATATTTCATGTGCAATAAAAACCATGAATGAAAGTTAAAAATGTATATAACCACAACATTTTATATACATATATACACACACTTGGGTTACTTTGTCTCTCAGGCTCAAGTTTGTCAGATACTAAATCGGTGGGTATCAAATCAAGTAGTTTTAAAATGGTGAAATTCTTTTAGTCTTTCTAAAAGTTGCAGGCGCCATTGAGTTTCAGGGTTTAGACCTGTCCCGCTATCTGTACATCCTCCCGATGCGGTCTGACCAGAAGGATTTCAGTCCGGGCGGGAAAATCCACTACAAGATTTACTGGTATCCTGAGATGGGGCTGAAAGTTGCCCCCTGGGAAGTATTACATATCCAAATAAATCTGCTACAGCTAATAAAAGAAAAGTACTTCCTGTTATGAAGATACAAAGAAAATACATTCCACAAACCGTGCAACGCAAATTATATTTTATATTTCAACAAATCTATTCAAAAATGTTACATTCCATATCATCAATTTGATCTAATGTACATATGTTTTTGTAAATTTGTAAAGCGGGGCGCTGTGCGTTTTGATGTAATGTGGTAACAGATCTGTTGCTGACACGGTTTTAAACAGTTGGATTATGTGTCATACTAAAAAAGGTCAGCGGTGAGTCTGCCAAGCCGTAGTAGAGGACAAAACAGCGTCATCATTTCTCATCCCACTGCTTCAACAGCTCACATTTTTCATTTAGCTGACGCTTTTATCCAAAGCAAAAAGTGCAACAGGTTCATTCAACCAAGAGGGCAAAGACCCAGAACAACAAGAATGAACAAATAACAATTTCTTAAACAAAGCCAAACTACAAAGTGCTAGTAAGTAAGTGCCATGGTGACAATAAGGAGCTACCTAGTCCAGGTATAGCCGGCAGAGGTGTGTCGTTAGCTCTATTGGCTTTCTGCTGCCCTGATCTTATTGGGGAGCTCATTCCACCGTCTAGGAACCAGGACAGCAAACGGTCGGGATGTTGACGGTTTGACCATGTCCTGGACGTAGACGTGACCCTGATCTGTTGGACGCACGACACCCAAATGCCAATGTTTGGACACGGATGCGTGCAGCTACTGGTAACCAGTGAAGGCAGCGGCGGAGCGGAGCAGCGTAGCTGAACTTAAGTCAAAAAACAGTCGAGCTGCTGCATTCTGGATGAGCTGCAGAGGTCGGGTGGCGCTGGCAGGTGGACCTGCTAGGAGGCCGTTACAGTGGTCAAGACGTTAGATGACCTGAGCCGGTACCAGAACCAGGAGCAGCCTTCTGAGGCAGGAGGGGACGTATTCTCCTGATGTTGTGCAGCACGGAGACGCGTTGTTGCCGTCATGTTCGGGGCTCCTGCCTCGCTACACATTATATTTGTATTTCACCGACACAAAGTAGACGTATTCTCTATTATCGCTAAAGTAGTTGGTTAATGGTCAGTGCGAGCCCTGGTAAAGAAGGCAGGTTTAAAACCCCTGGTCAACAGCCCCAACAGCAGACACAACTGTGGCTTTGCTATTCCAGGGCTGAGGACACTCGACACCCAGTGGTTCCAGTTTCAGCTTCTTATAATAGGCTTGTTTGTATTGCCAAAAGGCACATTGCCACAGGGCTTTAGATCTCCGACCGCCGTCTTCAGCCTCACCCACGACTGATCATCAATGCAAACAGTAGTCACAACCTTTTTACCACATTGGAGTAAAAGTCAAAAATAAAAGTAGTTTAATAGTTTAGTAATCTATTAGTAATAGTAATAGTAATAATAATAGTAATCTTATGTACATTGCAGTAAAGCTTCACCTTTGTGTTATGTGACGGTAATCTTTATTTTTACGGCTGTTATAAAAAGGTTCAGACGTACAGATAAGACTGTGACCTTAGTCAGACTGCAAGAGAAACTGAAAACAAATGATTTGTTAACCTCGTGAAGTTCGAATTAAGCATTCATGAATGTAATATATTCACCTCTGGCTGTACCCTGCATGGTATTTAACTTCCAGGAAATGCATGAACATTTACCTCTGAACAGCTCCAAGCACTTAAAACAAAAAACGGTCGTAAAATTATTTCCGAAAAATAGTAATAATATTCCTGCCAGCAATATCGCAGCTTTGACATCATGTCAGGCACAGGCGCACGCTCTTTGACCGCACTCTCTGACCTGCTGACGGCCTCCGCGTCGCCGGAGGGGTTGGCGTCGAGGTGGCCGAGTGTGTCTGGGGCTTGTTGGCGAGCCGTCTCCATTGGCTCCGGACCGGGGCTTCTCAGCGCCGAGGTCAGCGGTAAAATGATTGGTATGGAGAGGGACCTCGCGTTGGGCGACCAAGCCGAGTGGCCGGGGTCAGGGGTGACTGCAGCCATGCGGCCGCTCGACCCTTTCTTCACCTATTTCACACAGAGAGAGAGAGAGAGATGCCAACAACAGGTGAGTCGTGTGACAAGCAATATGAGACAGCACGAGAGGCAGACGATACGCCTGCAACTCCCTCGCTTATAAGTGCACAGAAACAGACTGGAGCCTTCACCCTTTGCTCCGGTTACCGGAAAACACACTGTACATTAGAGGATCATCCGAGGTGAAGCAGAGAGCAATAAACGAACCACAAAGGGGAAAGATTAGACCGACGTTTGTCTTACCGTGCTGACCCTGAGTGGGTACAAACAACGAGAGCCGGCAACCTCGGTGTAGGAGAAGAACCGCAACCGAATTACGGCCATGTGGTGGCGAGTGCTACTCTGCATTTTTCCTAAGGGGAGCGTCAACGGAGGCGTCTTTTACATGTACAAATACAGAAAGAGGAAACTGCGATTGCTGGTAAAAGAAGTACGACTCCAGCGTATTTCCGAGGTGAAAATCAGCCACCGCTGAGAGGGGTTTGGCTCTGTTGATAAACGGCCGTTGGTGGAATTGGAAGACCGGCTTTTAACCCTGCTTTTTTTTTTCTTTCTTTACGCCAAATGTCAGCAGAACATTTCCATTTAGGATTGAACGTAATGGGTTGTTCTAAAATCCATGGACGCTGCCTCCATTAAGTCATTGGTGCATTTAATGGGTGAATCGTTTGGAACACGAAGTCATTAAGTCCACGCGCCTCTTTAGCTAGAACAGGTTGGGATTTTGGGTTGTGATGGGGGGCCGTCGTCTTGGTCGGCTGATGTTGATTAAAGAGTAGAGAGTGAGATTAAAAAAAACGTATAATTTTTGTCATTAGAAAGTTACTTTGTGCATATACTATACACATAAACAGTGACTCATTTCCAATGCAGTCATGGAAAGTCCAAGCAGACTAAAAATAGAACTGAGGTCAGTTTCTATAGTGTTAAACAATGACCCGTCGTGCTGCCTCCATTCCTGTTGCCGACTTTCTGGTTACGCGTGAAAAAGAGGTCAAGCCGCGCAACAAGTGCCACCTACCTACGGCCGGACGCAAAGGAAGCCCGATACACAGAAATTACCTACTTTAGAAACCACGGATTGGCAAATCATTTTACTCATTTGGAGGTTTGAATCCCAAATCTGAAAAGACTGCAAAAGTACTTTGTCTTCCTTAATCTGCTACGAAATGAAATGCAGTTGTAGCCGGCCTCAGAACAACTTGTGCTGCTGTTAACATCTCACATCAACACAACTAGTTACTCCAAAAGCATTTGCAAAATAAACCCTACCTGTTCTTTCTACCACCGCGACGACTTTTCACTGGATGTTTCAAGATAGTGGTTGTTTGTATAAAAACAACTGACAATTGGAAAAAGAATGAAAATGTTTCTGGCCATAGCAACAGAACGCTTTCTCCCAGTGATTTATTCATTCATAAACATGGAATTAGTAATTATCTGCCAGTGATAACTGTGCCCTTCTGCAGTCCAAAGTTCATCCATAAACATAAATGGATGCACAATAAAACACAAACTCTCATCATAAATCGCGCTGAGTGCTCTCGATGTGAAGTGTGTGTGGGTTTGTTTGTTGGCCTGAGGCGGCTGAATACGATTTATTTCACTTTTGTTTTGCAGTGCGACGGTATCACATGCGGTGCAGCTCCGGTAATGATTTGCGAGTGGTGATCACATAAAGTCTTTTAACTGCATCTTTAGCGGTACGCATCAAGGAAAAATCGGTGTGGATTATGATCAAAAGTTTGATAGTATAGTCTATAAACAACAGTTTTATAAATAAGGTTCTACAGAAGTGTTTGGAAAATGCAGCTGTACAAATGATGAGGTATTACTTGATGAATCAATAAGAAGCGTATCGGAGAAATGCTACAGTGTTGAAAATCACTCTAACTAATGAACTGAATTACTGTTTCTTAAACTAAAGTTACCTGCAGCTCCCATATTTACCTTGATAAAATAAATGAAGCCGGAGCTGTACTACATGTACAGAAACGGTACCTTTCTACGACTTCCTTTTCATGAATGATGAAATTTTCACAACCGAATGCGGCTTTTGTTGCAGGTTTTATCGGTAACAATACTACAACAGAGTTGGAACGGCATTCCACAGCCCATGTTTGCTTCTCACTTCGAGTGTGTGGTTGTTCCCTGCAGCTGACTGCCTGTATCAAATCCCATCATGTGACCAAGCAGCGAGGCCACGTGCACCGTAGGCCGCCCGCGAGATAACCGGAGTCTAATCAGCACCGAGGCAACGCGGCGGATAAGAAAGCATTTATTAGAAATGATGAAATATAGACTGTGATAAACACTCAGGCAGAACAATAAATCACAAAACGTAATGAGGGCAGTAACAAATTGTTGTTTGCTGTACCTTGTTTTTCCTCGGCCTTGCCTTCGGAGCATTAGTGGAGGATTTGTTCAGAACTTCTGCATTTTGCGGTGGGTTCTTTTGTCCCTTCTTGTAGCATTTATTGGGAGGAAAAGCAGAATAAAAGAGATTAGGATTCAAAGTGCAGTACAAAAACAGTTAAATGTGATAGAATTAATTCTAAAAAGACCCTGGACAAATTCAAATGAATTTGTTTAATGTGACGATAATCATTAATTAACATGGTTTAAAGCTACTTCATCTGTTTACGAAATTGGACAGATTCTCAAAATAATGTCTATGTACTTCTATCTGAAGGAGAAATGATAACATGTCAATAATAATGATCGGGTATGTTAAAATACATAGTGACGAAACCTAATGTACCATTGTAGCCTGTACGCATGTATCAGCTGATGTCTTTAAAGCTCACAGAAACCTAAACACATGCGCTCAAAAATCGCTTTCATTCTGAAACCCCCCCCCCCTGCTTTTCCAAAACATGCCCCACGTTGTTCGTCACGTCACGCAGATCACATGGCTGGTGTTAAAACAGACTATGTAAGGGAATTTAAAGGGTTTTATCTGGGAATGTGGTGCAAAAAACAACAACACTGCACAGACAGACAAAGACCTCCATATCAGGTACACTAACAAAACTGTCTTTGTTTATCTTAACAAAAAGATAAACAAAGACACACACATGCAGGCGCGCTGCTTCAAAGCGGATCTCACACCTTCGTCCTGGGAGCCGGTGTCGGTGGGTTTGCGTCGAGGTCACCGGGTGACTTCATTGTGTCTGCATCGGTCATATTGACCTCCTGGGAAAAGAGGTCAAAGGAGGACGGGTTACAATACAAAACACACACAACAGATTATGCTTTGTATAGTTTTTCATTGTAGGTACATCTATAAGGTCGTTATGCACAAAGTTTTAGTAACCAGGGAGTCATCTAGTGCTCTACTTCTACTTCTTCTGTGAGCCTCACCAACAAGGTTCAGAATAGATTTTCACAGGTCGGCGATCCGCATCCACGCACACACCAACGCTCACGTAAACACTTGCATGGCCCCCTCCTGCTCATCAGTATTTAGCGACTGAGGGAAAAGGCGTGCTGGGAAAGAAGGTCAGCAGACGAGGGGGTGGTGGAGGGGGTCGGTGGGGGGGGGGGTTATGCATGTTTGAGTGTAACACAATCTCATTCTGACTCGCGGGTTTCCCACAAGTCGGCAGCAAGAGCCCCCTGAGGAAAACACCACGTGTCACGTTTCAAGCCAATAAAAGTCCTCGATCGACGGTTCAAATAAAATGATTACCTTTCATGAATTATATGAAACAGGAGAATAAACTGAATGCAACGTCTCTTGACTTCAACCACTTGTAAATGGATGGTTTGCTGGTGGCCTGGGCTTGGGTGTATTTTGTTACGGGCCCATTTCCCTGAGGGAGCCACAGCGGGCCGGATAAACGAGCTGATCAATGCAGACGTCAGCCAAATATAAATCAACAGCCAGAGACTCAAACCAGCCCCCTGCGGAGGAGTCAGTCCTGCGAGGCCTGGATCAATTTTAACTTTATTATGTGCGCCTGCACTATATTGACAAACTATCACTCCTCAGGGTGGATGGACGGGTGGGGGCGGGGGGAGGGGGTCACGGTCCAGAACTCACACTGTTTACGGCACATTGGCACAAAACAGGTTCCTCAGTTCTTGTTCAGCTCCACCGCATTTCATAGGAACATCAGCATCGAGGTTACGATACCTTGAGAGTGACAAAGGTTGACGGTTTGTCCGCGCGGCCTTCGGTGTCTCCGGCGATCTCAAACAGATGGCTGTAGTTCTGGATGAACTTGACCATAATCTTGTTACAGATATTCTGGTCCCTCATTGCTTCTAATCCAGGGCCCACGCTGTGGAAAGAAAAGCAAAGAGGTGAGCAAACCGATGAGAGTTTATCACATTCTTTAAGCATGGCAGTCAGTCTTCTTCTCCAGCGCTCGTCCTGAGATTAAAAGTTGGTGTTCGGGCAGCCTCCTAAATCAACAGAGAATAATTCAGCTTTCTTGTCGAGTACGATGTGTGATGCTGCCGAACAGCTGTTTGAGATGTTTGACACCGGGCAGTCGGCCAAATTATGTAACTTAAACACACACACAGTGCGATTAAGAGAACAGCTTGTACAGTATGAAGGAGTAGGCACTGCAGTTTCACCTTCTCTTTCCCTTCCAAATATTTTTCCCGCTGGGAGCCCTGGCTGGCCTGAACATCCCAGTTCATTACTGGAAGATGCCCACCAGTCACCAGTCATGAGAACAGTAGTTGAGGATGATTTGACACTGGCTTGATCATAAATAGGTCGGTGAGACCAGAGGTTCATAGTTCAGCGGCGGCACGGAGGCAAATGAGGCATCATTTATATTTATAATCAGAGTAGCAGCTGAAAACATAACGACCCCGGGGAGACGGTTTCTTACGTGCTTCTCAAATACCGGATGCTGTCGTCTCAATTCAGGGGTCGGCCAAAAGGTTACGATGTGTGGAAAGGGACTCAAGGGGGATTTATTGCCATTCATTCATTCAACTTGGTATCCATATAATACTTAATATAATAGTGAGCAACTTTCACAGTGTCGTGCTTTTATCTTAAATATGCTAAAGCACCACCTGCTGGCCAAATACTTATGCTTATCAATATGTATTCTTTTATTATTATTCTCATTCATTCGTGTTCTTAATTATACGTCTGCCAGTTTTTTGTTATTATCCTACTCAGTTATTCCCCAATATTTGCTGTATTCTGAATTGTAAGAGTTTGTCCCACTCTGAATTATAAAGAAAGCTTGTTTTTCTTCACGTATTGAAAAAGACAGCTTTACTGGTTGATTATCACACTCAACATGTACTCCATGTTTTAACATTGTAATCATTCTCCCCCGTCCTGCTGCTCTGGCACATGGAAACAAATTTAATATCTGACTCACTAAACAGAAATAGGAGAGAGGGGATTGAATCCGTCAGCTCTAGCTGCCAGGACGGCCTGCCTGCTTTTCCTGCACTGAGCCAAGTTGTCTCACTGTTATTTAAGGACTGCAACAAACAAGTTTTGTAAAGGTCACGGTAATAAAAAAACATTAGCAATGTCTGTTAAGTTCTGAGTGAAGGTGACTGCAAATGCTACAAAATAAGTCAAGGTTCCTCCTCTGCCCTTCAAAACTATTATTATTTATACTATTCCAATTGTCAATGAACATTGTCTGGTTATACGTTACATACGTGTATGATACAAGGCAAATAGAGGATGCTTGGGTGACATTGCTCCGTGGTTGTTTATTTTCACACCTTTCCCCACATCTACCGCCCAAAAACAGGTTTAACTCACTGGAAGACGCTGGGTCCAAACACAGTGGCGAGGTTGAGGGCCGTCATGCGGTTTTCTTTGTGGTTGCGATCCACGAGGGTGAGGAAGTGGCAGAGGTACCGCAGCAGGCTGAGGTGAACATCTGGAAGCTGCTGGAGCAGGTCTCTCATATCTGACGAAGATACATCATCGCCGCACTCTGCAGACACACAATTAGATATCAGAAGAGGTTAAAGGTCGAAGCTTTTTTTTTTCTTTTTTTAAACCCACTCTTTTCTCTGTTCGGAAAAAGAGGGGAAACTTCAGGCTTCCACGTTGGCTCAACTCTGCATTTGTTTTCACAAGTGACGAGGAGTGTGATTACTTTGGAGGAGGAAAGCGTAAAACATGAATACTTTTAGTGAAACGCGTCCACGCCCTGAGTTGAGTAAGGAGGTCTAGGGCTGTACTCCAGCAGGCAGGGACAGCTCGGTCCACCTCCTCTCTGCAATATCTAATCTTGAGTTTTGATAATACGAGCGCATTAGAGGGAGAAAAAAAGCCTGAAAGTATGTTGATGCTATTAATCCGGACACATAATTAGGCCAGAGTTGGATAAACGGATATGGCTTCTGATCCCGAATGAATGAGTGACGCAAACTTGCGTGCACCTACGTGTGTACGTGCATGTGTGCACGCACGTAGGCGAGAATGCGTGTCCGTCTAGCTGAGCAAATAGAGCGTGATGGGGGGGGGATAATGCTAAGAGCGATCACAACTACTCTGTGAAGTGAAGGCCTGACGTGTGTGCAAAGTACATGGCCTTCTTTTAAATCTGGTTAGTTCAATAGACAAACACACATTGAGCGATGGAAAATCCATTCTTCAAGCAATTACACACTTTTAAAGGCTACAAATAATGAGAGCGCAAATTTATAGATACACCCACGTGAGAATGACATACGTCACGGAGAACAGCAGGATTCATTAAGTTTGTTTAAATAATAGTCAGAAATGTGGATTTATTGATGTGTGTGACATACTGGCTGATAATGTAATCTGTTATAATTATTTATAAAACAGTGAAAAGTTGTTATGTGGTGAGAGTGATCTGAAGACGGGGCTTTGGAAAGCTTGATGTGAGAATAATATTATAATTTTACAATTCCAGTTATATTTCATACACAGTAAGAAAGCTATTAATGAATAACGTTTTCTCAGAAGCAAAAAGAGAGAATAGAAAGCAGAGATATTATTTTACCTTTAACAGATTTTTTAATTAACTAGTAAATGATTTTCTATAACAAAGATCCAATTCCCAGAACTCAATGTGATGTCTGTTACGGGATCGTTTTAACCATGTCACACTTATTTAAAACAAATGTAATTTAAATTCAAAAATTGTAATATTCAACATGTTGTAACCAGGAAATATGAGTCAGTCAAAAAATATGAATTGATCATCAAAACTAACTAATGGTGTGAAGTTGATTGAAGTTATTTCATTCAGCATTAAGCCATACCATCCTTACTGACATGTACAATGTACAATACATGAGGAAATGTATTGGTCGATCAACGTGTGTATCATACTATACCTCACCAATACCTCATCTGCCATAATCCATTCATCAAATTAATTAAGTTATCCAAAAACTGGCAAGGAGGGTAAACTCATTTTACAAAGTACAGAGAAATCCTCCTAGCCGTGGCCCAGTATTGCATTGAGGTTATATAACGCAGCATTTGGCCAGAGGCCCTGAAAAATAGGCTGATATTTATGAGGTCTGTGACGAGAAGCAACTAAAATGAGTCCTTTCCTCCAATTAACCCGGTGATGGAGGAGCGCAGACATTTTTACCTGCCAAATAATTCACTTTACTTTTTATGGCCTCCAAGATTATTGCCAGAAAATATCAATCCCATCGCTTCTGATTGTCATTTAGACTCTCTTTGTGCCACACACACAGACACACACACACACACACTCTGCAGTGCCTTTATATCCCCTGCCTGTTGCAGATGACTGCGGTACCAATACTATAGTTCAGCAGCTAAAGATAACTTTTCTCATCATCCAGTCAGAGTCACACCCCAGATATTCTCTGCACTTCCCGTCAGGGTTTAAACCTGTAAAAACGCATCAGCTTGAACTGGTAGGATTGTTCTAGAAGACCGAGTTGGAAGAGCAGCAACTACGTCCTGTTACCTTGGTAATGCTGTATCAGCGCCTGTTGGACGGTCGGGTCTACCAGACCCATTGGCAGGTCCCTCAGGTACCGTTTGAGCAAGCTGGCCACCGTAGATGAATCAGACTCAGCGAGAAGGTCCACGTCCTCGCCGCTCTCCAGACGCTGCTTCAGGGTTTCCACGGCACGCACGTTCCCGTTCACCCTGAACAGACCCTCCTGATGCAAAGCTGGAGGAAAGTCAGCAAAAGATATCATCAATATAATATCACCAAAGGTCTTTGGGTCCAAGCATACTTAAGCATATATGTCTGTATATATATATATATATATATATATATACATATATATAAAAATAGTTCCTGAGACAGAAACCTCAGAGCCTAACTAATTAACCCAAACCAAGCAACTTTTTCATCATTATTTATTACTATTTTATAGTAAGCAGGGGATCCTGCTCTATTTTATAATAGAGCTGGATCCCCATCGTTATAAATCCCATCCACAGCTGAGGTGTGACAGTTTTAAGTCAAATGTCAAGTGGCCTGTAGCTTCAGCGGCCATCTGGAAGAAGCTGCACTTTCCTGTACTGGCATCTAGTGGTCAAATATCAGAACTACAGAGTGTGGTAAACTAGGTCAAAACATACTATTCCACTGCAGTGGGTTTTCAAGGTTACATTTTTTACGCAGGCAAGTCTGTTTAAAAATATTTATGTCTTTTTTTCCTTCACCTAACCAGTCAGCAAAGCAATGCATCGCCCTCAGCATCAAGTCTGCCTCTTTTTTAACCTTTTATTTTTATCCTCATCTGTGCTAAAAGCACATCGATGACATGGATTTTCTGGCAGGGATAAACAATATGGTACTTTTAAGTTTTGTCCCGTCTTTCATCAATTTGTCTGATCTGTTTAAGAGAATAATTTTGTATTTGGGTTGAGTCGCTTTTCTGTGTCATGATGGATGGGGTAATCTCTGAGTATTGCATAACTAAAACTGCAAATGATAATAATAGACTCTGTATTTATGTATTGTTTTAAATCAATTAATTTCATATGGACATCACAGCGGCATTAGAGTTGTTAAATATGTGTTTGGAGTTTGTAGCGAAAGGCTCACATCGTCCACAGGAGGCTTTTTTAAATGAAAAAATTAAAATACAGAACTAGAAGATACAAGAGATACATCCATAAGTACACATATGTATTTGTTTGAGACTTGAGTTCTGCTCAAAGTTTAAACACTTCAACTAACTAATATATTTGCTTTATTGTAGGAATTCAGTAATTCTCAAATTAATATTTTGTGATACATTTCTTCAAAGAAAAATAATATAGTAATTAAATAGAAAAAAAATAGATTATAATAATAATATTATAAGCATTACAGCGATTGTTTTGCATTATATGTCCTCACCATGCTCGCGGATGTGCTCAACCATCCTCCTCAACACCAGAGGCACACCATCCTCCAGCAGACCCTTCTCCCGCAGCTCAAACAGGGACACTCCAAACAGCCGGGTGTACGCGGCCGTCGCTGCCAGCGGTCGCAGTGCCGGCGTCCTGACCATCTTCTTCATGTCTTCTTTAATCTGAACCGCTGTCTTGTTGTGCTGCGGAGAGAAAAGCAAGAGAGCGCGCGTCAGCTCGGATACCACGGGAGACCCACCGCTCCTGGAGGAGGGAGGCGATCTCTGCTCCGTAGATATAAAAAGGTGTGCGTGTGGACGGCTGGTTGACTGTGTCCCTGCGGAGGCCAAAACATGCACTTAGAGGACAGAGTGTGCTTAGAGCTGGCAGGAAAGGAAGGGGGGGGGGGGCTGGTCGTGCATGTGTTACTAAATACGTGGTTACCACGCAACACCTTTGGTCAAAAGGCATTGTCAGAGAGACACACACACACACCGGCACAAATAGTGTGTGTGTGTGTGTGCACGCATGTAGCATGCATCATCCATAATGATAATTTGAATGGATGGTGAGCCGAGTGTGTTAAGAGCCGGGAGGATTATTAGTCGGAACCACAATCAGCTTAATTGGCCGTGTGGCGTGTGCGTACACGGCATATGACTCCAGACTCAGAGTTTGATCTTAACGTACATACACGATGTACACGCGTACCTCAAAACACTCGTACTGCCTTTCTCTGAGAGTACACGCAGAGTGTACACGCAGTCTCCCTTCAGCAGGCCGACAATAGACAGCAGGGTTACCGGTTTGTTAAGCACTTTTAAACTACAGCATTATGCAATTCTGCCTTTGCTGGATTAGTACTACAACCAAGAGCGTCGAGACTTTCAGACACCGGGCGAACAGGAAGAGACTTTCCGCACATCATAACAACGCAGTTTTGCTCTGGTATCCATGGATACGACGACACCACGTGACATACTTGTTCCAGAGTCCACAGACTCACGGGCACGAGAGGCCCCGGCTACGAGTTTGACGCGATGATATCCAGAGTTACACACAGTGATTTGACCACAGCGGGCAGGTGGATGGGGTTGGTGAAGAGGAAGCGCCGCTGTATTTTCTACCAATGTGGCCGCCTGTTCAGACAGAATGGACACGAGCCACACTCATATCAGCTTAATTAAAAAAAAAACTCCTCACAGATGGAGCGGAGAAGGAGACACGGTGGTCCTCTGGCCGCGGTGATAAAGCAGCTATCTGACGGGCTTTTGTGCATAAAATGTGGTAATAGTGCTCAGTCATCCGCTCCTTTGTGACGGGTGCGCGCAAATATGTGGATTGTATTTTCCTCATGAATATAAAATGGTAAATGTCACTCAAATGCTTCATGCTTTTATTCTACCTGAAAAGTAGCACTACGTACGTGCTAAACTGCACTAAAATACTGACATTTTAATATTAATATTAATAATAATAATACTACTAGGCTATTGGTTCAGGTGTTGGGACGATGTTGGTAATCTGTATTAAAAAAAAGGTTTCACAGCCTTAGTGATGATGGAGGTTTCTTTTGTACATATGTGACAGTCATTGTTTGAAATAGTGTTGATTCAAACAGTACTACTGACTAGTGGTGCAGGTGTTAAGCCGGTCTGAGCTAGATCTGACTTTAGACTGAACAGATGTCCCCTAAATCTGTCTACACACACACACACACACACACACACTGCAGTATTCACACTGAATAGGAATACAAGCATACATAACAATAACTTCAAAGTGTGGAAAGATTGTACCTTGATACAATCTTTTTGGGAAGTTATTGTTATGTATGCTTGTATTCCTATTCATTGTGAATACTGCAGTGTGTGCGTCCGTGTGTGTATGCACGGCTTCTAAAAGAGTAGATTCATCAAGAATGGATCATAACAAAAGTGGACGTGGAGCTTTTTGCAGTGTTGTTCACATTTAGATGTATTCATCATTTCTGTCATCACTCTGGCACCAGCCGAGGTGTTGAATTGTGACCCTCAAAAGAATTCTTGTGTTTTTGTCACCCCCCTAAATGAGGGTTTTAAAGCCTCACACTCCCCCTTTGTTAAGCGCCGTTATTGACCATCAGATCTTCATTGTTTTAAGGTTTTTGTTAAGTCCCTGCTGAAGAAGCAGCTTTAGAGTAAAATAAGTGAGAAGAAACACTTCCTGTCGGTGCCTCTTTTGTTTACCAGGACAGTGTCAGCTCCCTCCCCCATCCTTCAACATTCACACTCCCAACTTCTAAGAGTGAGAAAAAATAAAAGGACTCTGGAAGCCTTAAAACAAAAAAGTGCTTCATACATTTCCACTGTCACTTTGTACAGATCAAGAAGTTCCACAAGTCGTGATGTGAAACAGCCCAAAACGTCCAACCGGCCACAGTTCATCTCCTGCGTCTTTAAACTCCTTCACGTGGAGGAGAGCAGGCCCGAGCATGTGCCCCCCGCCCTCAAGGCCCTCCTCCACCCTCCCACCCCCACCTCAAGCCCTCCTCCACCCTCCCTCCCTGTGTGGGTGGTCATTGGAGCAACTGGTGGGAAAAGCTCCACCAGCAGCAGAAGAAACAGCTGCTGAAACCAAAAAGTAGACCGTTGCAGAAGTTTTGTTCTTGTAAAAAAATGCTTCCATTAAAAGAAAAAGTTAGTGGAAAGTGACGTCATAGAGGCAGTGACTCGTTGCGGGGAAGAAGTGACTTGTGTGGACAGGAAACATGAAGCTTACACTGTGTTTTTTCCCCTCTTTCTCTTAAAAGTCCTAAAAGTCGTACAAGAAATGATCATTATTTTTAAGACCACTGCGCGGAGGAGAGATTTGCCGCTAATTGACGTTCTCAGAAAGCCCATTTGTTTCTAGTGGAGCAGCGAGCAGAAGGAGCGTGCAGCCCCGCTGCGCTTCCTTTAGCCTTTAATCACCGGCTGAAGTGTGTAGTTTGTACTCACACAGATGGTCAGAGCTCCGGCCCCCATTCTCCTCCTCAGGAAGAAGAAATGCCTGCAGAGGCAGCAGCGATGAGGGGGGAGAAACTGCTGCCGTCTCCTCTCACTCTGCTCCGGGAGTCTTCCCAGTGTGTCTCCCCTTCGCTTTAAAATGTGCCATCGTTATACTCCAAAAACACAAGGCAAATAGTCCACGTGCCGGGGGGGTAAGAAAAGGCTGTCAGTACCGGCGGACTGACGCACGAGCGCACGTTAGAGCTCGTCTCTTTCTCTTCCTCCCTCTTCATCTCCCCCCTCTCTTTCTCTCTCTCGCTTCTCCTGGGCTGAAATCTGAGCCGAGCCCTCTCATTGGTCGAGGGGTCTGATCATGTGATTAAAACACCCAAAAAACTTGAAATCTGTGCCTGCCGGGGTTCACGTGCATGAAAAGAGAAGAGGAGGGAGCTCCAGCGCCATCCTTCTTCTAACAAAGTTAAGAAGATCGGATTTATTTATTCCATTTGAAAGAATAAAGCATATGTTTACTATAACCTTTTAAGGTATAGTCCAACATTTTGTCACATAATTTGCATAAACCAAACTATTTACAATAATTTAAAATGGTAATAATGTATTATTTGTAATAATCTTTAGTAATTTAGAACCTTATAAAACATCACACAAATGTAATGTAAAGGTTGAAACATTTAACAAAAGTCATTCTGATACGGTATTTTAATTTCTGCAGAATATGGCTTATAACATAACGGCATCATTCAGCCAACTCCAGCAGCGAGCTCTACTTTATGGAGAACCTTAAATCAAAAAGCCACAACGACTTGAAGCAGAGTCTTTTATTCAACATGTCGGCTTGACTTGGTTTTGCCACTTTCATAAATAAACTTCTTAATGTTGTCGTCGATCCAGTCACTGAAGGCGGAGACCCGGGTGAACACTGAGGGTTTCTTGTCTTTGATGCAGCCCTGAGGTCCGAAGCTGACGATGCCGTGCACCTCCCAGTTCATCTTCGTTCCAGCGCAGGCGAATGGTCCTCCGGAGTCACCCTGCGGGAGAGCAAAGACGTACTGCACTGCATTGGGGAACATTTGATTCTGGCAGCTCACTATAAATCCCCTCTGTGCTCGGACATCTGTCAAGGCCAATCTTTTACAAAAGGTTTTCTTCAGGGAGGCACGTGTCAGAGTCTGGTTTTGCACACCTCTGTTGCACTTTTAAATCCGTCGGTGCTATTCAGCGGCGTTTTTGTGCGTTTCTAATCTTCCCGTGTCCCTGCTTGCACGTTCGCTTATCATGGCAAACAAATAATGACTTTGTGTTCCTCTGTCCAATTACGTAGGAAAACCGGGCCGCCATTTGCCGTCAAGGCTGACTGATCACAAACAAAAACCGTCCACAGAGTGTTACATAACAGAAGGCCCACTCACGAGAGGCCAGAACACTTACATAATGTTTGAGACTTTTAACAAACATCCACAATCGTCGCACACTAGAACACATTCTGAACGCGTCCTCTCACCTGGCAGGCTGACTTGAGCTCATCTGGGGACTCGTAACCAGCACAGATCATGGAGGGTCTGAGGGTGTCCCACCAGTAAGCGGGCTTACTGCAGGTCTCAAAGTCCACAACAGGAAGGGCCGCCTGGTTTAGCTTCTCAGACACTCTGGGGAACAGGTTGCCTGAGATGTAAGGGAAAAGTAAAAGAGTACGTCATTGGTGAAGAGACGAGCACCTTCGCGTTCAGTGCCGGCAATCAAGCCAAGGCCTCATAACGGATGGTTAAAACTTAACGCAACACCGCATGATCGCGTCTACCTTTCTCATCCCCCCAGCCGGTGACAAAGCAGGGCGTCCCGGCGGGCATCACGGTCCCGGGTTTGGGCAGGCAGATGGGGCTGATCTCCCTCGTCATTTGGACGGGCTCGGCCAAATGCACCAGGGCTATGTCATTGGTGATGTCGGTGCGATCTTGCTCGTAGACAAACCCCTCGTGGCGGATGATGGAATCCACCTTAAGGCACTGCTCTGCCGAGGGAACGTCCATGGAGGAGTTCATGTGGTGCTTCCCCAAACACATGCGCCAGAAGGTGGGGTTATTCAGAGGGCTGGAAAGCAGGTGGGGGATTAATGGGAGGAATTAGAACTTTTACTTTTATTTTTTTTAAATTGCGTGTACGAGATGTTTCTGTAGCTGCATCTTACAACATGAAACAGTGAGCAGCAGTTAGGATCCAATCTTTATGAATCAGAGAACCTCCACAACCGTGCATGTACGGTATCGGAAACAACGGTGAAGCCTGGGAAAGAGAAATGCACGTCAGTACAAATTAAAAGCTGCCGACTGTGAATTCTTAACTAGGCACTCAGAGGAACTGGAGTTGATATCACCTGCATGGAGACTTGCCAAGGCCACGAGTGCGGGATGGCCTGCTCCCCGTTGACCACCCTCACGGGTCTTGTGTTGGGTGTCACTGCCGGCTTTCCACAATCTGCTGGCCAGTCTGGGAAGAGAAAAAGAAAATACATTATTAGCAAATAATCCTGTAAACCTTCTACTCAATAAAAAGTTGCAGCCATATTTCTTAGGAGAAAATACATTTTTATTCAAAAAGATTTTTTCACTGAGCTCCATTTCGAAATGAGATCCCCATACACTCGTCAGAGAGAGTTTAGTGGCGGCACACTCACCGATAGGGATGCTGTCCCAGGTGCCATTAGGTGATGGAGGTAAAGTTGGGATAACACCGGCATCGGTGGTCCAGTAACCACGAAAACCTTTCTGTTGATTGGCACCGTTACTGAGGAAGCGAATGACGACTGGGCTGCTAAGGGGGGCGATGCTGGCTGGAGGAGCAAAGCCGCAGAATCGACCTGCGGAACAGACAAGAAATTTACTCTAACCTGGAAAGCAAATATCTGTTTTCTTTAAATCAGAACTAAATGCCCATGAGAACCATTAACACCAACCTATTGATGTCATGCTTTCACCGTGGAAGATCTCCACGTAGTCCACACAGTTTCCTAACACGTTTGAGGCCTGCAGCTCAAAGTGGGTAAAGGCTACATGGATACTTTTTGCTGAGGGAATGGTGATACGCCACGTGCACACAGACTGGGCGCTGTAGTCATTCGGCCAGTTGGGAGAAGTGATTTCACCCTGAGCACTGCTGAAGCTGCCTCCACAAGGACCTGTGTGTGTGTGTGAGAGGAGAAAAGGAGACATTAGTTTTGCCTTGAAGGCTGTTCCCTCAGTGTCTTGTTGGGTACCCTGTTCTCGTACCCTCCGTTGGGTCCACTGCCTTCCAGGCGGCAGAGAAACCCGTGTCCACCACCTTGTCGTTGGAGGAGAAGCTGATGTGAAGACGGTTTCCGTCACTCACCAGGTCCTGAGGGACTACATCGCTGCAGTGTGTGCCTGAAGGGAAATGAACAATGAAGACCCGTCTGATCGACTTCTTCAAGGAACCTCCATCATAAGAGCTGGTCTCTATTTCATACCAGAAATGTACGGCATATGTGCATCTTTACGTTTAAAGCTGAGGCTGTTACATTTAATAAATGACAAACACTTATAAATTGCGTTGGAACATGAAGCAGAATCACTTTAAAAGTAGACAGGTATTGACCAACCTAGACTTCCTATTCTGTCTCTGAGGCTGACTTTATCGTTAAGGCACAACTGACTCGGCTCCAGGGAAAAATTGTGGAAATGGATGTGGACTAGTTTGCCGAGTGGCACCTGGATGTTCCACTGGCATCGGGCTTTGTTGTTGTAGCTGCCATGGTTATCCGTAGAGGACAAAGTGCCTTCTGTGCCAGACAGGTCCTTTGGTCCTCCACACCCAGATGCTATAAAGGGAATACAGAAGGTAAAAAAAAAAACAGCAAGAGATTGTGTCTCGATATCAAAGTTTGTGGGTCAGACCAGCTGCATTCGTACTGTGCTCATTGTAGATGTCTCTGCGGATGACATTTTGGATCCAGGGGAGGTAGGCAGAAGATCGAGTGAACACAGAGGGCTTCTTATTCATAACACATCCAATAGGACCGAAGCTCGTTATGCCATGAATCTCCCAAGAACCACCGGGGGTATCCTGACACACCAGAGGACCACCTGAATCTCCCTGTCAAAGTCACAAATCAACATACGGAGCACACACACATTTCTCTGTATAAAGTGAGACGTGTCCAACAAACGTCATCATCATTGTTGATCAGAATGGTGTAAAACCTTATTGATTAAAATCTATGAGTCTGGACTTGTTTTACCTGACAGACAGACTTGAGCTCATCAGGCAGGGTATAACCACAACAGATCATGGAGGTCTTGACTTGGAACCACCAGTAATCCATCCTTTTGCAGGTGTCATATGGCACAACAGGCAGGGCCACCTGGTTAAGGGCCTCTGCAACTTTTGCATTCATCGAATCACCTGAAGATCATAAAAAAAAACGTTTAGATTGTGAGAAAAAAGCATCAACTTCATCCTCCAAGGAGTGTCTCCTGAGGTGGTGGTGTATTTCGTCAATAAAATAAATGAATATATACATGCAATAGAATATATAGTTTAAACATTAAGTTGAATCAGCACCTGTCTCGTCTCCCCAGCCAGTTGCGTAGCACTTCTTGCCCCCGGGAAGAACTTCCTCCTCTGACGGAAGGCAGGCGTACGAGATCTCATTACTGGCCACCGCCTCCCCATCCAACCTGACCAGTGCAATGTCAAACTCCACCGTGGGCACTGTGGGGTACTTGAAGCCCTCGTGGCGATAGATACCAGACACATTGAAGCAGTGTTCGGTCGGCTCTGTGTAGGTCAGGTTGTGTTTGCCGAGGCACATGCGCCAACGCGGCAGCTCATCGGCGTAGCTGGGTAGGAAATCAGCAGGTGAATCAGTTATGATGGTTCCCAGTAAACGCAGGCCACATGTCGCTGTCCCTGCACCATTGCACGCTGAGATTTACAAAAAAAACATACACAGAACATTCCGAGGTCTCTGTTTCAAATAAAAACATTTGCATTGGTTGTGTATGAGGAGGATGAGATAGAACATTTACTTTATGAAGCAGTGAGCTGCAGTGAGTACCCAGTTCTTATGAATCAGGGTACCACCACAGGTGTGGAGAAACGTGGGCTCTGGACGACTGGCCGGCCAGACCTGAAACAAAGGCACACCGACGAGAAGAGAGGAAGTCGTTGAACATTGTTTCATCGTCAAAGACCTAATTAACTGCTGTGTTAGAGAACACGTGAGAGGACAATACTTTCCGTACCGGAATTCGCCCTTCTCTAATCACCGATACTGTGAGCTGTAAAACTCTGATGTAATTAAGCTTCATGTGAAATTCCCACACTTATTAGTGGAAGTCTCTCACCTGCATGGACACTTGCCAGGGCCAGGAGTGAGGCTTAGCTGCCTCTCCATTCACAATGCGGGACTCAACCACAGGAGGAACGGTGGGTTTACCGCATGTACTCGGCCAGTCTAGGAAATAAGAAAAAAAAGGAGAGCATTGTCGCGTTGTCGTTTGTGAATAAATGAATTTGTTTGTGAATAAACAAGGCTTGAATATACAGTGTCTGCAACTAACAGATAAGCCCTCGTGTCACTCACACTTTTGCTCTCATTTATATTTCTTAAATAATTGTTCAAGCTGGCCTGGTTGACACTAGCTTTTTGGGCCTGAGTAGCCTGCTGTTATGTATTCATTCAGTGTCACTTTGTGCAAATATAATACCCTTCTTCTACTGCAGAAAAACAAGTAAACTGAATCTCTAAAACAGCGGCAGCTATCTGTAAAACTGTATTTCAACAATTGGTTTGGCAGACGCCTGGGCATCACCTTTTTACTACACAGCTGGACGTAGCGAGGGGAGATGAGGTTAAGAAGAAGAGGTGAGGATGGAAGGAGGCTATAAAGTGGAGGTGAGGATGGAAGGAGGTTAAGAAGAACAGGTGAGGATGGAAGGAGGGAGGTGAGGATGGAATAAGGCATGAAGCTGATGACTGTGCAGCTTATTAAGAGCTGCTTGGATACTGAATGTTGATCATTGTGACCAGTGGAACATTCTGTTCTGCAGACTTAAATACCTAAGTGGTCAAATCTGAGGCTAAATTAAATGAAATGTAGTATTTGTAAAAATAATCACTTGGTCATTCAGTATGCTGCAGAGATGTGAAATTTGGTAATATGTTCTGCTGAAACTTACTATTACTTTTAACGTTTATTAGCATGATGCTTGTTTTTCTATGACAACATTTATTTAGCCCTTAACAATTAAGAGAAATGTTCATATCTTAAAATGGCCTTAACATCTTCTAACTTATTTAGCTATTTAAACTATGAACTATATATGTGCTAAACAGCTTAAACAGTGACAGCTTATCAAGCTTTTAGACACAAATAAAGCTGGCTGCTGTGTCTAGAATGAGATTGACGAGTCAAAAACACTGAGAATTAGGCGTTAAATCTCTGAGGGCTCATCACAATGAACTGTAAACGTACTTTTAACGATGTAATGTAATGCAGATGTGGCAAACTGTAAGAAGCTCAAACAGATACTTCACCTATGGGGATGCTTTCCCAGGGGTTGGCCGGAGCAGGTGGCTCAGTGGGAGCAGGTAAACTGGGGTTTGTTGTCCAGTAGGCTCTGAAGCCTTTGGACTCAGTAAACAGGTCACTATGGAAACGAACCACCAGCCTGCTGCCTTTTGATTGGATGGTACCAGGCAGCTTAGTCCCACAAAATGGACCTGAAATGTGTTAGAATTTGAGAACTTTGGTAAAGTGATCACGAGTGTAAACAGATGAACAGTTTTATTCAAATTAATTTGTTAAAATGAATTCATTGCTGGGCCTTGAGTTTTCAATATAATTATTATGAGAGATTAAAACAAATTTACCGTGCGTTTGAAGCAGCGCGTTAGTCAAACCACTGAGCTCGTACACCATCATATTATCGAAGCACTTGGAGGTCATGAGATCTTTGGCCTCGAGGTCAAAGTGGGTGAACGTGAGTGTGATCTTTTTGCCGAAGGGCAAAGCGATGTTCCACATGCACTCGGCGTTAGCTTTGTAGTTCATAGGCCAGTTCTGGGACTTAATAACCCCCGTTTCCTCTTTGGAAGAAATGCCACAGCCCTGAATTTCTGAAAGAGGAAGAGGGAGGGAGTGCATGATGATACGATCGTAATCAGATAAGTGTAGACAAGCTCCAGCATCCGCCTGTGAAAAAAGAGAGTCCTTAGGATTAAGTCTTATCAGAACAATATGCGATCCTATCTTCTTTTCAAGTAGAGTTTTCTCTGTTAGATTAATGCCCGTTTTATTAATTTAGTTGTGGTGGAAAGTAAATAACTTCTCATCTTCTCAGTATGTTGGATTCGCCTGCCTCCTGCTGGGAGTTTGCCGATCGCAACGAACTTCAACGGCCCCTGAGTGCCAAGTATTCGGCCCGGGGTAGATAAAGGTCTCCAGACCCAGCCAATCAAATATGTGTATTCTGATAAACCGGGGCAAGCGACCGAGTAGTTGGAGAGTAATACATGAGATAGATAGAAGTCATCTCACATGATGTGCTCTAAAAAGATGCATTTGGTCAGCAGACCACGGCCTTTGATCAAGAAGGGAGTGACTCTGTAAAAAAAAGGATATTTTTCTTACAATGAACTTTCTTCCCCTCTGCACAATATGCGTGCCTGATAATCTGATGAAGATAAAGGCATTTTTATCTTACTTTGTATACTTAAAACTGTACTCTGACCAGTGTTATTTGCTGAGTTCACACTGCAATTACTTGTTGTATAGATACGCGACAGAGTGAGATGTTTAACGGCTACTTACGACACGTTAGGTGTGTTCCCGTGCGTGTGCGTACCTGCGATGTCCTCAGCATACACGGCTTCCCACCTCGCGGAGAATCCTCGGTCTGTGAGTCGACCGTCGGACTGGAAGGTGACAGATATTGTGTCACCAGCACCGACCACCACCGGGGGCAGCAAGTTGCCACAGTGTGTCCCTTGAGGATGAGGAAGAGAGGAGGGACGGGGGGGTAAAAGACGGAGGTGCATGGAGAGAGAGAGTCAGTCAGGAATAAGGTGGGTGGTTCAATGACAAATGTTACTGCAAAGCGTTATTGTGAGTGAGTAAGCGTGAGGCCGTGCACGGTGGGTGTGGTAGCGGGTGATGGATGGGGATGCCGGAACACTGACAAATGAAGGTGACTTTACTTTCTATCAGTTACTTGACACAATGTCGGATGAAAAAACGCTGCTCCTACAAAGCGTCTCTGAGAAAACAGAGACAGCAACAAGGCACTGGAACAATGTTGTCCAATCCTTACAGATCTGTGGAAGTCAGTTACTCCACAAAGAACTGCCCACCTTTTGTACATTTCTTTGAAATAAGTCAAAAAAAGCCTAAAATCTACTATTTCACTGAAAAGCCTTAGTCATCTAAAGGGGAGCAGCCTTAGATAGCACAAACTGGTCATGTTATTATATGCTATTAAAATATAAGATGCTGTTTATTTTTGCAGCCAATGTAAACTACCGGTCGCACATGATCAAATAAGTTTCTGCTGTGTTAATTTCAATTGTAAAATGAATATTGTTTTGGTTCATCCCCTCGCCTACTCTATGTGAGTGCTTGTACCGCAGCGCTTTAGTCCTTGAGAACTCAGCTAACAGATAAAGCTGTATCAGCCTCAGTGCAGCCTCTGCAGCGAGTAATGAGCAGAGGTCATTTGTAGTTTGCTGGGCTCTTTGCAGACAAGATCCTAATCAAGTGTTTTACAGCAGGGGGACAGATATTGAGCCGCCCTGCAGCACCGCAGCTTTTAGTCTTGCAAGGTGCAACAAGGATATCTTGTGAGCGGAGGCATTATAACTGCTCGTTGTTGGGTTGCTGGTTTGCTTTGCTCAGCTTGGTTTCTAATTTTGTAAAAATTCAAAACAAAAAAAGAGATTACAACCATCACTCTTCTCCCATTCAGATTTCACAAGGCACAGCTGTGTCCGAACAAGGAAATATATATCAGAGATGCATTTGGGAGTCAAAACAGTGTAAAGGCACAACAACATGCTGTAAAACATCAGAAATCAAATTGCTGTAATTAATGTTAAAGAGTAAACAATCATGTCACGGCTCACCTAACGTGCTGTAACCATCTGAGATGACCAGTTTGTCCCCCTTGCATTGTCCCGGCTCTCCTGTGATGGCCATTTCAGTGATCTGCAGTTTGACCAGGAATCCTTTGGGCACAGATATCATCCAGGAGCTGTTCAGATGAGCAGGATAGGGATTTGGGAAACCCACGGACTGGATCACTCCTTTACGGCCGTGAAGGATGACTGGACCACCACCTGCTGCCCAATAACAGACAACAAACACTTTGTTGGTGTAGTATATTTAAAATGAAAAGACAACAGAGACATGCTGAGAAGGTTTTTGTGTCATGAAAATGTCATTGAATCACGAGTAAATATTGATGGTTCATTTTAAATACACAGGACGGGAAAGTCAAAGGGTAAAGTTTGTAGCGAACGCTCACCGGAAGTTGTGGGGGGAGGTGTTTGCGTGGTGGAGGGTCTGGGTGTGGTGGGTCGAGGGGTCGGGGTAGTAACAACAGGTGGAAGGCTGGACTTGGTAAAAGTGGCTATGAATCCTTTAGAGGCCAAACTGTTGTCCGATTTGAAGCGGACCACCATTGTGTTGCTACTGGACTCCACTGGCTTTGGCATCTTCCCTCCACAGAATTTACCTGTTGTTAAAAATAAAGAACAGTAACACTCAATCAATCAATTTATCATACCATGTATGCTTTAAAGGTTTATGCAGACACACATTCATTAAGTTTAAAATAGACTCCAGAACCATTTAACAACTTCTCAAACTTTTAATTGAGCTCATATCTTATTCAGGGGCCCGCACAGTTCACATTGCTAATGTTGAACAAAGGCCCCAGTCTGTTCTGAAATTCTAACCCTTTGCCTTATAATTGCTCACCCAGCTTTGACATTGTCTGTGCTAATGTGTTAAAACGTTGTGGTATATTTTAAACCCCTATAAATCTCATCCATGCACAGCAAAAAAATGTCATCTTTTCCTCTTCTAATCCCCACTGCGTACTGGGATCATGCAGAACATCGTGCTTACTGAATGAAGAGGAGCCGGCCTTGTCGCCATCGTAGACTTCAACAAAATCTCCGCAGACCTCAGGCACCAGGTCAAAGAAAGTAAATGTGAGTCGAACCTTCTCGCCTTCGGGCACCGTGATTTTCCACTGATGCAACATAGAGATAAAGTAAAAACGGACAAATTAAATAATGCATCGTTACATTTCCTGAAATAACTTTCCACTTTCCTTGTGGTTGTCACATGAGCAGAATTTTGGAACCACGTCACTGATAACAGATGACTGGTTCTGCCAGATTTTTCTGGCAGAACCAGAAAGTCATGATACACCAATTGACACCTGACGACTCGTCCACATCCAAGCCTGACATGCAAATCCAGACATTAAAATGGACTCTGATTTATTCAGATGCATTCATCACAAATCAAACCCACATCTCAGGTTGAATGTGATGTGATTCATAGCTAATGGATATGCTAAATGCTATATATAATATTAACAGTATATTGTAAGGCATATACTTCACAATTCAAGCTTCTACAAAAAGGAATGCAATCATCTGTTTCTTTCTCTAAACTATGATACCTGTTTGTTATCTCAAGTCAATGTTCTTTAAGAAAGGTTTAATCTTAATTTTAACGTAAGTAAACTGAAAGGAACATGCCACCAGTTTGAAATTTGATTGACTTATCTTTCAATTGAAAAGAGAGTAACCGTGAAATAAAGAATCGGTTAATTCCTGCAATGTTAGCGGAATTGCAGATAAACAGTAACATTTACAATAATAAAATAAATAAAAACTATGACTCGCAGAGTCAAAGGATTATTCTCTTTGGATTTTTAATATTTCAACTTAAGAAAATAAATATTCCTGGTCATTCATATTGAGATTTACATATTTATTTCTCTGCAGAGTGAGAAGCACTACAACCTCACACCCTCTGGTTAAGGTCAGCAGTGTTTCCTTCGACATAAAAACAAGTAACTGTACCCGAGTGGCTGTCACACTTGCTTTTGTATGGGTCTCCTCGTGCATGTGTGTACCTGGTATAGCGCCCCACTCAGGTAGTTCTTCTCCGGGGAGCCGGGGGTCATCAGAGTCCCCTGGTCACCTTGGAGAAAGCCACCAGCTCCGGCTATTTCTGGCAGCAGGGACGAAGGGCACTTCAGCTCCACAAACACCTCAAGGAAAAACCGCAATACACATCAACCCCCCCAACCCATCGTCCTACGCCCTCCATCATTCCCTTCTCCTGCTTCTCTCTTGGTCCAGCACCATGACATTTACTTGGCCAATCATGTGCTATAAGACAAACATCCGACATTATGTCAGAGCCAAAGGACAATTTTCCTGCTGAAAAGGATTTATCTTCTTACCTGGTGCGAGCTTCGGATCCACAGCTTTGTATTGAGCCTTGAAACCTTGGTCCGTTTTTCTGTCATTGGTGTCAAAGTACACCTTCAGGTGGTTGGTAAGTGACACCAGCGGCTTCGGTTTGGTGTAGCCGCAGTATTTACCTGAAAATGTCCCAGAAAGCATGTTGTGAGAGACATGCGTAGCTCATTCATCTAAGTTTGCATTTTCAAAATAAAATTCCTGCCCTGAGACCGGATTGGCCACTCCTTCTTTCTTTCTTTTAGAGTTAGACTTGTAACAAGAGGTTTGTACCAATGGTTCCCAGAGAGTCTCTCAGGGTGATGAAGTCTGACATGCAGAGCTGGGTGTCCTCCAACGCAAACTCCTCGAACCACAGATGGATCACCTGCAGCAGAAAAATGAAAAGGTTGCTCTCAGGGAAGAAGAGATGCTCTGTAAAATACAAGTGCATGCACGCTGTGCACATAAATCAGAGTAATGGTCAGCTCCTTCTTTGTATGAATATGTGCACATGCAGGTGTGCACCTCCTATTTATGCATGCTTAGCATGAAGTAACAAACCAGACCCCGGGCACAAACACCAAGGTGAAATAAATAGTACACAGTGCAACGTTCAATGATTGGGGTCTGGAAGAGCACTGATGCTGATCTATGTCACCTTGTCGGGGTCCACACTGATGTCCCAGGTGCAGCTTTTTCCATTGTCGTAGCTGCTGGGGTAGTTAAAGCTGGTGAAGGTGCCCGACTCTCCGGTCAGCTGCTGCGGACCACCGCACCCAGAATCTGGGCCTGCAAACGTGTGACAGAGAAGGATGCTTGTTACTGTCATATGTATTCGTAAAATATACAAACGTAAAGTCTATTTTACAGTAAAAAAACGCTCCTGCTCGGAATGTACTGCCGCTGAGGGTGATGATAATTATTTATTTTAGGTATTTGGTTGCGAAGGTATCGCAGAGCTAGAAATGATTGCTTGATGGAGAGGCAAGAGGAAATTAGTGATCACTGTAGTAGTTATGATTAATCTTCTGGGGTTGATGAAAATGTCATTGCAATCTATTGCATTAATTGCAGAGATATTTCAGTCAGGAACCAGATAGCGGTACTGTCTTGGTTAAAAGACTGTCTGTGTTAATATATTGCACAGCTCTGTGTTAATTTAGGAGGCACTGAAACCTCTAAGAATGTTATTCAGTTTTCTTCTTGCATTACGTTAACCATTACAACCGTGTCATATAATGGTCTTCAACTCAGCCTTTAGCAGCATTGACATTGAATAGAACATGTAAACACACTCACCTGCATAAGTGGAAGAGGTCGGTTTGTCAGTGAAGTAGACGACCACGAGGCCGATGCAGGCAAGGGTCATGGCCACGAAGAGGAATATCAGAGCCTTTTCCAGGGTGCTCGTACCGGCGGACCGGCGGCGACTGTTCTCCACGTCCATTTTCCTGACAAACTGCGTCTCGTCCGGCAATTCAGCAGCTTATAGCCGACATTATCTGGACTCTGACAGCGGAGATGAACCTTGAGCCCCTTAGACGTGGCCTTGCGGCGTGCCAGCCGGAGTGTTGGCTAGATGTGGGGCGTCATAACTCAGGCTGGTTTCTAAACAGCAAGTTAATAAGTATTGATAGGGTTGGTGACCCAATCAATAGATGGAGACGGGATATCTTTCACGGAAACGGAACGTGATTATTGTTCACAAATGCCCAGATATATGTCACAACAGTTCTTTAAAAAGGTATGAACAGTTGGTCGGTGAGTTATGCAACATCCCAGTATCTCAACTCGCATCTCAAGTGTGTCTTTTATTCTTGCTGCTCACCACAGTTGAGCAATGAAAGAAAGTAAATTCATTATCTTAAAAAATGATGCAAGGGTTTTATTTGTGGCTCTTTCATGACAACAACACTCGGCATCGAACGCGTGTATAGATTTTAATCAGAAAAGGGCTTTGACCAGAGATGCTGCCGAACATGGATACACCAACTTTATGTCCTTTTATAATATTTTGGGGAATTGTTAAGTTTAATGAACTGGGATCTGAAAGCCGACTGAAGCAAAGGCTTTGAAAGAAGTATAGCGTGTAACTGGTCCTCGTCAGTGGAGTTCTGCATCATTCTGTTTAGACTTTCACATATGGAAATAGATGTGACAGAAAGTGTAATAATAATATCAACAAGGAGTCTATATCATAACTCTAATGTTTATCCAAAGTATTCCTTTCACAGATGAGCTCAATGGTTCATTTCTCTGCCCAAATCTTTTTAGTGTTTCAGACAATGCTGAGTAACGCAGGCTTTGTTTCAACAAAAGCAGCACAGTCCGAGTTATTACGTTTCCCCCGATTTTATCATACTCACTTTGAATTTACAATCGGAAGAGTTTCCCCTTTAAGAATTAATTTCCCCCCAAAGATAAAGACTTCCTTTATAAATTGTCTGTGTAACAAAAGGCAGTGAAACCAAAGCTGCTTATCGGAGCATTGAAATGCCGAAGGTGATGGAAGAAATCCTTCTTTGGGCAGTTTGATGTTATTGAAGACATGACACCAACAGAGTATTGAAATATGTGTAATTATGTCTCTCTATCTTCTTGCTTCACCAGGGGGCCGATATGATTTAAGTGCACATAAATCCGCCATAATGAAGCAGTCTCAGATGCAGCCGGCGAAGGTGACCGTTAGTCGATGTGTGTGTGTGTTTTCTTTCTCTCTTTTTTTGTGCCTCTTGTGCAAATGTATCCTCGGCTATGAATGTCAGAAGCGCACATACTGGGAGCTGAATAATAAGCAATCAACGAGGAGCTCTACATATTTGGATATATGTCCAAAAACGGGGGAGAGGTCGGGAAGGACAGGAAGACCGAGGGGAAGGACAAAAGCGTCAATGTTTGTAGGAAACAAAAGCTGGAATTGTTTGACAAAGAAACTCACTCTCAAAGCCAAACGCTGCACTACAAACAAATGTAGGCCACATAATCCGCTGGGAGCGGAGCGGCTATCAGGAGCACGAGCCTCATTCCAGCATCCTCATGCAATAGAGGGATGAATAAGGCGAGAGAGACCATTTTACAGGAAGCGTTCTGCAGAGTGGAAACCAGCAGACGGTTTAATCACCTCCCTGTTCCTGGCTTCATGATGACAGCGTTGTCAAAGACGGAGAGAAAGGTCTGGGACACAGAGGAGTGCAGGTTTGGAGGGAAAGCTGGGAGTGAAAAGTAGCCCAGAAATGGATCCCATCAGCCAGCTGTTAGTTCTCCAGAGAGGTTTTGAAGCCGTGGTTATGCAAAATGAAACACTAAGATCATGAGCCACCCATAATTACCCGCCGCAATCGCAAATTAAGATCTATAAAATGTTAATTAACGCTCAGTTCCCAGTTTAAAAAACAAAACGAAAACTTCCGATGCCACAAATTATCGGCTAGAGGATGGATGTTATCCCGGATGAAAAGGGAAATAGCTTCTGTCCAAGCGTTGTAGCATTCGCAGGGTTCCTCTAAGGGTCTCCACGTGTGCTGTAGGGGCTTATGTGTGCATGGGGCTAACTGGGTCACTTGGAAGCCGATCTCAAACACCCGTAGTGGGACAGGAACTTATCTGTGAGACTTCAATTAAGAAATGTTGCAGCTGCCCTGAATTTCCCCCCAGAATCCCAGGATGCCGTCACTGATTTGGTGAGTGTTTGAAATGTTATATGTTATAATCAACCACCCAACGGCCCATAAACATATCCTCTAACAAACTAGAGAGGTCCATGCAGATTATTTCACGACAATAAAATGTTGGGGACTGAGACTGAGACTGAGGGCCACAGAGTAGAGAATTAAGGATAATAGCAATAATTTGACATTTTGATACTTCTCATCTAATTCTCCACAAGAAAGTAAACAAGCATATTGTCATAAATTTGAAGCTATTTCTTAAAAGCTAAAGCTAAACATTGAATTATCGCCCTGCTGTTGTCGGCCTTCTCAGCATTTCATTCTATTAGACATTTCTGTGAAATGATCATAATTATTAGCACAATTCTTGGGTCTGGTTTGGCAGGTTAAAACCTAGTTCAATTTAGGTGTGATACTGATTCAAATCAGGCCAATAACTCTCACTCGGGCAAGCTGGAGTTCACGAATCACAGCTCGATAGCAATCTCACGCTACACAACTGTAAAATCTAAAAGGACGCTCTTTGTCAACTCGTCTTTGAAATGCCGCCACGATACGCAAAAACGAGTTGTTTTGTGAGATCACAGAGATCGATGACCACCAACTTCAGCATAGTTCATCCTTGAGTCCAGGTGGAAGATTTTAGTGAAATGTGAAGAAATTAACTCCTGGTGTTCCTGGGATATTTTGCCTGTGTGACAACGGAGCGAGCCAGCCGTACACAATGGGTCAAATGGATGATAAAACCACGTCTCGCGTATGTGCCTTGGATCAGTATTGGATGCTGGATATTTCTTGCATATGAAGGCAGTTGCTGGGACATTTGTTCATTAAACTACCTACAGAGGGCCTGGTGTCACAGCCAGTGAGGCGAATACTGAAAGCCAGTTGAACCGTGTCTTCCGCCGGCTGTAGCAACGGGTGGCATGTGCACGTCCACGTGCCTGTGAAACCCTTCTCCGCGGCCCCGCGGCCGGATCGGATCTACACTTCCAAATGGGAACCAGCGAGTGTGGGGTTATTAAAGATTGAGACGGTAGCTAATTAAAGCCACGGGGACTGAATGAGAATGTGCAAAACGCAGAGGCCCGTGTGTAAAAGGAAGGAACCGACCCTCGGCTTGAACCGGAAGAGGAGGGAGACGTTAAAGCTGCCCGATGGTGAATTCGTTTGAAATGATTCCGCAGATCAGTGATGTCAGTTTGGCACCCTTCCATCAGCTCTCGAGGACAAGTCCTGAATTTAATAAGGGGAGGAGGGGAGGAGGGGAGGGAGGGGGGGGGGGGGGGGGAAATGTCGAGGAGGTCGCCGCTGCTTCCAGAAACATTGGTGTTCTTACACTAATCCGAGCCGGTAGGAAGGGAGATTTCAGCACAACTTCCCAGCGTCGTCCTCTGATCCTTGTGGATTAAAGGAATGAAGATTAGGCCCTTCAATTTGCTTCGCTCTTTAGAAGGTCCTGACAGACTACGAGACCCCAGATGCCAACAGGAAGTGACATGCTCGTTATCACAATATCAGCAGTCACATGAAATTGGGGTTTCAGCGGTCAGGACAGTAGATTCGAACTGACAGGAAATATTCCACTGAGTATAAAGCGTGTCGTGTTATTACTCAGAACAATGAATGCTGGAAACTCCATGACAGGAACATTATAAAGGCCCTAAAATTGAACAGGAAGCTTTATTTAAATAATTTTATTTACCTATCTTTAACTTGATTTACAGTCTTAGTATCTGAATATCGCTCTTACAACTGAATACGTTTTTCATTAGCTGCTAATATTCCTGCATAATAATAAAGTCTGTTATGGTTCCCTCAGCACTCCAAAGACAATGTATCCTGTTTAGTGCCGATAACTCTGCCGTGCTTACTCCAAATGATCTGCTGAGAATCTTTGATTCCACAAGTCCAGAACATGTCTTATTAAGCTTGAGTGAAGCTGCTTGACACAAATTTATCCAATACACTCTACAACCTTCTGCCCCTTTACTCTCGGCCGCGGTCTGTCACTCTCTTTTCTCTCCTTTTGCGTTGATGCTGCTCACACATCCTCTGACGAGTTTACTTGGTTAAGAAACATAAAACGGACGCCATCTTTTTAAAAAAAGAAAGTATTTTTAAGTTTGCTTAATCCCTAATGTGCTGAACCTTCGGTGAAACGAATAAGCTTCAAAAGTTCTCGGTCAGAAATGAAGAATATGTAAGGCTCAACTTAGTTTTTTGTGGTTTTAATTGAAAACCGAAGAAGAGTTTCAACAGCGCATGTATTATTTTTTTCCACAATGTTATTCACTCACTAAAAACAAATGCGCACAAAAAGAAAAACACAGCAATCTTATAAATATAGGGCCCCAAAAAACACCTCAAAAACATAACAAATGCACCAAATGCAATAAGATGTCGGGTTAACATATTTGCACAAAAACAGTAGGTGTTGCGTCGAACTCATGATCAGTGCCTTTGACTCTGAAGTTCTGGACTTCAGTTTTAGTTCGATCAACTGTACCATTGTAACTAATAAACATGCGTTTCACTATTATTGCCTCTGTGGAAGTTGTCTCTCCATCTACTTCTGGAAAACAATTCTCGGGTTGTTTATTTCATATTTCTATTTCCTACCTTCGTTGATCACAAACACCACGAGTACTCTTTATGCTACAAAGTTCCAGTACACCGACTTCGACCGCCGTCGTGCTCGCGCTTGGCATTGCAACCATGACGACTGAGAGGTCGCCGATTTTGTCCCCCCCGGGGGAAAAGGTCGGAGTTTGACACCGGCCCCGTCTGTGCTGTGCTAGTCGAGGACGGAGGAGGGAGGGGGACGCACGCAGCAGTTGGGCCGCCTGACGTTTTGCAGCATTGACCTGAAGATGTTCTGCCGCCTCCGCTTGCTCTTCGCGCCTTCGGGTGCCGGCGAGTCGACGGCAGAAACCGACTTGAATGAAGTCTGGGAAACCAGCTTCCTCTCTTGCTCCTTGATTTTGCACTGCAAGTGGCTCTGAATGGCAAAACCAAGGGACTCCGGGTCCACCGAAGCCCCGTAGACCTCCCAAGTCATCCCCTGCTCGTCCCAGACGACATCGTGGATGTCCATTTCTTTTTTATCCTCTTTTTTCTTGCCCTCAGGCTCTATCTTCTGTTTGCCTGACTTTGCCGCCTTCTTCTGGGCTTTACCTCCACCTTTAGCCTTTTGTTTAGGACTTTCAGCTTTGTTCTTTGCTGGACCTGGCTTTGAGGTGTTCTTTGTTGTTGTTGTTGTTGTTGTTGGTAGGGCCTGACTGGGCTTGGTAGCAGCCTGTGGCGGCGCAGCATTGTGACTGTCAGCAGATCTGGCCTTGGGAGCACCGGCGGTCTCTGGGACTCCTGATCCCAGAGGAGGAGCTTCGGCAATGGCTGCTTTTGCTGCCGGTTTCTGAACCCCTGTTTTACTCTGCGAGTTACCCGTCTCCCCTCCTTCCATCTGGTGGCTGTGTTCAATGTTGATCTGATAAACCGGCTGAGTGTTGCAGAGAGCCGACCCGGGGTCTTTAGGCTTTGCTCCGAGCCCTTTGTCCTGCTGCTGGGACAAAGTCTCTGAGTGCAAAACCACGCCGGCATTTTGGTTGGGGCACATTTCTGCCTCAACAGTGAGCCTCTCCGACCTTGGATCAGCACCGGCGGGTAGAGAGCTCACATCCGCCTGATGAAGCCCCACGCCACCGTCAGCCTGGTACACTACAACCAGGCTCTGCGCGGCCTCCCTTGGGTCTGCACCGCCACTCAGCCTGCGAGGCGCAGCGGAGGGCAGCAGACTGGGGCTGGTGGCCACGGCCTTGCTGCACGTGTTTGCCACCGCCTGCACCTCCATATCTCGACACTGCTTGAGCCGCGCAGGTGACGGGGACGCCGTCATCGTCGAAGCCTCTCTGTACAGCTTGTCGCGCTGCCGCGCTTCGATTACAGATGTGTCGGTCTCGCTGGCATCCTCAGCCCCCCGGCCACCTGCGGGCGTAGTCTGAGTAGCCTGCGGCGGAGCGGAGGAGTCCGTCTTGGAGGTCACTGGCTGGTGTTTATCTGAGGAGACGTGTGGTGTCTTTAACGGCGGTGAATCCTTCTGCGGACGCGTTGGACCTGAAGACGTATTTGTAAATCCATCCTCTGCATCTTTGCTCTCAGATAAAGGTGCGCCGGAGCCAGGAGGAGCTGCGGGACGTCCCGTGCTTTGTTCAGATGTGGCTTCCTCCTGCAGACTCACAGAGGTTTGCGGGCAGCCGGGTACATAATCAGGCCCTTGAGATTTTGCCGGTACAGCGGCGTCCTCACCTTCGAGGGCCAACGCGCTCCCTCTGCTATCGCGTTGCGGTTCGGGTAGCGCGTGCTTTAACTCGCAAGCGTGGTTGAGATTTGTTTTATCGGGAGCAACTAATTTATTACCGTCCTCTCGTGCTGTGGCTGAGGGCGTCAGCTTTGCGCTCTTCTCCTCGGCTGCGTTTGGCCCTTTTATTCTGCAGTCATTGGTCTGCAGGTTGACCTTTGGCGCTGTAAGAGCAGGCACTACGGTATCCTTTCCATCAGGCGCACTTAGCGTTTTCATATTAGCATTCGAATCCTTCTGGTCGCCTTCCGTCTCACCCAGTCCTGGACCTTTTGGACACAGGTCTCGCATCTGTTGGTCTCTACCCGTCAGCAGCTCGGACTTTGCCTGGTTTCCATTAGCTGCTGCTGGTTTGTCTGTCACAGTGCAGCGGACTGGTTCTCCTCCCTTGGACGCTGTGTTTTCAGTGTGTGTGGTGGTGTTAGTCGAAGGAGCAGCCAGAGGTGAGTTGTCTTGTTTGTGTTGAGGAGATGTGAAGGTGGGTTTTGGACAAACCTGAGAGAGTTGGAGGTTGGGCTCTTTCGCCCAGTTGGCATTAGGCTCCTTATTGCCCAACGTGTCCACCGCGGCCATGTGGGGCGCCATCTGGACTGACACGGTCCTTTTTGGGTTAGTTCCCATGTCGGATTTACAGTTTCAGTCCTTAAAGATGGTCGTAATCCAAAGATTAATCCAGATGTGCAATATCTGTTACTTTGCGTGATTTCCTAAGGGAGGAAAATAGAAATAAATGTAGTTTATATTTTAATTTCTTTACTTTTCCTAGACCTCTTGACAAAAGTTTATAAACATTATTTCTGGTTCCAAAATTTGTAATTTATGTGGTAGCGTAATTAAAAAAATACCCAGTCTCATCCATAGATAATATGTAGCAGGGTAAGCAGTAAAAGATCACCCCCCCCTCCTTTTTAAAGGCCAACCATGTGATATTCCATTTAAATGTTCACATTTGTGTTATATTATTTACAAGACACATTTCTTAAAAGGAATACTGCAAAAGTGCCAAACAGTGTTGCCTGAAAACATCTATCTTGGAGTCGACCCATGTGTTTCACTTACGGCTCCACAAATGTCTTCATCGCAGACCAATTCTTCAAGTAATAAGATGTTAAGCATCTGACATGACGTAGTCAGACAAATTATTTGCACTGTGATCGAATGTTTATCATTCAAAAAACAGCCACAGCTCCCTCCTCCTCCGAAGAAGAAGAAGAAGAAGAGGAGGAGGAATCGCCAACTGATAATTCACTGGTCTACATGGGACCAAGTTGGCCATTTCTATTTCAGTGATGATCATCCATTCAGTGTAACGTGCAGGTCATCACAATGATTAAACGCAGCTTCCTCATTATTTCCACATTTTAAAACAGATCAGGGTCACATAAGAATAATATCAAATAACAATCGTTCTCTTACCGCTGTCGGTTTTAAACGGTCGTTAAAAACAGAATCCTGTTGTGGGTCACAGACCGGTGTAGCCGGTTTGTTTGTGTGCTGTCTCTCTCACACACACACACACACACACACACACACACACACACACACACACACACACACACACACACACCACGCATCTGCGTGTCTGTTGTCAAAGTGCAAATATTGATGGAAAGCATATCCTGCCTGCAACAGTTAGGAAATGACAGCGCGTGCAGCATCGATGCTTTGAAGTGATGCACGCGACCTGCGCGGGCCAATTAGGATGTGTGCCATGCAGGCTGCTGTAGCCCACATTCTGCAGCCCTGCCCCAACATCACTGAGGCCACTGGTGTTTGCAGTCTGGACGTGACCTTGCGGGCAAATACTACCATCTGACACAAAGGAAGCCGCGGTACAGTGAGGAAGAGGAGGGGGGCGGCTTACCTTGAGAGGCGGTGTATGTCCCGTTCGTTTGGGGCGTCCGTGTCAGTGAGAGGAGGCTAAACACTAACAACAAAAAATAAAAAATGAGTATGGAAAACCAACTCTACGTCCGTGACAGTAAGCCCCGCCTTCCACAAGAAAACGCCTTTTTTTTCCAGGAGGTATCGATCCTGCAGTGCGAAGCGCGCACACACACACACAAAGCCCCGCTGACTGAGCGCGCGATGAGTCACCGCGGTCCGACCGACGGAGGCTGCCTGCGAGCGCGCTACCGGGCTCGCGTCACCTCATGCTTGGAAAGTGGACCTTCCACAAAATGGACCTCTCGGGATGTGCGTGTGTGTGTGTGTGTGTGTGTGTGTGTGCGAGAGAGAGAGATTGAAACTGGTCCAGTGGTGCAGGACAGTAAACCGGATGAATGGATGAATGGTGGGGGGAAGCGGGGGAAAGGGGCTCTGTGTGTGTGTGTGTGTGTGTGTGTGTGTGTGTGTGTGTGTGTGTGTGTCCCTGCATCAGCCGCAGGCATCCACAGGAGGGTCACATGCACTTGAAATGGATTACTTTTACATCCCACCAGTAAATGCAGTGGATTAAATTTCAAGGGCACTTTTCGAGTGGGGATTTAGCCCTTAGCTTGTGTGGTTTGTACAGTATGAGGTTGGGGGGGGGGGGGGGATACAGACATTTGCGGATACAGACATTTTACTGTTTTTTGGAGGTCTCTTTTGCATAAAGACATCTCTAGAAGGTAGAACATGCAGCTTTTTCAGTTGAGCTGACTTTTACGGGATATTTCATCCAGATGTATGGAACTTTACCTTTGTGGACGCTCTAAAAAGGGACAAAAGGGTTGTGAAACATATGATCAAAACAAACAAACACACCCATTAAAAGTTTAAATAAATACTTCCCATTAGAGCTATTAACCATCAACAGATACTTTCAAATATTTCATCTGCAGAGGAATAGTTCAAACTGGAGAGTGGCATATCTAGAGCACACTGTATGATTATCCTTTGCAAGGCGACCGTGGTTTCAAGCCGTTCCAGCAGACAACATGCAAATTAGAAAACAATGTTCCCTTCACACTGGTGAGAGCAGTCACTCAGCGCGTTTGGTCGAAACGTCCCCGACAAGAGAAAATCAACAGCCAGAGTAGTTTCTCTGCAAGCAGCCAATGTATGTTTTTTCTTGACTGTCTTGAGTAGCATCGTCGAGTTCGTTTTTTGAATGTTTTCCTTCAGATCCAGAGGCCCTGTTTCTCGTTGCAGCCATAACAGCTCCCCCCCCCCAAAAAACGTTTGCTGCCATTCTCTACCCGTACACCACATGCTCTCAGTCTTTTCCACCTGCTCCAGTCACATGACTCCCCCGTCCACCTGTTCACCTGTTTCCACTTTCCCTTATCGGGTCTGCAGTAACTGGCTCATTGACACTTTCTTGTCTTATCATCTAAACTGCTTTGTTGCTGCTTGATGTTTGCTTTCAAGACTCTGTCCTCCTTTGACCTTTTATCTGCCTGATTCATAATGATTCCCGACTGGCCTCTTGGTTTTGAACCTTTGCCTGTTGACTCAGTGAGCTTCACTATCTCCATTGAGTGATTACATCCATGTGCTGTTTCCTGTGTGCTAATTTGTCTGCATTTCATCCTTTTCTCTTAAAAATAATAATTCTATGCCAACCCTGGCTACCCGGATGACACTCCCCATTGTGTGAACAAGTGAGACAACATTCAAAGTCTCGTTTGGTTTAGTTACACATTTACACTTACCTAATTGGTGCATAAAAAATAACTTGTGTCACTGTCATGTGTCATGTCTGTCAGTGCTGTTAAAACTAATTTAATACCAAGATTACAAGCTCCATTTGAAATGCGGTGTAGACCTGCATATTAGGCTGGAGGGACTAATATAAGTCTAAAACTATTTATATATGTTAACTAATTATATCTGTACAGAGTAATGGAGACTTACAGCTAAATAATTTGTTCATGTTAACACACACTTAAGACGTGGATCTGGCCTCATCTTCTTGTAGATTTGGGAAAGGCAAATTATTGACTAACATCTTAGCTTAGCTTAACCAACCTTATCGAAAGAATAATTTCAACTAAAGCACACTCCGTTTCTGTTTGTCTGTAATGCACACTGACTCATAGTCAGTCAGTTGGTTAACACGGTGCAGACAGTGCTAAGAGTTAACCGGTAGATGGCACTGCCGCGGCGTTGAAAGGCACTAATGTGCTGTGTTCAAAGACGTCACATCGATTGGGGTGAAAAAAATAATTGAATTGCCACTGGGTGTTATATTTTGCAGAAAATTGCAAAATATTTACTCTTGAAATGACAAGGATGTATATCTGGTGTTATAATTTAGGGGCGTGAATTTTATCGCAAAAATATTCAATTTCCCAGAGCGTGTTTGCACTCACGTGAGACGGCGGTGTGTCTGGTCGGTACCTGAACATACCACAGCCAGACTGTTGTCAAGAGAAACGGTGCAAACCATAATTATCATATCGTACGGAGGGTAGCTTGTAAGGGACGACACGTTTGGATAAATATTCATCAAGAGGAAGGTACGACTGCCCGGTCTAAAATACCGTTAAATACACAAATGCTCCCGACGCGACCATGTTTAGGTTGGCATAGCTCGCGTTAGCATACTGTTAACGTCACACTACCTGTTGTCTAGCAGTTCGCGTTAGCAGTTAGCGCTAACTGTCATCCGTAAATTTCGATGATAGTTAGCGCAGCTGGATTATTACAAGCAGTGGCAATCGGCTATCAGTTTGTTCGTATGTTGAAAGGCCGTCGGGTTAAGCGCCAACAAACTCGCCTAATGTTTGTAGCCCATCCCAAAGCGAATGCTCACGTTGTTTCTGAAGTTAGCATTTGCTAACGCTAGTTCCCTCGATGCTATTGTTTGGGGTTTTCTTCAAGTTGAGTGAGCCAGCTGCCGCCTGCTGTTCCCACACTAAAATGATCCCGTATTATAGTTGGTGAAATTGTGGCGTTCCATCTGATGGTCAATGTATAAACTGTGCCCTACATTCTCTCTACTAACGTTAATCTGGACTGTTGTCATCGTCAGCGCGTCATAGTGTTTCAATTCCAGCCATGATGACGACGTCATGGCGACAGTATTTACTCAAACATTAGAACATTACTGTGAAATTGTTTTAATGTAACGTTAGTTTATTTATTTAGATTGGACATATACCTTACATTATATACCTTACTTTTTTGTTTGTTACTGCATTCAAATTACCATAAATTACTTCATACTCAATATACGACCAACTTGTTAAATGTTTTTTTTTTTTAATTTTATTGCATAATAAATTGAAGAATTTGGGGTTTTGAAATGTTTGGACAAAATAAAAAAAACACCCGATGGAATTCCCTTGCCTTCCAGGAACTATTTTTGTTATGAGACCACATTACTCAATTCATGTATACATGTTATATATTAGCCGACAAACCAACAATGGAAATAATTGTTGTATCCTTAATGGCTCCAGCTTGACCAGCTTCAAAATGAAACTTGTCAATATCAGCCCGAGACAGAAGGCCGTACGTTGCTGATGGGCTGAGTTGAATTTGTCTGCTGGGACTCAAAGTGGCCGATTGGTTTGCTCTTCATGTTGTAGAAGATGTTTGGGTATATCTGGACGTACCTCTACACATCCGTCCTAAGATACTGGCTGAAGTGGTTCATCCGTCAGGCAACAGGGAAATGTGAACTACAGAGAATATGTTCCGGATACAAAGCCGGGGCGACGAGGACAACAAAAGCAGGTGAATTAGATGATACACAATCTGCTTATCTGATTCTCTGGTTTCCTATTTAGTGTATATATATATATATATATATATATATATATATATATATATTAATATTAATTTCTGCCTTTTGTGCCCTGCTATAGAATATTCTCTGAGGTCATCAAAGAACAGGGTAAGAAAACTGTTGATATTTTAGTAGGTTGCAGGTTATGAGTGTGGTTTTGTTTCTGAGTGTGACTGTGTGAAGTAAAGGAAACCTCTTAATATCTGATAGGCTGTGAATGTTTTAACACCAATAAAGACATTTCTTGTTAGCTCAATCAATCCTTATCTAAAGTATTGTCCCATCAACCTGTCAAAAAAAGGGCTTTGTCATCGTTCTTTAAAAGGTATAGAATATATAGCAGCAATCTTTAGTCTGGTATCTCGTTGTATCATAAACCCTCTGTCACTACCCCCTCCTCTCTTGTGCTTTCCTTCTCTGTAGGTTTTAAGAGGAGCTTTGGAGACCAACAAGGATCATTTAGAGCATTGTGTCGATCAAATCACAAAAGTGAAGAATGTCAAACCCCAGAAAGATCCACTGTAAGGATGTTTATCTGGGAGTGGGGTCGTTTTTCAGCAGCAAAATTCATTTTATTTCAGAAAGTGTCCTTTACGTAAAATGTTGTACTCAGTGTTTTTTTAAATGTCTCTACCTTTTTAGCTTCAAGGAAAGCCTTCACACGTGTCTGCTACAAATAACAGGAAACAGCAGTCTGTATATATCTGTGGAAGACTTGAGAAAGGAAGTCTTCAACCCTGAAAACCAAGAACACGAGGCCATGCTGTTGAAGGTGAGAGTTTCTGCTTCTCCATCCTGTTGATCATCTTTTTAGCTGCTTGGTTACTGTTCCACACAATAAGTAGTAGTACATATGTCCCAAGTATACATGTGTCTGGATCAGTGCAAGTGGATTTTTGTGATTTGTAATAGGCTTAATGCCACAAAGTAACAACTACAGTGGTTAAGAGTTCAGGACGAGATGCATTGATTTTCTGATGAGACAACGCTGTGCAGAAGATATCGGACCTATAACACTGTGCAGTGGGAAATACAACGTGTAACCATTAACGGTTTTTACTCTCAGCTGTGGGATCTGTTGATGCCAGCCGTCAAACTGGACGCGAGGATAACCAAACAGTGGGGAGACATTGGGTTCCAAGGAGATGACCCCAAGACGGACTTCAGAGGAATGGGAATGCTGGGCTTAATCAACCTTGTGTGAGTCCTCAATCAATAACAATCATGCATTTATTAACTATGTTCTTATAAGATGCAGATGATATCACAACTGACCGTTAAGACCAGCTCTCCTCTCTATACTACCAACATCTATTTTATGTAGGGTTGAACTTTTGACTTGTTTTCCAGCTGTGTGTGTATGAGGCTGACAATCCACAGCCAGCAGAGTTTGATACTTTGATTGCAGCAACAGTTGTTACATACATTCTTATTAACGCATGCAAAGTAAAGATGTGTATCCAAACGCATTTTTGCAGCATTGTTGGGATGATTTGCACTCCCGTATTTAGAAAAACACACCTCCGCAAAGCTGCATTGTCAAACCTAAAGGCACTTATACAGTGAGGCTTTGCCGACCTCGGTTAATGATTCATCTGTGGAGTCATGCGTGTGTGTTTCCCCCCTCGCTTTCTAGCAGCCTATGTTGCATAACATACTTCTCTACCGAATAAAAGCTGTGGCAGAATATTCAGAGAGAAGTAGATCATCCTCTTGAGTCTCCACAAAGGAAGAAACTAACCGCGTAGTTATCAAACTAATCTAATTCATATTACACAAGGCAGGTATCGCTATGACGATATGAAAACACGGAGGATTCTATGGGCTGCAATGTTTTGACGTTCAGTGAACAATCAGGCTTTTGTCATTTGAGTCTCCTGTAACATTGTTGAATTTGTGATGAATCCAAATTGATGCAGATATTCCTTTTTTTGTTTATCTACGCATTTTACTGCCATGTCACAACTTTATGCTTTCACCACCGACGGGTGGGTCAGAGATACAGGTGTGTTATGTAAAACCAGCCGTTAGGGTTATTGTGCAAGTAAAACATTACCGGTGAGCCGAGGTCTCATTTGTGAATTAAACCTCAAAGCACATGAAGAAAAGCGTATGACTGTTTGAACAATGACTCTACTGACATGCTGTTGTTTCAGTTTCTTTAGTGAAAACTACACAGAGGAGGCTCGTCAGGTGTTGTCTCATGCAAACCATCCTAAACTAGGGTAAGATTCATTCAGAGATGCGTATGTGGCATGTTTTCACTGATCTTCCTATACATTCACTTCCTATGTTCAATCACTTCTGGTATTGCACTTCAAGCTAATTAAGCATTCTTCATATTTCAGTTATTCGTATGCCATCGTTGGGATCAATTTGACGGAGATGGCCTACAGCCTCCTGAAGAGCGGTGCTTTGAAACCACATTTCTACAACACCGTACCGGACACACCTGAGCTCCGACACTTCCATCAGCTATACTGTGAGTGGATTCCATCAGACCGGGTTTCCGGTTCTGTTAAAACTAAGTAAAAAGTCAAATGTTGGTTACTGCTTTTCACAACAATTTCTCTAAAATGTGGATTTCTTCTATTTCCAGGTTATCTGGCATATGAATTTGATAAATTCTGGGTGGCAGAAGAACCTGAAAGCATCATGCTGTTCAATCAGTACAGAGAGAAATTCCATACCATAGTCAAGACACAGCTACAGGACCCCGATGTTTCCCTCACAATGACTGTCTGTTCTAACAACTGACATTATTCACAAATATTCCCTCACAAAGTCTTTGTTTTGGTATTCAGATGCGATGCTGAACATTAAAAAACGGGGAGATCTGATTGAAGTGTTTTAGTGATCGACAAATTCAAACACATTAATCCTCATATTTGGTATTGTGGACCATTTATTTAACCTGTGTTCATCTTTTTATTGGAAGAATAAAGGGGTTTTAAATAAAGCACAAATCTACGCTCTGTAATTCAAAGATGACCTTTGCAGTGTTTATTAACCTTTTTGTGAAGGAGTGAGAGCTGCTGCAGACGACTGCAGACATGACCGTTGTGTCCTTTGTGGGTGTCTCAGTGAGCATGCAGCCGATTTGTTGCAGTTAAAAGAATGTTCCTGAAAAAGGGCAATTAACTAGCATATTTTTGGCTGTTTTGTTTCTATTTATTTAATAAAGACACATCTGTTCTCACACTTGTTCTACCTTTTTTAATATTCATATTTTTGTAATATCTGCCTTGATGGCATGTGCATCCTGTAATATAAGTGATGTGGACCTCCATTATTATGTATGTCTGAAGAATGCCTTTTCTTTATTCTGCTTTTAATGAAGGTATGTAAGGATTAACACGTCTGACTCAAAGGTAATAAATACACATTTTAATGTTTTGAAATTTTTTTTTGTGGTGGACATGAAAGCATAAGTTAAAAACCAAGCACAGATTCTGTAAAACAAGTCAAATATATTTAGTGTTCACATAAACCTGTTTTATATTTTACTGTGAGCACCAGTATTATTTAAAGGTGCGCTGCTGTAAACTGCCTGAAATGTGTGATTGGCAGTTTTGGATTCACAGATCTTAAAGTGCACTTAACTTCCCAAAAGTTGGGTTATGACAACCGAGAGTTAGCACCATTCAAGGCCATTCAATTTCAAATGGATTCATCATGAATAATTATAAATACACAGAACTGCATTTTAGTTCACCATGAACACAAACACACGGTACACTTGACTCCCAATATTCCCTCCTCGACAAAAGCTTTTCTTTGTTACCCTAAAATACGAATAAAACTAAACTGAATTGATGTTTCTTCATTGACGTTTAACCCAGTGATGGTTCAGATTTCTCTCACAAATGGAAAACTTAATTTTTGTCCTCAATCCTCTTCTTTGTGACCATCATGGCTCTCTTGATTTGTTCGAAAGAGACAAACATAACAACGTTCCATGATCCCAACCTTAGAAACGAGGGCACAAATCTACAGGAAATAGAGAAAAAATGAAACTAAAATAACTAAAATACATCCACAAATTTTGCTAAAATCTTTTTTTTTTGTTCAAATATTCCAAAAACACACGATTGGGTGCCGGCCTCCGAGAGGAGGAACTCACCCTTTATAGAAAGCCGTCGGCCCCTCTTTGGTCATCATGGTCCAGGCGCAGTTGATGGCACTCTTGTACTGACCGGGGGGAGAGTTCATGTACCTGGTCTTCACCACATCCACTGGGGAAGCGATCACCGTGGTGACAAAGCCGGCCCCAAACGCAGATACAAAATGACAAGGAAGGTTGTCTGTGGAGAAGAACAGATTGGGAACAAAACAAGTATAAACGAGAGTAGCCGGAGGGCCTTTTTGTTCTGAAGTGAGTAGAACGGAAACTCATCGTCGGCAGATTATTTGACGTTATGAATGGCGCAATATAAGTGATTGAGATCAAATGCACCATGTACTGTACCAACTGCAGTGCTGTTATCAGCTGGAGTGGAGTGGGAGGGAGGAGAGGGTGTGTGGATTTCAAACCAATCAGCTGTCTCTCTTGCACTGCGTGTGTGTGTGTGTGTGTGTGTTTGTGTGTGTGTGTGTGTGTGTGTGTGTGTGTGTGTGTGTGTGTGTGTGTGTGTGGTAACCAAGGCACACATGGCAGGAGCTCCCTCACTCACCTGACAGCAGCTTGTGCTTCAGGATGGCCTCCTTGATCAGGTCGTACGTAACTAGCTCCGTGCAGTTGACCAGGGCATTTCTTGTGATGTTAGGCAGCGTGCCTGAAGGAGCCACAAAAAAGCTGATCACCACACAGTAATAAATCACTTCTGGGGTCTTGTCGTCCGTGGGCAGACGAGACCTCAATGAGTCACTCATTTTGAAGCGCGCGCGTCCTTTCAACCTTTCCAGAGTCCGCGCATGCCCTCGTTCTGGAAGATGTGCTTGTAGGCCTGCATGGTGCCGCTGTACCGACGAGCCACACCGTCCAGATTCACCTGGGCCTGGAACCGAACCTTGACCACGTCTGTGGGCTGTGCAAAAGACACCGCCATGGCGCCCGTGGTGCATCCAGCCAGGATTCGTGCCACTATGCCAGCTTCTGTAAAGGGGACAGACAGGAACAACAACGAACGGTGGAATAACAGTCTGCTCGCTTATTGTAACCACGTGCAGCTTTTAGGTAAGTCACTGTGTGTGTGTTTGTGTGTGTGTGTGTGTGTGTGTGTGAGAGAGAGATATGCTCAAACAAAACACCGATCGGTGTCAATACTCACTGTCTTTGCCACCGGAGTACAAATCTTTGACATTGTCGTAGATGTCGATTCTCACGGAAGCGACAGCACTTGTCTCTGGAGCCCCGCCCACCAGCCCGTTGTACATAGACTTGGGCCCCTCCGTTCGGATCATGGGGCTGATCGTGCCAAACACTCCCCTGTAAGCGAAGCCGTCCACTCCCTTCCTCTCCCCCCTGAATCGGGGGGTCACAGATGGCACTCAAGGTCTACTACCGGCTCCCGCAGAACACAAGTAGAGAACTTTTAGACTCAACGGTGTTGGGGGGCACACGTTGGGTGTTAATGAGTGTTAATGAGTGCAGTTGATTTTTTTTTTTTGGGGGGGGGGGTTGAGAGACAAGCTGCTCAGAAACGTGTTGTGTGATTCTGGAGATGAGGTAGCAACGGTTGTCGGTGTCACTGTACCTGCAGCCTGACTTTGGCCGTGTCCAGGGGAAACGTGAAAAGGTCGGCGACGCAGGCTGCAGCCCCGGCACTCGCCATCTTCACCCCCAGCGGGGGGGGCACATCTGAGGGTTTAAGTCCCACCATGTTCCCTAATGCTGGATTCGCAGGTAAGCCCCGGCACGCCGAAACAAAAAGAGAGAATTAGCCGGAGGACACCGGCAGTACATACTAATCATTCATCTCTTCAATTGAAAGATTTTACGAGCCAACGATCCGAGTGTGTATTGGTGATAAAAAAAACACAAGTACTTACATTGTTGGTCGAAAATGTAAAGTTGCCTTTGATCCTCAGTGGGATATGATTGGTCAGATTATAATCCATAAAACGTGCCACACCGCTGAAAACAAAAATGCATCTTCGGCTCAGTATTTATGTATTATCCGGCTGGCTTTTTTTTTTATGGCATCAAGAGAGGCGTTACTGTGTACTCCTGCAAGGGTCAAATCAAAGTCCACAGACTCTTAGAAAGTCAATGTTCAATTTACCCCACAGTGCAGGAACATTTCAGAAAAACAACTAGTTTACATCCCTCAGTCTGTGGACTGTAACATTAGTATCCTTTCATGCAAATTAGGGTTTACAAAAGCATCTATAAACAGTATAAAACAGTCATTTCCTTTTATCGGGGAGTTGATTTTTTTGTTTTATCTGACACTTCATGAGCATTTATTTACTTTATTAGGCTGAGCGCATTCGTCACCCTCAATGACAATAAAGCACGCACTGTTCAGTTGGTCCACCGGAGCCAGTGGGATGTGTGAACTACAGAAGGTGTTAGCAGCTGATTGTCTAACAACTCGTCACTTTGCCTTTTCCCTTTTTGAAACGTGGGATTTGTATCATTAAGCATTTGCTCATTTGTGTTAAAATGTGTGTTTTTGTCAGTATTTCTTATTAACACATTTTTTTTGTATAACAGGGACTAACTATTTTAAAAAGTGCAGGGGGCGCGTGAGGGGATTGAGCTTGTGACTGAAGTTCACAACGCATCAGATAAACCCTTTGCGTCACAACAGACTCGGCCTCTCAGTAGTTGTTTCATAATACCTTTCCCTAAATCTAATCCACTAATCTCAGTTAGTATGGGGATTTCCGGAAAAAAGGACTATAGATGAAAATGATAAATCGACAGGTTCGACTAGCAGGAGTTAAAAGTCCAACAGTTCAAATTCAAACAAATAGTTTTGCTGTATTTGTTAAGATTTGAGGAGACCTCAAAAGAAAATTCTCCATTTGTTACAACCGTCAATGGGAGATCGGATGAGTTCAAAGTAATAAATGACCACATTAATTTAAAGAATGCACAAACTAAACTATACAAAGATGTCAGCGTGCGTGGACGTCTGGAGCAAACAAAAATCAACAAAGAGGACACAGATCTCTACTGGAAAGGAGCTTCATCCGGTTCTAACAAAACTAACCCGTTTTCTGATGGATTAATGATTCATAGCCGTGAGGGTCTGATAGGGGAAACTCTTCTATCTGCAGAAGGTCCAGTTGGAAGTGATCTCACTTCGTTGTGATCGGTCAACCTGAACCACAACCTCAGGTGCCGGTTAATAACTTTTCCTCTGAAAACATAGCGGAGTAGAAACATAAAGAGACCCGAAAACCAAATCCTTATTAAAAGGGGCCTCCAATTTTTATTCATGTCCTGAACTTGAGTAAATATGCTTAGTTGCAGGAGAGCCTGCAGGCTGCTTTCACAATGAACATCTTGCTGGAATACAACGAACTGTTTTTCTAGAGTTCAGTATTGATAATAAGTTATATTATCAGTGTTGTATAAATATACTCTGCAGCATCTTAAAGTCCTGCATCCATTCAACTTAAATATAGAAAATATGCTCATTATTCATCAAAATTAAACTGGTTACTAATACTGCCATTTACTCAGTTACAAGTTGGAAATTCCACCACCTTAAAAAGGAAAAAATAAATATTTGAATTACTGTAGTAAACAACCGAACATGTTAAAAAGAACTAAATCATTGTGAATGAATGATGGTAGTTCAAGTAATCTCCCACCAGGTGGCTGTAACAGTGTACAAATTAGTCTGATTGCATAAACAAAAAAGCCTCTGTAGTTTCCAATCAATCACACTTTTAATTAGATGAGTGATAGACAATGCATTGGAATCCAGAGTAAATTATCTGGACATTTTAAAAAGAAGTTTTAAAAATAAACATTTTAAAAATAAAAAAAATCACATAAAAACAAGTTTCAGAACAGCAAGATAAAAATGTACAGAGCAAAAATAGTTTTAAACACGTAAAAAGAAAAAAGGTCGGAACATCTTAGTGGATCACATTGTGTTGTAGACATAAAGAAAGTGCAGGCTTTTTATTCAACAGCATGTTTAGTGTAATTCTTTCACCATCAGTCCCAAAGATATATGGCATTACCAATAAATAACTGGAGAAAACACAACAGGAGAATTATGGGGTGTATTATTTGGAAGAGTGAATGTTCACAACATCGTTTTGTGGGTATGCACACGAGTGTGTGTGTGTTTCACTCATAATCCGTAATGGAACATTGCTTTGAAAAGAAGTGGAGCTGGAAAGGGTTTGAAAGTTTACTTCATCATTAAATTCTCAGCTATTCTTTCTTTTTTTTCAACTGCCGATGGAATAAAGTAAGGAAGCGATGATTTGTCCGGCAAACGTACGTTGACTATCGATGCCCCCGGTTTAGAACTTTCTCTGAACATTTACATCTACGTGGCCCGAGATTACAATATCAACATCTATGCATAATGTATAAAGTACAGCTACGACATGTGCACACCAACATCATCCGAGCAAACCTCAATATTAATCTCCTGTTCCCTCTTAGCGCGACAGAAGCTCATGATTGTTTCAACTCCTTAAAATACGTCTGCCAGCAGCAGTTTCTGGTCACATTCATTCAAACATCATTATCATACACATTCCCTAACCGCCATTGTCCTCATGAACCTCAAGAGACGTTTCTACACACACACACACAAACGAGCGAGCGAGCGATCACCATGGTTCCCTTTGGGAAAAGTCTGCGCGACGTCTCAGCCGGACAGCGAGATCTCATAGTCACTCGTGGAGAGCGGCGGGCACCCGACTTTACGGACATTCTTGGCGTTGGTTATCCGAGCCGCCACCTCCACCGGCTTCTCGAAATAATGCACCAGGGGCTCGCTCGGTGAGCACGGAGGCCAGAAACTGCTCGAACGTGATGGCCCAGTCTTTGTCGATGCTCGTGCTGGGAGGAAGCCCTCTGGCGGCGGGCCGGGCCGCTCCCTTCGCCTTCGCCGCGCACCAGCACCGTGTCGTCCGCTATGTCCTCGCACTGCAGCTTCTCGTCCAGCTCGTGGGAGCCCGCGCTGAGCACCGAGTACGACGACATCGAGGTGTCATCGTCCGAGATGAGCATGGCGGACGAGGCGCCGGCGTCTTTGGGAGACGAGTCCTCCAGCTTGACGTCTTGCATGGGCGGCGGCGGCTCCCTCCCTCCGTCCTCCTCGGGGGGGCTCTGCTCGTCTCCCGGACCACCGGGCGGCGCCTCCTGGCGGGTTCGGGAGTCCGCGGCGGCTTTCGCGCACGTGCCCGCCCCCGATTTCTCCTCCGCGTCGTCGCAGGACGAGAACAGCTTCCCCACTTCTCCCATTTCCAGCAGCAGACTGGTGACCGTGGCCGTGGCGTGATAGAGCTCCTGTTCTGCAGCGTCCTCGCTGAACATGCTGTAGAGGGTCTTGCAAAGCTCTATAAACTGGCTCTGGAGAACGAAAGAAAGAAACCAACAAACGAGGTCACTTGTGCTCCACGGCAACTAAAGAGTGTCTCTGTGAACTCTATGTAAGCCGTACAGCGGGGGGGGGGGGGGGGGGGGGGGGAGAAGTCTCACCTGATTCAGCCTCGGGAGTTCTTTTGTGTTTTCCAGGTTAGGTTTTGTCTCCTGATTCCACAGTTTCAGGTATTGTTGATATTCAGGAGTGTTCAGTTTCTTCACTGTAAGATGTACAAAAGAATGTGACAACGCACCTAAAAAGCACTAAAACAGTTTTTCATTAAATGGAAGCTCATTGAAGGAATCCCATTTAGCCCATTAAAACACCCATAATCTTCGATAACATTTTGTGTGAAGAAAACAGCAGAAAAGGAAATTTCCCGCTTGGACTTTTTGCCACGTGAATGAGCACAAACATTGTGGTGCTCATTTTTAGACAAATGGGGCGAAGTGTGTCGTGTTAAATCTATTCACGGATCCCTTATGCAATATGCTGCTTACCTTTTTCAGTCTTAAATGTAACTCTGACAAAGCCATCATCCCGCTCACTTCTGCACTTTGAGTCATGACCTTTCGGAGAACGGATAAAATATCAAGCATTTGTCATTTAAATAAATTCAATTTTAAGAGTTTGATTATCTCAATCCAACAGCTGGTCTAAACTTCCTTCTCATCTCATTTAACATGATCCTATAAAATAAAGATATAAATCACAAAAACAGTTGATCCTGGGTTCGTACCGAGGGACGTTTCTGGAGTGACGTCTTCAAAGAAGTACTGTGTGGCTTCAAAGGCCGAGTCCGGTTCCTCCGGCTCGTGCCTCATTTCTGTAGACGAAGAAATTAGGAAACCTGAACGCGGCTCCACCGAAATGAAAAATGCTCCGTAGTTTCTGACAGACGACTTTCATTGTGCTGCATCAACGCACACACACACACTCACCAGGTATCACATGAATCTTGTAGAGCAGCTTCAGCTTCTCCATGTGGTCCCCGTGACACAGAACCCCTAAAACCAACAAGCTTCAGAGCTTAGAAACATCTCAAACCGTTTCGACCTATTAAACCAACATTAAACACACCATCTACACACACACACACCTTACCCAGGCCATTGATGAACTCCCGAAAGTTGATGAGGGCATCTCCGTTCTGGTCGAGGAGACGGAAGAAGCGCAGAGCCAGGGGGTCCGAGTGGGCGCCGTTGGCCCAGGGGAACAGCAGGTTGAACAGGCCTTTGAATTGCTCCACGTCGATGCGGTACTGCTCCAGGTAGGGCAGGCTGGGGTCGTGGCGCTCAGTCGGGTTGCTGCTGCCGCCCCAGTAACAGCTGGTCAGGTGCTCCGCCTGGAGAGAGGGAGAGTGGTGCGGGTGCTGTGAAGCTATAACTAATAATAAATGCAAATCAAGCAGCAAATTAATGTGAACCAAGTTGATATGCAGCTCAAGAATAGCTCAGGGTGCATATTCATGATCCCCCAGACGCTCATTTCAACTAGGTGTTAGCTGGAGGTACACAACATGAATATGCAACTCACCTTGAAGAGAACATAGAGCTCCTCCAGCTCGTCGATGCTGAAGGCCGTCTCTGTTACAATAGTCCTTACCTGAACACATTATGCAATTACACTGGGTGTAAATAGAAG